GGATATTACTTAATACTACAATAAGTAGAAAATTACGAGAGAGAAAGAGACAGAGCCAGAGTAGGGGATAAGAGCTTTCTGGGGAATTTGTTGGGGTTTTTTTTTCGCCTACGTTCGCTTCAGATACATTTGGCATCTGTGGCCAGCGGTTGTGTATCGGATTTCATGGATATAAGAAAATTGCACAAGCACTGAACGAGGCTCTGAATTATTTGGATTTATTTTGAATACCAAAAAAGGAACGAAAGAATCGTTTTTCTTTCTCTGCTTTTCCATACTTTAATCTATCCCTCATTCAAAGATCTTAGAATATAGTGATTCATAGGACTCTATAAAAGCAAGAGCATAAAAAAGGTAATCCCTTGGCATTTAGCTAAAGAAATGTAAGACCAGCTAGGGGATGTCTAAGGGAAGTCAGAGCAAGCTATCAAATAATTCTATTATTATTTTGATAATTTTGCATGGCAAATGGAGCTCAAGATCCTCATCACTCATTTTGCTAGAATATCAGAGATTCCCAGAGAGTCCCAGAGCAACCTTTAATAGTTACTCTGGATCTGCTGCTTTCTGCTCATGGCAGAGAACCCAACGACGATGCGTGTAACCCACGATGATGAATGCCCATTGACAATGTTTATATATCTCATGCAGAGGGCACTTAGCTTAGTGGAAATGGAAATTCTAGATGCCAAATTGTGGTTAACAGACAAACTTGACAAAGCCCCCAGAGAATCGTTCTTAAAAGGTGCTTAACCTCTATTTGGGTTTTCATTCTAACTAAAAAATTTTTTTAAATATTCTTTTTGTTCTGTTCTGTCTGCTATGCTTAAATACTTGCGGTTTCTGTTCTTGGTTACTATTTAGATTTTTTCACAGCACTTTGATTTGATTGCAGCAAACGTATTTTGATTATATAATTATTTAAGTTGATTTTGATCCTTTTTTTGCAGTTGGTGTACCAATTTCTGACACAGTTTGAATACTTTATAATTTTTTTTGCACGTAACAAGATTTTCTAAATACTTTTTTGGGATATCTTGGTATTTTGGTTGGAGGTTTTTTTTTCTTTGCCTTCCTTTTTTTTTTACTTACAAAACTTTTATTCGGAGTTATCCGCGACTTGAACGGATTGTGATGTTCAACTGAAAATATTTATTCAATATGTTGACGTTCGATGCCCGCCGTTCGGTCGATTTCGACCGTTCTACACTGGTGTGTATAGGTGTGAGCCACCGCCGCCACCACGTGTGTGTATGTGTGTGTGAGAGAGAATGCTTTTCGGCCATGCGATGCGGTGCGATGCTCTTGTTGGCTAGCTGCTCTTTCGCTTATTTTGGAACTGCATTTATGCTCTCGTTTGAGTACAGCGATGATCATCACAACAAAGAGAGCACACGGCATGGCATGGTATGGCAGGGTGCTGGTAGAGCTTGTACACTGTGCCGAAAAGTGGCAAGTGATTACAGAGAATATTTACAGAAAGTTTAACAGAACTTTGTTTAGGAAAATAAAGAGAGGGTAGCTGCGCCAACAGAAGCTTAGATAGATAAGTTTCCCTGATGGAAGCCCTAGAATTTAGTGCTCCAATTAAATCATATCAAATATTCTTGGATCACTGAATCATATTTAAATTCTAATATTATAGAAAATATTATTATAGTTATAGAAATTATATACACAAATGGAAACAGCAATGCCCCATTATTTTGAGGGGTAGTTTTAGAAACGAAAACTTTTCCAATTTTATATTGGATATTTTAAAGTACAAAATTTCTCTCAGTGCAGCCGAAAGACAAAACAGAGGAAAATCGTACATTTTCTTGCTTGCCAACACTTTCGGCTCGCACTATGGGGAGGCTGATTTACGATCTCTTCTCACCCCAGCACACATACACACACATATAGCCGGCGCCTGCGCTTTTACTGTTAAATCCTCTCAATCCTCTCTCTCTATCCTTTCTCCCGCTCTTCGCCAGGGCTTTCTTTCACCTGTTCACTGGCTGTGTTTGGGTGTGTGTGTGTGTGTGTAGGCTGTTTGTGTTTCTTCTGCCTATTTTTGAATATTTCCCCATATTCCAAAAAAGCTTTCAAACCCCCAGTATTTTTGGTTAATGCAAAATATTTGAGAATACAAAAGCAACATTTTCTCTATCTTCAATGTTTGTGTGTGTGCCTGAGAAAGCTGCTGTGAATGTGAATGTGTGCGTGGATCTTTTTGTTTTGCTTTTTGGTTTTCTTAAATTCTATTTTTATCTTTCAGTTATTGATATGCCAAAAAAATCTTGTTTCACATAGATATAGACTACACACCATAGGTCTACGGATTATTTTTTTTCTTTTTGTTCTATATAATTTGAGCGTTTCCTATAGATTGTTCAACGTCATGTCTACGAACGGGAAACATTTTGTTGGCGCAATCAAAATTGTCAAAGTACGATTTTACTTCGTATTTTGCATGTTGCATGCTTGTTTGTAACTCTCTCAGAAGAAAGCCCCCCACCTATGTATACCATGATTCATGTATCGAGCAGAACGTGGAAATCGTATTAATTTTATTTCCTCTAGATCTCTGAAAATCAGCAGCTTATACACAATAGTATGGGTTATCTTTTTAGATAACATTTTTACCCATCGATCACGCTCGTTCATAAAGATTTTAAGATAAATAAACTGAATTTTAAACCAAAAGAACACACCATAAATCCATTGATTAATTAGGCTATACTATTTGGCACGTAATATGGTAGTTTCCGATCAATTAAAACTTTAATTTTTGCTAAATGGGTTTTTCCAGAATTTCCTTTTATATTTTTTTGAATACGATTAGGTTAAAACTTGGAAAGTATTATATCTGAAATGAAATGGTAGATTAATATTTCTTTCGATAGATTAAATGAGAATAAGAGAATACATTTTTTATTTGTGATTTCTATACATAAACATTCATCTTTTCAGTTTCTTAGCAGTAAAGTTTGTGTATTTATTAAAAAAGGGACCAAAGATGTTAATGGTTTTATCTGTTTTAAGATATTTTAATTAATAAAGGATCTTATTTGTTCCAGGAATATTTTTTAAAGTTCATAGAATTTCATTTGAATTTCATTCATGAAAATTTGTAGTATTTTTGTTGGCTATAACACGAGAAATACATTATTATTGACAGTAACATATGTATAAGTTAAAAGTCCTTTTTTATTTACAACGTGATTATGATTGTCCTAAAAAAAAGTACAGAATTTTAATTAGATTAAAGGTAAATTTATAAAGAAATAAATTAAACTGATTATATAAATCTACTAAATTGCAGCAAAAGCCCGCTCTATAAATAAAACTCAATTTGATATTAGAATATTTATTCTTTGATTTTCTCTTGGAAAAAATTATGTTGCCGTTTTATTTTTCTGCGAGCACTGAGACTGTTGAAAAGTTTATAATTAAATCCAGCAACACCCACTGCATGACGTAATTGTTTTCATTCAAAACAAAAAAGTCTTTCAAACTAGATCAATATATATTTATCATCCTAGATATGTAAGGAAAAGAAATATATGTTTATATGTATGTAATATATACATATATCATGAGAAAGACCCTTGAGACAACATCGACAACATTGTAAAAAGCGAAAATGTGTGAGCAACTTGGCTAAATAAGAAAAAACGAAATCATGGCCACCTGATGCTGGGGGGGCTGAGGCTGTGTTATGGAAAACAAAAGTTTTCATAATTCCAAAATATACACCAAATAAAAATAAATGTACGCGAGCTGGTGCGACAAGTGCACAATCTTGTTAGAAAAATCGCAACCATATTTGGTGAAAATTGCCTGGAAATGTGGAAACAGAGGGGCATAGACGACGGACGACTGGTGTTGAAGCCATGAGAAGATTGTTCAATCAGATTGTTGGCTAGGCCGCTGCGGGATGGATGAAATACAATCTTCTAACGACTTTAAAGCTGTGTGATCTGAGACAAACCCAGTCTCAGGCGGGCCTGTGGATGACTCAATTGGCGCCGTGTCGCGTCGTCTCCTTGTGAATGAACCGAAAACTCAAACTGGTTGATAGCAAAAGGAAATCTTTGCAACGAGCCACTTGCCTTGCCTGGCCCCCCAAACCCGACCGGGTGCCCGACCCTGCACCGACACCATATCCAATGTCGTGTACGATGGATGTGAACACACAACATTTTGGCGCTCTTCGACATTGTCAGTGTCAATTATTTGAGAATTAAAGAGACACAAGACCTTGAACTTATAGCCAGGCCATATGTAAATGCAAGTGCACGAGCATCGTTCATTAGGCGTGCGCCGGAAAACAATTGTTCTATAGAAATTGCTCGCAATTTGGCAAGGCGTACGCTACATTTTCTTCGCATCCGTTTCAAGGGCAAGCTAATTTTAATCGATGGTAGCAGCTGCGTTGAAAGAATGCTTTGTGCAAATGAACCCCATGCTATTAATAAGAAAGGGTTGCAATAATTCAATGTGCTAATTAGCTGATTGAATTAATTGTGATGTTAAAATAAGGACAAATTTGTAAATCCGTTACATGTGTATATCGATTTATCTGAACATCGCACGTTCAGAGTTGCTACATCAAAATTTATGAATAAGATTTTTCTCGGTATATTTACGGTATATTATATACTTTACAGGACATTTTGACGGTATATAAAAGTATATTTGTCAATGGTAAGGGTTGGGGAGGGGAAACAAACGAATGGTTAGAGAGGCAGAGAAAGAGACCTTTGTTCAAACCTTATTTTATAAGTAATCCAATAAATGGGAGTCCTTAAATCAGGCCAGATTTTAAAAAATTAATTCAACTATCTGATAAAATGATATTTTTAGTCTTTTGAGTAGTAACTAGCTGGTAATATTGAGCAACATATCAAAATCATGGCATATCAAGGCATTTCGTCGTATCCCTCAGTATATTTACGGTATATTTGGGCAATGACAAGGTATATTTCGGTATATTTCTGATGGTCGTTTGATATATTTTATCGATAAGTCCACTGATTTTATAACAATAACAATGTCGTTCAGTGATAAACTAAAGCATTATAGTAAACGAAAATCGTTTAAATACGGCGTGCCGTTCCTCATCATGATGGTGGCCGGCTCCTTTGGACTTCAACAGTTTTCCAATCTAAGGTAGAGTCAGTCCTGTCAGAAAACTCCAAAGAAATGCCAACTGATTGGTGTGAAATTCCAGATACCAGTACTCCAAGAAGCAACCGGTGACACCCGACGAGATGAAAAAGTACGGCGTGAACATGAAGAAACGGCAAGAAGTGACACTGGAAACGGAGTACGATAAAGTTAAGGCCGTGAACATAGATGAGTGGGAAAACAAACGAGGTCCACGTCCCTGGGAAGAGGAGGGAGTGTCACAGCCGGCCAAACATTAACTATTGTATAGTGTAGGTGTAGGCATAAGCACACGTTTAATACAGACTGTTTGTTATATATATTTATAAATAAATGGATATTTTATCACATAAGTCGCATGTTTTGTAATCAATCATCGATAGTGTTCAGAAGCAATCGATAGTAGGCGATGCCATCGGCCATCTTTGACAACACGCATCTCTAGCCTTTTTCTTGTTTTTACAATAAAAAATAATTAAACCCGCTAAAATGGAAATCGTGGGATCTGCAGGAGATGCAGCCTCTATATTTGCCGATGGTAAGCTAAAACCCTTAACCCAATCATATATTTGTTTACATACATTCGCGTCTTGCAGGGGAACGTGTGCTATGCTTCCACGGCCCGCTTATTTACGAAGCCAAGGTGCTCAAAACAAAACCTGATGCGACGCCGGTCGAGTACTACATCCACTATGCAGGCTGGAGCAAAAAGTACGTACTTCCATCCAGTATATAGTATATGTAAACACTTACCATGTCCGCTTACAGCTGGGACGAATGGGTGCCCGAGAGCCGTGTGCTGAAATACAATGATGACAATGTACAGCGACAAAAGGAGCAGGCGCGCCTATGCGGCGAGCGCTCGAAGAAGGACAACAAAAAGGGTAAGTGAAACCTTTCGTTTGCGGTCGTCGCCATCGCTGACGTATTGATGTATTCGTAAAGGAAGCGCAAAGGCCAAAAAAATGGAGCAAGTGGGAAACGATTCGCGAGCGTCTACACCCTCCAAAGATGGCAATACATCTCTACCGTTGGTGGTCAGTACACCCACGTCCAGTATGGGACCGATGACAAAATCGGATAGTGGTAGCAACAGCAGCATGAACCCCAATAGCAACAACGCCAATACCTCAACCAGTCGTGCCAATCGCAAGTCAACACAAAGTGCAATAGTGTCGGCCCGTCCCGGCACTCCAAATGAAAAGAAGGAAGATGCAGCGAGCGTAGAGATCACAGAGGATGACGGTGTCACTGTGGTGCCACCCAAAAAGAAACGGATTAGCGAACAACGTCCATCGTTGAGCGGCAGTGATACCACAGCATCTGCAGAAAAGCAGGGAACACCAGCAGCACCAACTCCGACACCAACCACTCCCACACCGCCATCAGAGCCGGCCCCATGCGTCGAAAGCGAAGAGTCCTTTACCAACAAGTTGGAAGTGAAAATCAAAATACCTGATGAGCTGAAGCATTACCTGACCGACGACTGGTATGCGGTGGTGCGCGAGCACAAGCTGCTGGAGCTGCCCGCCAAAGTGACGATCCAGCAAATCGCCGAACAGTATTTGGCGCACAAAAAGTCGGTCAAGTCGACCAGTGCCAGCAAGGAGGTGGCCATCAACGATGTACTCGAGGGCATTGTGGAGTATTTCAATGTCATGCTGGGCTCCCAGCTGCTGTACAAATTTGAGCGTACACAGTACGCAGATGTGATGCAAAAGCATCCAGAGACACCATTGTCCGATCTCTATGGTTCCTTTCACTTGCTGCGGCTGTTTGTGCGACTGGGCTCGATGCTGACATACTCGGCGCTGGATCAGCAGGCCATGCAGAACCTCATCGTGCATCTGCAGGATTTTCTCAAGTTTCTGGTGAAGAATAGCGCTGTGTACTTCAGCATGACTAACTTTGTAAACGTGGACCCCGAGTATGTGCGCAATGCACAATAAACTGTAGAATCCCAGAATGATTGGATACTCTTTGACTTGATGGAAGAATTGTAAATGAATATTTCATCCAAATAGTTTGTAATAGTTTGAGAATTGCTCTTCACAGCTGGTTTGTAAAATAATAATAAAAAAAGCACACGCAGAGTTTTGTAATTAGTTAAATGGTATTTTGATAATAAAAGATCAGGAGAACCTTGTAAAGATTAGCTTTTGGTGTTTGTTGCTTCCCCCTCTTCTTCTGCCTCATCCTCGCTGGCACTGCTGCTACTGCTGGTGGGATAGAAGTCACGCAAGTCCCTCGGCTTGTTGCGCTCCTTCTGTTCCGTTTCCAAATATTCGTTTTGCACCTTGAGTATATCATCGCTGCCCGTGCAGGCAGCATACGCATTGAGCAGCTTGTCATTTAGCTCCAGAAAGGCATGGCCCCAGGAGAACTTGCCCATGAACCAGCGTGCCTCCTCCGTGAAACCGCAAATGTATAGTGTGGCTGCTATAGCCTCGACGCAGCTGAGCTTGCAGGGCTTCCCGTAGTTGATGGGATTGGCGGCCACCAGAAAGGGCAGGAGACGGGGATGTGGGCTACGCATGCGACTGAAGGGTGTTTCATCCAGTTTGGCCCAAGAACAGTCAATCACGGCCACACCGGAGCCCGCCACAATATCACGATCGAGTGGACTGACACACAACTGGCCAACGGGCGACAGGACGAGTCCGGGGAACTTTTGTCCCAGGCGCAGATTCGAAATCAATCCTAAGCGTGCCAGCTTTCTGCCAGAGCATTTCTTTGGATCACAGTGATTGAGGTCCCACATGGCAACCGAAAATTCCGGTGGATGGCCCAGATCATCCTGACCCCCACCCGACGAGTCGGAATCATCGGTACTGTCGCTATCGCTTTTGGCCAGTTCATTCGCCTGCTGGGCAAAGTTACGCTCACAATTGTGATTTGATTTGACATTGCGGTAGGGGCCACCGCCACGCTTTCCTCTGCCCTTGTTCCGACCAGTCATTCTGTACAGTTTAAGTTTATAACTATTATTTAAACAAAAAATAACATCTCGTGGTTGCAGCGCTGCCAACCTGATTTATTTTCTTTATTTTAATGTAATTGTAAGGTGACGCAGAGCAATTCTATGCTCTGACGTCACGCTGTCATATATCGCCAAAATCTATTAACTAGATCCACTTAGATTAATTGTGTACTTGATACACCATATACTGTTTATAAAATCATTGGATTGTATTATGCTTTATAGAAAACAGTAAATAAACGTCAAACATAGCCGAGAACACACTGTAATATATGCGTACAGACCTCCGACTTGCGTCACCTCTTCCATATCAGACCACCACGATGTCACGCAATCATCGATATATGGTGTTTTCAACCCTGCTAGAAAAGAATATGGCTGCCTGCTTCGGTTGTTCTCTCTGAAAAAAATTAGAATTTGTCCGGCATAAAAAGAGTGCAATACGAATTAATGTATGTATTAAGAACTTAAATGACCAAAATAAAATCAATTGCAAAGACAAAGGTATTGTTTTGAAATCTTGTATGTATACTTTGAACCGAGCATGAGCAAAAGTGAAATTTTGTGCTTCTAAACGCAGTGTAGTGTTCTGTGGAATGGGATAGGATAGGCGCCAAATCAGAATTAATAAATGCATCAACGGAACCCTAGAAAAATATATCCGCGCGTGTTGGCATTATTAATTTATTGATAACTAGCAGTGAAACGGCTATAATAAGACAAAAAGACCTGGCGACGCGCACACTGCACACACACGCGCGTAAATAGACACACGTACATACGTACTATCGATATCCGAGTTGCATTGCGCGCCGTGGCGGCAGCGAGAAAGAGAGCACCGAAAGTGTATGTTTGCTGAAAATCAATTGACGCCCGCCTTGGCTGCGCTTCATAGTTAAACATAACTGAACATAACAAGCTAAACAAATTTAATAATTCTGTGTGTGTTGCTTTCATTTCATTCTGTTTTTGACACCAACGTGGCTGCGTGTCCTACTATACAAATTTCCTTACCCTTGGTCCGGGAGTACAGTTGCGCCATCAGCCAGCTAGAGCAACAAACAAACGGGGAGGGCGCGCGCATTCCATTTAACGAGAACAACAATACTTGCCAAGGATAACAACGTTGAGAAGAACAGAACGCAGCCAAAATGGGAGAAGTGAAATCGGTCAAAGTGGACAACTGGGGAGTCTTCTTCCTGCAGAAGCTGCAGAATTTCTTCAACAAAACGGACTACTGCGACCTAACACTGCAGTTTCGCGATAATTCACAATTAAAAGTGCATCGCCTGGTGCTAAGCGCTTGCACCGACTATTTCAATGTACTGGAACAAAATTGCGAAATTGTCGACGATGCCCTCATCATGCCCAACGAGTTCCAGGCGGATGTTGTGGTGCCCATTGTCAACTTTATGTACACGGGCACCCTTGAGTTTGAGTTGAAAATGTATGGCAAACTGCTGCGCACAGCCAAGGAGATGAATATGACAGTGCTGCTGAAGCTATTGGAGGCACATAGACGCACCATGGAGAATGTTAATCGCCTGCAGAGGGTGAGTGCTGATAGTTGCATCACAATCCATAGGCCCGGGACTAATTTGTATTTTGTCTTTTTTAGCCGCCCAGTCCGAAGGGTATACGACGCCGCACAGTGGGCCCAGCCATAAATTCAGGCACTCCACAGCAGCGGGTAACTGTGCCGGCCCAGCAAAGCCGCGTTGTAAGCAATACAGTCGTGGGGGCAGCCACCGGAGGCACAGGCACATTGAGACCAAATATTCAGCGTGCTACCATAGGAAATACAATGATACGCACGACGACAAGCATCAAACAAGAGCCCACCTCTCCCTTTGAGCAGCTGCGCAAGGGATATAACAACAACAAGCGGCCGGCACAGACCAGTATACTGTCGCCGCCGTCCAAGAAACCCAGCCTAGAGGAGGTCAAAGAATTTGCCGAACAACAGCGGATGCGTAAGCAAATTGCGGCCGAATATGGTGACAATGATCCGGAATACGATGGCGGCATGCTCTACGATGATGTCCATGCTGACGATGATGATGACGATATGCCACCGCAGCCATCAACGTCTAGGCAAAACCAGCCGACAACTCCACAGAAAGGCACACAGACCCAACTGGAGCATGGCACAACGACCATAATCCTCAAACAGGACTCGCCCAGCCAAACGCCGACGATCATCGTGAAGGATTCGTCGAATGCCAAGCTTAATCACACCAAAATCATTGCCGAAGTCTTGCGACAGTATCCGCATATCGTCAAGGGCCACAAGAACATCAAGCTAAAGATTATGCCCAACAATACGCCAACCAGCACTCCCGCCGAGAAGGCTGCCTCACCTGTGAAGCGTGCTGCGCCAGCAGTATCAGCCACAGCGACATCGCAATCCTCAACAGCAACGGGACCCACATCGCCGCACAAGAAGCTGCATGTTTCATTCAAAACTGACAAATCGACACCGTTGATAACGTCACAGCAGAAGGCAGCCACAACACAGCAAAAGCCATCATCAGTTTCACAGTCCGCCGTCCCAGCCCAGACATCCGCAGCGGCAGCAGCAGCGACAACAGCCAGCTCCGCGGCAACGGCATCGGCTCAGAAGCGTCGAATTGACAGCAAGACGATGCATACTTTGATATCACAAGGAGCTGAAAATACCACCGGTAAGTGGAAGGATTTCTTTAAACTCAATACCCAAAAATGTTGCTAATAAATATTAATTTGTGTATGTGTCAACAGGTCCTTGGCTGTGTCTGCGGTGCGGTGTGAATGGACGGCCCATTAGCATTCCTTCGTACAGGGGCTTTAGACGGCATCTCATCAACACTCACAAGGAGACCATCGATCCGGCGCTGTGCGAGCATTGTGGCTGGCGATCGGGAAACAATCGAGAGTTGCATTTCCACATGTATACGGAGCATCAAATCAAATCGCAGCTATACACATTCGCCGAGTGTGCGCTCTGCGATCAGACGTTTTTGACCAAACCTGACCTGGAGGCCCACATAAATGAGGCACACACCGACGAGAACAAGCAACAGTGCATCTATTGCAACAAGGTGTTTGATCAAGAGCTGCAGTTGTACAAGCACATGAAGGGCTACCACAAGGCCCAGGCCCTGGAGGATGGCATCATTGACGAGACGGATGAGGAGTACCAAGGCTCACAGGACGAGGAAGAGGAAGAAGCTGAGGAGGAGCAAGAACCGGAGGGCAAGGTTCGCATACTCTCGGACATTAGCTTGCCTGCCAACAGTGCCATAGCAGCGCAGCGGGCCAGCGCTGAGCAAGAAGCGGAAGAGCAGCAGCAGGAAGAGGAGGAGGAGCTAGAGCAGCCGCAGGAGGTGAAGTTTGTTGGAGCCGATGGCAATGAAGTGGAGCTCACAGACGAACAGCGAAAGGAGATTCTATCGCAGCTCAATCAACAGCAGGCAGGCGCTGCCGCTGGCGGTGTGGTAATGGTACTCAGCGAGCCCGAGGCGGAAACAGTAAAGCAAGAGGGCGATGCCAAATCCTTGGCCGGCACCGAAGAAGAGTACGATGACAGTCAGATCTACAGCGAACTCGGTGCTGCCGATTCTGTGGAGAGTGGCAAGAAGAGCGAGACTGGCAACAGTGCGGCAGATGAGAGCAAAGAGTCCGTTGACAATTTGGAATGGGCAGAGAATCTAATAGCCGAATCCGAGGAGCAGAACAGCAAGGAGGTACGATTTCTCCAATCTCTTGCTAATAAAGGAATATTGAATTTAAATTTATTTAATACGTTGCAGAAACAAGAGAAACCTCGCGACGACATTAGTGAAAAACTAAAAGAGTTGACGGGCGATTGGACCGAAGACGAGAACGAGGATGAAATGATGGAAATGGAAAAGCCTGCAAGCACAGAGATTGTCGCCAAGCAACAGCCCAAGAAAACAGAGGAAACCCAGCCAGTGGCTGAGGAAAGCAATATCGTCGAAGAGGAGGAGGAAGACGACATTGATTTGGCTCTAAAATCCATGCACAAGAGCCACGATGATTCGACATCAAAGACCAGTAGTGCGGCCGAACAGCCAGCTGCAGCCAGTGGCGGCGGCGAGGATGTAGTCAGTGTAGAAGAAGTCCCGACCACCAGTACAACAACTAGACACGATGAAAAAATGGATGTGGATACGGATACGGCTGAGGAGGACGCCCCACCAGCTGCTGATGCTGCTGACACAACAGAGACAGCAATTAAGATCAAGCGAGAGCATGAGGAGGATGAGGAATTCATCAAGGAAGATGCAACACAAGCAGATGTTCCCATGACAGATGCGGAAATCGATTCAAGTTCTGCAATAGCCGCCGATACTGAGGAGCATTTGGTGGAGGCGGAAGAAGATCAGGAACATTCGGAGACGGACAATATGCGCAAGGAGTTGCTGGATGAATTAATCGCCCAAGCCGAATCGCCCGAAGATGAGGACAAGAGGAGTACACCCCTGGAAGCGATAGAAGCAGCAGCAGCGACAACAGTAGCCACCACAGACAGTACCGAGACGGATGATGACCTGGTGCCTGCCACCCAGCTGCCTGCCAATCATCCCAGTCAGAAAGAGATCATTGAGTCGGAAGCAGAGAAACCAGCTGAGAATAATAATGATGGGAAGACGACAGTAGCTGTAGCAGTAGCAACTGCAGCAGCAGCAGCATCAAAGGAAGCAGCACAGGTCGAGGAGAAACCAAACAGCAGTGTTACAGGAGCCGAAGTCACAGATAAGTCGGCGGCGGCGTCGTCGGTCGTTGAGGTGGAGGAGGCGGCAAGTGCGGATAAGGTAAAAAGCCTCATTAGCGAATGGGCTGATGATGATGAAGATGAGGATGAGAATGGGGTTAGTGCTGCGGCAAAGGCGGAACTATAATTACTAGATTTATTTATGTTTTAAGTTTCGTTTATCTACTGTCGTCGTCGTCAGGCCAAAAGGAGGGTAGCCAGCATGCCCATCTGAAGTCCACAAGAATTTTCGGTTTCGAGTGTAAATTAAATCTGTTAAATAAGGAATGAGAGGAGCATGCCCCAAACATAAACACTATACACAAAGATACGTGTAAGATCTAATCTGCAAGTCTCACGTAATTATAAATGTAAATGCCCATCTTCAGCATTAATCCTAGATCCAGAGAGACCAACAAATCGCCCCGCACATTTTGCTACTTTTCATGATTTTTCTTTACCAATCAACCCAACATAAATCACCTTAATATAAACCCTTATATATATATGTATACAGACACGCGTATAGAGCTATATATAGTTACATATAGATGTTGTTTTAATTGGTTTAAAACATAAACAATTATAATTGCAGATTATTATTGCAATGAATGAAAATGGTTTGATGATCAGTCGATTTAGTAGTAGGTATGAAAAAAGAAAAGAAACAAAAAAAAACAAGAATGACCGATTTTTTGATTACCAACTTAGGATTTTAAGGTTTATTATTATAGCAGAAACAAAAAAAAAAAACGACACACACACAGATCAGATACTTTGGAGAAAAGAAAAAATATAAATGTAGACAAAAAAAAAACAAAAGTGAAATTTCATTGATTTGATTTGCTTCTCTTGCAGCAACTAGTTAAAACTCTCAACTGAGATACAAATACATTTTATTCTATAACAAAAGATTCATCAAGCATGCATAGTACATACATATATATAAAAGCAACACCTCTTAAACATATATAACAATGATCTGCCAATTAAAAATAATCTCTTACAAAACGAAAAAGAATACACAAGCACGAACGTCATCCCTGTTGGCAGAGCTAATTATTCCTCATCTGAAATGGAGTTTTTGGAGATTAGTAGTGGCCCATATAGACATGAGCAGAGCTCACATTGCGATACGCACCAGAAAGATAAAAGTTTATTATGCACATGGTGGCAAAGCCGGCAACAACTGTCGCAAATTGCGCAAATCCCGCCCAGCGTCGCGTTGGATGCGAGTGCCAGCGTGCCTTCTCGCGGGGTATCACTTCACAGACGGTGACGTAGAAAAGCGTGCCGCCGGCCAGTGCCTGAACAATGGGCAGTGTTTTCGACGACCATTCGGCGGGCACATCCACGATAAGCATGCCCAGGCCAATGCCACAGACGGCACCAAATGCAAATACCAAAATGCCCATAAATTGGGAGCGCAAAGTGGTCTGAGGATTGGAGCGAAACTCCAGGCCCAGGCAGAAGCCCATCACGAATTTGTGGCAAGCCACAGCGCCAAGAAGAAATAAAACCTGTAAAGAGACAAAGAATATGAGAGGGTGGATAGGCTTATCTAACTAGATTAAATAATTCGAAGCTTCTAATATTTGCTAAAGATTGTGCCCGGCTGTGTCTGTACCCCAAAACTATGTCAAGACCAGACTATGAACATACCTTTGTCGCTGAGTTTTGTACGCCAATCGCCAGTCCCTCAATGGCCGAGTGCAGAGACAATGCAACAAAGAGACCGAGAGTGCCGGTCATGGACTGGGCACATGGTTCTGTGTGACTCGTATGACATATGCGGGCATTTGCATCCTCTACACTAGCATCATCACAGCCGGAAGAGGTGCGATTCTGATCATGGATGCTGCATATAAAAAAAGCAATAAATTATTAGGGTCGAGAGGGAACTGTAATCGATTTACTTTTCGCTGTGATGCGAATGATGTGAATGTGACGTCGACGGCTGTGCTGATAGCAAGGGCGCACGTTCACTGATTGCGCCATATCCATTGTGTTCCCTGTCTGGGTCAACTTGGGCATGTGAGGAGGTTGAGGGTTCACGTTCATGTTCATGTTCATGGCCGTGACTGTGCGTATGCTGAATGGCCTCGCCAAAGAAATAGTGTATAAACTCGTCAATAAAGTAGATGATGAAGAAACCTGCGCACATGGCCACCTCAGCGAATTTCGAATTCATTTGCTCGCGCACCTGTGTTTGGAATGGATAATCAAATTACATTCCAGGTAACACAAAACCAACGAAAAGCCAGGTGAGGTGTTTCTCACCTCAGGCAAAATATGAACCAATGCTGTGGCCAGCAATATGCCCGCACCAAAGCATAGCAGCAGCGACGTAGTCAGTGGGAATCGTCTCCTGTTGCGCTCTGAGATAATGGCGGGAAGCATACCAGACAGGAAGCTTCCCAGGCCAAGTACCAGCATCGCCAGGACCTTCTCCCAGTCACCGCGATTCGGGGCGTCCATATTGGTGTTCGATGTGTTGACCATATCCATAGTTCCACTTGCTAAACTCATTGTTCAGCTGGCAAGCTTAGTCATCAAACCTGGGACAGCAGTACAGTAACAAGTTCGTTGCATTTACTATTTTTAAACGAAACAGAAAAAAACACAGCTGCGGCGCAGCTGCAAAAACCGATGGAATTATTATCGGTAGATGCAACGCTGGAATGCTTCACGAAAACGGCTTTGAAAATCCCACAACAAAATACCGAACATAGCCTGAAAAATACTGTCTCGATAACATCGAACAAAAATATGTAAAATAAAAATTCAAAAATTAACTGTTTGCGTCCCCTCCGCACTATTTTCGTTCTTTTGTAGATTTGAAATGGCTCGTCGTTGTATCGTCTGTGGCGAAGAGCCAATTGGACACTACATCTATCCACACACCATGGCAGAGGCGTATAAATGGTTAAATTTGGCCAATCTTGATTCGTACAACATGGAAGTGCCTACATTTCATCAACGTGCATGTGTCTGCGCCAAACACTTGAAAGGATGTAACGAGGAACAACCAGATCAAAGGCAGAAATCTGGCAATGATGATCCCAGTCGTCGCTCAAGTGTCAAGTCATCTGAAAATCATGGTCAATGGCCAAGTGCCCACTATCCAACGGGTATGAATCAGAACATGTCCAATTCCAGAAGTCCAAGTCCCAGTCCAAGGCGTCAATCTGGCTACAGTCCCCAGCAGCAATGCTGGCGTAGTCTTTGTCATTTCATCAACAATAATCGACCGCAAGTAATGAGAATATGTCCCGAAACAGAGTATTGTCCAAACATGCAGCAACAGCAACAGCTGCAGCAGCATCAGCAGCAACAGCAGCAACAGCAGCAGCAGCAGCAACAGCAGCAGCAGCAACAGCAGCAACAGCAACAGCAGCAACAATCGATGTGCCAGACAGTATCCAATGAATCTAGCACGTCCCAGGGAATGCCATGCCCACAAGATGGACATTATCGTTTATGTCAGAATCCTAGGTGTCATGTATACAGTTCGTACGCCCTAATGTCCCAACAGAGGGAAATGATGGAGAGCACTGAACAGAGCCAACAAACGCAAGAGCCGGTGTCGCAATGTTCAGCGCAGGAGCAACAACAGCAGCAATCCGCTGAAGGGGTTTATCTCACCTTAAATAATACACTCGACAAACAACAGCAAAACCGAAAATGTAGCAATGGATTAGACCCACAACCAATGTCACAAAGGCTGCGACCGAAACAGCAGGAACAGGAGCGACAGCAACAGCATCCACAGCAGCAGAAGCGTCCAAATCGTAGTAATTCCAGATCTGGGCAACAGCCAATGCAGACCAAGAAGCCCAGAAGCGAGTGCTGTCGGGCATGCAAAGTGAAGGATCAAGGGGTTCAGTATGACGCACAAATGGTTCAGCCATCGCCATCCCTTGGTAGACCTGCCTCGCGACCAAGTTGCTCAACCAGAGCAAACCAGCCAATGAACGACGGATGCGGTGTACCATCCAAGATGCAATTCTCCACAGCCTCCAACAATGGCATTGTGTATCCAACGGGGCCAGTGGTTGGGAAGCGTTCGACTCCGCCTGCAAAGTCCAATAATGTGATTGACATGTCTGCCATTTTGGGTTTGCAAAATGAACAGAGTGAGCGGCGTCCTAGCAGCAACACCACACCGAACACCGTTAATGTCCTTATCATGCCCGGTGCGCCGAAAGAGAGCTGCGAGGACGACTATATCTGTCCAGAAAACTTTCAGCCGTCGCCCCTCAGTCAGATTCGGTTGCTCGAATCGGATCTAACCGATAATAATGAGAGAGCAAATTTCCCGGACTTGGATCATCCCAACTATAGGCTATGCCGCGCTTCCACCAACGATTCGGAGACCGATTGCCAAGGCGATGATCAGGACGCGAACTGCGCTGATGTCCTGTTGCTTGACAAGGGTCCAGGCTGTGGTAGATGTCCATCCATCTGCGTCTGTGACAAGAAAAACGAAAATGGCAACGACTGCGGTCAATGGAACACCGGAGCCAAGGCACAGTTGCAGCAGAATCAATCCTTGGCACCGCTGCAGCAGGATCAAGCCCTGCCAGAACGTACCAACTGGTTTGATAACCCGGCTACATCGAATAGCACGAGAGTCCTCGAATTGCAACAGGCACGCATCAAGGAGCTGTACTCATTGCTGACACAACAAAACGTTCTGCAGAAAACCATTCAGGCCAAGATGAACGAGTTGCAGCATATTGAAGCTGAGCAAGGGCCATCTGGCACTGAAACTGACCAAGGGCCATCTGACACTGAAGCTGAGCAAAAACCAACTCGCAGTGGAAATGCGACACCAAACAAAGGAACACAGACCAACAGAAGGTCAAAATAATGCGTGGGGACGCAAACAATATGCAGACACGGAATTAACAGAACCTGCTACGCATTAATCTAGTCAATAATACAATTAAGGAATACATTTGGAATGCCTTTTGATGAATTTGGGGGTGAAGAGTGGTTTATTCGCAAATACCGCATGAAACATTCCAAACATTCGGCTTGTGGCATTTAATCAAGAGCTAATCCTTACAGGCCTAGGCAGCAGTCTGAATGACATCTGTGTAGAGCTTCACCTTGGTGGCAATGCTCATGTCGACGTACTTGTCGGCGATGGACACAACCAAACCACCAATAATGCTGGGATCCACACGAGAGGTGATCTTCAGCGACTGGTTGGGCTTCAAGAAAGCCTGCAACAACAAGAATATATATCAAATAGAGGCATGGTAGACGGTTATATGAGACAAGGTCTCGTACCTTGAGTGCACCCTCCAACTGCTTGTTCTGGGACGAGTCCAGGGGCTTGGCGCTGATCACTTCGCAGACAACCTCACCACGGTGGGCAGCCATGATCGTCCTGAAGGCGGAGATGACGTTATCAAGCTTCTTCAAGCGGCCATTGTCGGCCAGCAGACCCAAAAGGTTGCCAGTGGCCACGGCAAAGCTAAGCTTGGTGGATGCCTCCTTCAGGGCAATGCCCATGACCTTCCTGTTGATGATCGGGCTGGTCACACGTTCGCGTAGCTTCTTATCGCCCTTGATGGTCTCCTGCAGAGCAATCAGATCCTTCTCCACCTGGTCCAACTGGTTCAATTTGGTGGCAGCCGAGTACAAGGCAGTGGCATAGCGGCCCTCCAGACCGAACAACTGCACTGGAGGCTTCACCGCCTTGGTGGAAACAGCGGCGGAGCTGAGTGCACGGCTCTGCGGAAATTTCAAATAAACAATATTAATGCTCTTTGAATTAACGACATTAAAACGTCCGAAAATTGGTTCATTTCGCGAATTACATAACCAACAAATATGCGTTAGATAATTATTGATTCGTTGGAAGGTCTTTTCTCACTTATCTCACACACTCTGCCATTCCAATACCATCGCCTGGCACGGATAAAAACATCTTTCCTTTGATTATATGCACAAAACCTACCAAAATTGCCAATTTGTTAATGGAGGCCATCGTTTAAGTCCTAAGAATTTTTCAGCTAAAATCGCAGCTGTGACAAACAGGGTTACTTTGATTAGAAGGCTTTTCGATATACGCGCCAGGGTTGCACAGCGCCGATAAGAAAACGATAGCTGCACTAACGCTAACGGTTTAGGCGGGCATATGGTCATACTGTTTAAATTTTCGTCAAGCACGTCAGAAAGAACAATTTTTTCAAGCTCAGTTTTCATTTTATAAAAGTTTTTCATTCTAAAAAAAATGGCTTCTATTAGCTTGTTGAATCCCAAGGCCGAGATTGCCCGTGCCGCCCATGCTCTGGCGATCAACATCAGCGCCGCTAAAGGTCTGCAGGATGTAATGCGCACTAACCTTGGGCCGAAAGGAACTGTGAAAATGTTGGTCTCTGGTGGTGGCGACATCAAAATCACCAAGGACGGCAATGTGCTGCTGCATGAGATGCAAATTCAGCATCCAACTGCATCGATGATTGCCCGGGCCAGCACCGCCCAGGACGATTCTACTGGCGATGGCACCACCACCACAGTGATGCTGATCGGTGAGCTGCTCAAGCAGGCCGATATCTATTTGTCGGAGGGTATGCATCCACGCATTATGGCCGATGGCTTTGGCAACGCGTGCGAAAAGGCGCTGGAGGTACTCGAAAATTGCAAGGTTCCGGTGGAAATCAACAAGAAGAATCTGATGGAGGTGGCCAACACCAGTCTGAAGACCAAGGTGCATCCCGTGCTGGCCGATCTGCTTACCGAGGTGTGTGTGGACGCCATACTGACCATTGCGAATGGGTCCATCACCCCAATTGATCTGCACATGGTGGAGCTGATGGAGATGCAGCACAAGACGGCCACGGACACGCAGTTGGTGCGTGGTCTGGTCCTGGACCATGGCGGCCGCCATCCGGACATGCCCAAGCGTTTGGAGAATGCCTACATTCTCACCGCCAATGTCTCCCTGGAATACGAGAAGGCTGAGGTCAACTCTGGATTCTTCTACAAGACGGCCGAGGAGCGCGAAGCTTTCGTCCGTGCTGAGCGCGAGTTCATTGATCAGCGTGTCAAGAAGGTGATCGATCTGAAGCGTTCGCTGTGCGATGGCACAGACAAGTCGTTCGTGCTGATCAACCAGAAGGGAATAGATCCCCTCTCCCTGGATGCCCTGGCCAAGGAGGGAATACTTGCTCTGCGCCGCGCCAAGCGCCGCAACATGGAGCGTTTGGCTCTGGCCTGTGGCGGGACCGCCTTGAACACCTTTGAAGATCTGCAGGAGGAGCATCTCGGCTATGCAGGTGTCGTGTACGAGCACGTGCTGGGCGAGAACAAGTACACCTTTGTGGAGGACTGCAAGCATCCGCTTTCGGTCACTATTCTGATTAAGGGCCCCAACAAGTTCACCATTCTGCAGATTAAGGATGCCATTCGCGACGGGCTGCGCTCCATCAACAATACAATGGGCGACAAGGCTCTGATCCCCGGTGCTGGCGCATTTGAGGTACGAGCCTACAACGAGCTGTTGGTCTACAAGGACACCATCAAGGGCAAGGGCCGCCTGGCCGTGCAGGCCTTTGCTGATGCCCTGCTGGTGGTACCCAAAACGCTGGCCATCAACAGTGGCTACGATGCCCAGGACACAATGCTGAAGCTCGTCACCGAGGATCGCCTGACCACCGATTTAATTGGCCTCGATTTGGCTACCGGTGAGCCCATGAAGCCTGTCGATATGGGCATCTATGACAACTACATTGTCAAGAAACAGATCCTAAACTCTTGCTCAATCATAGCCAGCAATCTGCTGCTCGTCGACGAGATAATGCGTGCTGGCTTGACCAGCCTCAAGGGTTAGGTTAGTCCGTGCCCCCTATAAATATATATATCTTATTCTAAATACAACAATGTTCACTTAATACAAACTAAATAAAAGCAAGGCTTTCAAGTCCACTCTGTTAAGAGATTCACGTCTTTTGTTTTTATTTGTAATTTTTAAATTGTTTTTTGTTTCTTTTTCTTCATTGAAAATACGCGTTTGATTTTTTACTTAAAATAAGAAAATGGTTGGTTGGATTTCGCCATCAACTGTGGGTGGTTGACTGTAGCTCTACGAATTCACATACATAGAATCAAATATAATGGTAAAGTGGTTGTGTGGGGGGGGTGGAAACAACACTTTGGGCTTTCTGTTTATCCATGCTGTAAGGTGTTTTTACTTGTCATCTGAAAGAGTATGATTTGAACGAATTAATGATATTATTTTACTTGAATATATTGACCAGTTCTTACCTTCATCTTCATCGTCATCATCACCTTCGCCATCCTCGCCGTCTTCGTCCTCGAACGTCTCCTCTTCGTTGTCGTCGTTATCTTCCTCATCTTCTGGCTCCACTTCAATATCAGGTACCAGGTAATACTGCAGTGGATTTGGCCAAAGATCATCCTTTATCAGTTCCGCAATTTCATCGTTGACGGGATCGGTGTTATCCGAGAACCAATCAAAGAAGGTCTTGTATTCGGAATTGCGTTTCTTCTTGTTGCCATAGGGTTTCGTCAGCAGCTGTTTCAGCAGATTTTTGCCCTCCTTCCAGTTAATAGGAGTGCTAGTCGACGCGGGCCAGTCCGAGCCGTTCTCTGAAGCTGCTAGAAACGTAAAAGAAAAAAAAATGTTTTATATATATTTACAGTTTGAGAGATCCCATCTTACCCGCTGAGTTCAAATGGAACTCTTTGGTGAGCACCTTGTTCTCAAAGTATGGATTCTCGTCAAAATGGAAATTGATACGATAGCCAGATTTGATGTCCTCAAATTCCTCAACCTCCAGCTTGCTTAGGGCATGCAAACATTCCTCCTCCTCTTCGTCCAGAATGCCAGATACTTGTGGGTGGTTGATGAACTGAAATGGGGAGAAAGAGTTGAGTTAATTGCGTTGATTCTTAGCACCGAACCGGACCTTATCATCATACAGCTCACAGCACAAATGTGCTTCACAATCGATAACGATAGCCCGTGTCTCCCTCCCCGGCGCCATTGCACAGCAAGTACGCAGTTTTTATATAATTTGCAATACGGAGAAGCAAACTAAAGCCATTTTAATTGAAAAACAGCTTTATCTCAAACTAATACACTCTAGCTGCATGCAAAAGTAAGCTTATTTTTTTAGCAGACGACATGCAGACACATCTATCGATACACACACACGCTCGCGCAGAAAAAGAGCGGTGCGGCGGCGATGGCGGCGGCATCAAAAGATGAAGAAAAAAAATTGCCTGAATAGAGACAAATTTTCATGGAACCCTCAAAATGGGGGGAAGAATCAACTACACTTTCTGTCTATAATGCTGCATCAGCTTTGCCGCCACTTTTTAAACACTTGAAGTCCGAAATTCAGCTCTAAACATGGAAACGCACACCATGCAAACTCATGGCCGGGGGCCGGCCCGTATAGATGTGATAGGATAGGACTACTTACCGATGTCACCCAGAAGTTTGGCACCCTCTTGACGAGCTCGCTTCTCTTCTCATAGCATGGCTTCCGCAGTTTATTGTATTTCTGCTCGACCTTAAGGATCTCTTCGCTGGCCTTTTCGTTAAGCGCATCAATCTCGTTTTGGCAGGCATCGATTAGCTCTAATGCCTCAGACTCCTCCTCATTGCCGGCAGGTCCATCGACGGCTCCATCCAGTTTTGGTCGTTTTGGCACGCTCGACATTCTGATTGTTTTTTTAGTGTGTGTGTGTGAGCCTGGGTCTGGGGTGATACTTGTGCAATTACAAGTAATTTTATATTGTAAAACAATTCAGCAAAACGGCGGTACAGTCGACGAGTAGAGTTTGCGGCAGAACTGTAAAAACGTATCGATGGTGGGGTGGAAACCATCGATGGTTTTAGAATTGTGCGATATATCGCATCGATGTATCGTTTGAAATCACATACAAATAATAATCATTTTCACAACACTGTGGATTCGTGGAGTAACGAAATGCATCGCAGCATTCAGATACAATACTGAAATCACAGCAGCATTTGCCTTTTTATTTTGTACCGTATTGTAAAATTTGTAATGGTCATGCCGATATTTCGATGGTTTAAGGCGATATATTGATCTATCGAAGACAAGTATTCACATCCGAGCTGTTTCGTTTTACAACACTAGCAAATTACATTCGCGTTTTCTGCCCTTTACAACACGCGCAGAGAATATTTGATGCCGAGGAGAAGGAGCTGGAGATTAATTTTATAATTTTATATATAAATCGTTTTTAAAAACATTAAAAACATGGCCACGGCTGAAGCTCAAGTCAATGTGAATCGGAATTTGCAGAAGCAGGACCTTAGGAATTTGGTAAGCACACGAAAATTGCAATCTACTCGTCGTCTGTTTTTTTCCCCCGTGTGTGAAAGTGTACGCGTCGTCATTATTGTGCCGCTTCCACTGAAAACAGCGGGGTGCGGAGGCGGCAGGACGCGCCCAGATATCTTTGTATGAAAAAACATAATTTCTTAAAGCACCCACATCCATTTAACTTTACACACTTACGTTAGTCTCTCTGTTGCCGACAACATTTTGTTATTTCTCACACCCACGGGGGGTGAGCGTACACACGAAAAATGCAGCACGTGGCGTTAGTTTCTGGGCTTGTGCAGATTTTCTGGGGTTTTTCTTTGCTCGGCATCTAACATAGTCGTACGTCTCAAATGTATCACATCTTGTGTGCAGTTTTGCTGAAATAGAGCGGCTCAATTGTTGCCACCAATCTATCTGATGCAATACAAATGCCATTCTAACCTCAAAATCTACGGCTTTTCCCATACACACACACACACATTACAAATTCTCGTGCGTATACTACGATAAGTTTAGTGTATGTTGAGGGGGTGGTAAAATACGACAAGAACATCCCCCCAGCAGGCAACTCCATTCATTGATCATATTTTATCTACGGTATTCGTCTTACAGGAAGTCAGCAACCTTACACCTCTGTCGCCCGAGGTGATCTCGCGCCAGGCGACCATCAACATTGGCACAATCGGACATGTCGCACACGGAAAATCCACCGTAGTCAAAGCCATATCCGGCGTGCAGACGGTCCGCTTTAAAAACGAATTGGAGCGCAACATTACAATTAAGCTCGGTGAGTGGGTGGGTGTATATGCAACATGTGATGGTGATGATATATCTACATATGTATACTTGTAAATCAATAACTTAAACATAGTTAGAACTATACCTAATGTATCAATGTAAATGGCTTAAGCATCTGCACACTCTCGAGTGTGCGATCTCCTCTACTGATCTGTGTTGCGGATTTACTCTCGAGCAGTTCCAAAGCGATCTTTAGCCTTTTAAGTACACTGTGACGACGGCACACCCGCGTAGGTAGCCGCCAACTGCTGTTGATGCTGCGTATTACTGCGGCTCCTTGAATTAGTTGTTTTTTTTTTAATGTCGCTGGTTTGAAACGATATATAAATGGTCAAAACAAAAGCGTTCTGTAAATGATTGTGTTCCTTTTTGTAATTGTGTAATTTGTATACTTAAATTGCTGGATTAGCATGCAGTGCGCCCCTTCCAAGGTGTGTCGTCGCCTTTCTGTAGATAGAAAGAGTAAAAAAGAAAAAGTTGTACTAAAAGATAGTTTCATCTTTTTGTTAGGAATCTCTTGTCTTCTATCTTTCTGTATTTCTGTATGCTTAGTCTCTTGCAATGATTGATTGTTTATTATGATTGATTGACTGATAATCCAGCAATTTAATTAATTGCAAATCTTTTTCTTCTTTTTCCCGTTTTTTCGTTTGCCCAACGACGCGCGCCAACCACACGTTGCGACCCACAAAAATCAAAAACAAACAAAAATGTCCAAAACAAAAACAATTGTCATTTGCAGAACGCTTAAGCGAAAAGAAAATCCAACTACTTATGAATTCCAAGCACCAGCGACACAAATACGATATCCAGCAGCAAAAGCAATTGCGGCTTCTCGCCGAGCGGCGAAAGGAAAGGTTGACAAAGTCACCCCATGGCCCTGCTCCAGTGCCAGCCTCATCCATGGAAAGAACGCGCTACAGTCGTCGCAGCAACAGCCAAACCTCATTGAGTCCCAGCCATAGCAGCGGCTATGGCAGCATCCTGGGCTGCGATGATAACGATCAATTATCACAGCTGACTGCTGGCCCCCTGAAAGTGACCGACCTTAAGCGGCGACGTAGCAGCGGTGTCCAGACACCCACACCATCGGCCAAAAGGAGCAAGAGCAACGATGGAAAGACGGTGAAGAAGCGACCCAAGGGCGAGTACATTGTGGAGAAGATCGAGTGCGTGGAGGTGGTCCAGTTTGAGCCCGTTTTCTTTGTGAAATGGCTGGGCTACGATCTCAACGCCAACACATGGGAATCGTACGACAATCTGTCGGATTGTGTCGAAATGGAAAAGTTTGTTGAGAGCCATCTGCAGCTGCATCAGATTTATATAGCCCACATCACTGGGGAGCTGGAGACGCAGCTCTCGAAAATACCGCAAAAGGAAGATATTGAAAGTATTGGCATTACAGAGATTGATGCCTATGATCCACTGGAGCTGCAGATTGATTTTATATTGCTCGCGCAATACCGTGCCGCTGCCAGTCGCAGCCAGCGGGAGCCCGAGCGAATCGGGCAGCGTGCCCTGCGCCGCATGCAGATCAGGCGGTGTCACTTTGCACGCCGCAAGCAGCTGCAGGATTTGTTGCGGTTTGAGCAGCGAATGAATCGAGTGGAGCTGCCGTCGCCGCCCATACGAGTGGAGAACAATTGGGATCTGGACACGATTGACAGCGGCTTCAAGTACATACAAAAGAACATAATTGGAGCAGGGGTACCCAAGCCGCAGGCTGGACTTGTGGGTTGTAGGTGCAATGAGAGCGGAGAAAGTTGCACCGCCTCTTCCATGTGTTGTGGACGAATGGCTGGTGAAATCTTTGCCTACGAGCGTAGCACGGGGCGTCTGCGGCTCCGCCCAGGCAGTGCCATCTATGAGTGCAATAGCCGATGCTCCTGCGATGAGAGTTGCACGAATCGTCTGGTACAGAAAGGACGACAGCATCCGCTAGTGCTCTTCAAAACCAGCAATGGCAGTGGTTGGGGTGTCCGCACACCGCAGGCCCTCAGGAAGGGAGTGTTTGTCTGCGAGTATATCGGAGAGATTATCACCTGCGAGGAGGCTAATCAGCGTGGCAAGGCCTACGATGACAATGGGCGTACCTATCTGTTTGATCTGGACTACAATACATCGCGGGATAGCGAGTATACTGTGGATGCGGCCAACTATGGCAATATATCGCATTTTATCAATCATTCATGCGATCCCAATCTGGCCGTGTTTCCTTGCTGGATCGAGCACTTAAATATGGCTCTGCCCCACCTGGTCTTCTTCACCATTCGTCCAATCAAGGCGGGGGAAGAGCTCAGCTTTGACTACATTCGAGCCGACAATGAGGATGTGCCCTATGAGAATATATCGACGGCTGCGCGTGTCCAGTGTCGATGTGGGGCGGCCAATTGCCGGAAGGTTTTGTTTTAGGTTTTGATGCCAGCGTTTGATTTTTTAAAAATTACATATGTACTATATGTACTCCACTGAAATTACTATATACATATATGTAGGATTTAATTATATTTTTTGTCCAAATATCACAATTAAATTAAATAAAAAATTATACAAATAAATAAAATTTAATATATACTATGTATGTAGATTATGAGGCATGCTATGGCTATAAGGCTAAGGTTTCCAAACGAGCTTATAGAACTCATTTGTGTGCATTTTATTCGGTTTAATTTTTGCAGGTTATGCCAATGCCAAAATCTACAAGTGCGACAATCCCAAGTGCCCGCGTCCGGCTAGCTTTGTGTCGGATGCCTCGAGCAAGGATGACAGCTTACCCTGTACACGACCCGCCTGCTCTGGCAATTTCAGACTGGTGCGGCATGTGAGCTTTGTGGATTGCCCTGGTCACGACATTCTTATGGCCACCATGTTGAACGGTGCCGCTGTAATGGATGCCGCACTGCTGCTCATTGCTGGTGAGTGAATCGATGATCCCAATTATCTATTGGCTTTAGCTAACGTTCTGGGTGTTTCTTTTATTTTTTTTACAGGCAATGAATCCTGCCCACAACCGCAAACCTCTGAGCATTTGGCTGCCATTGAGATCATGAAGCTGAAACAGATCTTGATATTGCAAAACAAAATCGATCTGATCAAGGAGAGCCAGGCGAAGGAGCAGTACGAGGAGATCACCAAGTTTGTCCAGGGCACCGTTGCCGAGGGCGCGCCGATTATACCCATTTCGGCCCAGCTCAAATACAACATTGATGTGCTGTGTGAATATATTGTGAACAAGATTCCTGTGCCCCAGCGGGACTTTAATGCGCCGCCACGTTTGATTGTCATCCGCTCCTTCGATGTGAACAAGCCGGGCTGTGAGGTGCAGGACCTGAAGGGTGGCGTCGCTGGTGGCTCCATTCTGAGCGGTGTGCTGAAGGTGGGCCAGGAGATCGAAGTGCGTCCCGGTGTGGTGACCAAGGACAGCGATGGCAACATCACCTGCCGCCCCATATTCTCGCGCATCGTTTCGCTCTTCGCCGAACAGAACGAACTGCAGTATGCTGTACCCGGTGGCTTGATCGGTGTGGGCACCAAAATCGATCCCACGCTCTGCCGTGCCGATCGTTTGGTTGGCCAGGTGCTGGGTGCTGTCGGACAGCTGCCCGACATCTATCAAGAGCTGGAAATTTCATACTACCTGCTGCGTCGCCTGCTCGGCGTACGCACGGACGGTGACAAGAAGGGTGCGCGTGTCGAGAAGCTGCAGAAGAACGAGATCCTGCTGGTCAACATTGGATCGCTCAGCACTGGCGGTCGCATCTCGGCCACCAAGGGGGATTTGGCCAAGATTGTGCTCACAACTCCGGTGTGTACCGAGAAGGGAGAGAAGATTGCACTCAGCAGACGTGTGGAGAACCATTGGCGGTAAGTACACAGCGATTACAGCCATCCATAAACATTCCAATCTAATGGCATTCTTTGCTTACAGTTTGATTGGATGGGGTCAGATCTTTGGAGGGAAGACAATTAATCCCGTTCTGGACAGTCAGCCGAAATAGAAATAGATTAAGGACCCCCATAGACAGCCCAGCCCGATTCCGATCCCGATTGGTTTGCCAAGCCGTAGCAGTGGCAGTAGCAGCATCATCATCTTTATTACCCCCCTAAAGCGTATTTTATGTCCTGCTCCTTGGTCCCCTCCGCCACCACCTTCCTTCCGCCGACGCCAACGTGTCCTTTGATCAAACCGAAAGCAAACTACATACATAACTTAATTTATTGAATTTTGTTGTATGTACATAAATCACACAAATTTCGCTTGCGAGTGTTTTGCAACCCATAGCAGAATCAGGCATTACAAAAAAACTAATAGGTTATACCATATACATAATATATAAAACAAACAAACAAACAAAAAGAAACTAAATGGCAAAATCTGATGCATCGTAAAATTGTTTTTATGATTTAAATACAAAAAAGGAAAATGAAACGAAACAAAAGAAAAAAACAACAAATTGTATTTGCATTTTTTTACAATTAAAACCATGAGAATGACTTCTTATTATGGGATGAGATTTTGGATTGATAAATATCACGGGGGTGAAGGTTTTGCGAAGCTACCCACAAAATGTTGGTAGTTTCTGTGCTGTCGATGAGATTTTCCACCCAATGCGGAATAGCAGGCAACAAATCAAGCGATTCCTTCAATCGAAAACACTCCTTTAATATTTCATTATAGACCAATTTATTTTTGCACGTTTTTTTAGTTCAATTAAATTTAAATAGTTACAATACGATTTGTTGTTCAATAACACATTGATACTCGTAATATTTTTTTTATTTTGTTTTTGTTTTTAAGCAACTATTCATTCAGAAAAAATGTTGTTATCGAAACATTTGCTGGACATCGATAATTAATCAATGCAAATCGCAGTTTATCGACAACATAATTTTCAATGTTGAATAATTTTGAAACGGTTTTATTTTTTTTTGGGTTTTTCGAATTTGGTAAATTTGTTTTAACTATCTCCACACACTAGTTTTAAATATAATTTATTTTTTTTGTTATTTCTATATTCCATTTTTTAATTGTAAACTACTTTTTACCAAGTATTTTTTTTTATTTTATTTTTTAGTTTAATATTTGTTTTGTTTCTTGAGATTTTTCATCAATTAGTAAATATAGCTTAATGAATAAAAATTCGTACTTAGCCGTGATGTACATATGTTCTTTTGTTGTTGTTCATTGAATAGTTTTTTTTTAAACTAAATTTTGATAAATGACTCGTCACTAATAAGTTTTATTATGAAAAACGTTTGATTCCATTGATTATTTTTGTAATACTATTGAGTAATTTCTGGTAATACTTATAATTTCATTTTTTTGTTAAACTAAAGCCCCGCCCAAACACGGTTGGGAGAATGGGGGACACACGATTGCGTTGTGGTCAGTACACGCTTTGAGCATTTCATAACAGAGCTATTTTCTTTTTGTCATTAAGTATATATCCGAAACTAAACAACAAATTGTACATTCTTATAGATATATATATATTTTGAGCATCCATTGAACACAATTCAGTTTTCGTCAGACCAAAAGTCCCCCCGTCGGATCCCAGATCGCATTTACAACCAAAAAGTCGGAACAAAAATCACATTCTCATGTGTTTGCTTGTCCAAAGATCAACATAATTAAATTATTAAACAAACAAACTATATGTATATAAAACAAAGAAAATTAAGAACCTATTCAATATACATATATTTTCTCTCTATTCTTTGGCTTTCCATCTATTTTAAGCTTTCCACTAATTGCTGGCATAACTAACACTCCTGGCTTAGTATCTCTCCGTTGTTTGAGTATAATTACTATTTTTGTTTTTGTTTTTTTGCAAATTGATTAAATCAAACAATGTATCGTTTTTTTTTTTTATTATCTGAGCAACCTAGTGCCGTGCCGCCTCTCGCTGCCTCTCACTGCTTCTTGGGGGACGTGTGGCTCTACTATCTATCATATATTTTTTGGTGACTACATATATCGCTAGCATTAGACGACAGACTTACTGCCTTGGGGTAGTTACGGGCTCCGCCGCCTGCTGAATGAATAAAGAAGAATTTAAAATTAAATGATTCTGTAGCCAAGAAGTCCTTCGTTATCGTTAAAGAAACCGTCTAATGTCTAAAACACGACTTTTATCATTTTTTTTCCACTTACTTATCTATACACTGAATTATGTTAATGTTATATATATTACATTCATTTGGGGGTTACATTGTATTGTATGCGAAAAGAAAAACGAACAATTATAGAAATACGATGGAGTGTGCGGCGTGTGAGGAAGAACTGTAGGGGCTTAGGCTTATTGGAATGTGATTGCAAAAATTCGTAGCCCTATTATTCCTTTTGTTTGTATAAGTTTAAGTTAAAGCTTATCCTAGAGTTCTTTTCGGGGGTGGTGGTGTGCAGCAATCAGGGCGCGGGGTAAATACCTTCAATGTTGGTCAGATTCCATAGTTATAAAAAAGTTACGATACATTATGTATATAGAATAGATATTACATATACAAATACATATATATAATAATTATTGACAGTTAACGGTCGGCAGATGGCAGTTATGTTTGACATCTTCTCATCCTTACATCATAAATATATTCAAATGCATTTACGCCAAGTATTCAACAGTTTCTCTAATCCATTAATCCATAATGTGTGTATCCATTGATTATAATTGATTTCCCTTCCTAATGGTATTCATATACATACAGTTTTGTCTTCAATTACATACATACAGAGATATACAGGAGGTGTGTGTTGGGGTGCATAACAAACACGCAAATTTACATGCCGCTGATTGGTTGGTTAGAGTATCTTAAATGTACGCATATCTAAACAGTCAGTGAATCTACATATTCAATGCCATAACTATTCGATAGATATACATTACATTACATTTCGTGAGCATTAGATTTAAAGTACATTTTCGTATGCCTATATACAGGGATCTCTTTTAATTTTTGCAGCAACAAATACGTTGATATCTAACTCTTTAGCTTTAGCTTTACTCTTTGGGGGTATGGTACTATTTTCTGTAGCCTACATTTTCTTTAGGATGCACACACTTCGGGCCCAGGGGGCATCTTAAAGAAAATGGCTTAAATCTCATTCGTTAACATCCTCGTCCGATGAGCTGGCAGCGGGAATCGTTGAGAATTGCCACGGCTCTCGATTGTTATTTTTGCTAACAGATCTGCAAGGGAATATTGAACTATAAACAAGTTGAATCTCCAAGCCATTGCTTACAGGATCACTCACCCATGCTTCTTGGCATTGCTGGGCAGCGTATGCGAACTCCGATAGTAACTGTCGTGCGGCTCCTCTTTGGTCTCCTCAAGCGATTTACGCTGCAGCGTCATGGTCTCTTGCGGGGAGGCTGAGGAGCCGCCGCCACTCATTTCCGCATCCAGATAGTATTTGGCACTCTGCGCTATCTTGCAGTTCTCGCACTCGCTCAGATAGTCATCGTCTAGGCTGGTGTCGTTGGGCAAGAAGTGCTCCTTGGGATTTAAACAGTTATTCGAGGTGGTGCAAACGGGCAATTGCTTGCTCGGTGTTGTCGATGCCGATCGTCCGCCGCTGGCGTTGCTTTTTGGCGCCGTCAGCGGATAATTTGGCATCTGGCAATGGGCTATGGCCAGACTCGTGCCCGTGCCCGTGCCCGTGCCCATTCCAGTTCCCGTGTCGCGCTTTACACGCAATATCTTTGGCAGTGTTGTGCTTTTGGATGCAGCAGCAGCAGTCGTTCCAGTAGCATTGTTGTTCTCCACGGGCGGTATGCTGATCACCGATGGCACCTTGCTGACCACGCTGTTGATGGTGCTGTTTAGCGACACCTTGCCGCTGATGTGCTTTGGCAGGGTGTAGGTCACATGATTCGCCAGTGGATAGAATGTGCTCGAATTGATCTTGCCGCTGGCCAGCAGCAGCTTCTCTCCGGTGCCGGGACTTGCCGGCGGCAGTGTCAGTGTGGGTGTGGTTTGCTCTTTCCTCAGAACACTCGAGCTGGCGGCTGACTTGCTCAGCGTATAAATGGTGGCCACGCTGTTGTTGTTGCACGTGGTGGAGGAGGAGGAGGAGGATGTAGGGGCCCCCCCCGACGCTGTTTTGGCGACTGTTGAGCTTTTTAAATTCGTTAGGCTTTTGTAGAGTTTCGGTGGTAAAGTGGGATTGCTTTGATCGTGATGTTGTTGCTGTCGCTGCTGCTGTTGCTTCTGCTGTTGTTGTTGGTTAAAGAAATGTTGCTGCTGTTTCTGTGTCAAACTCAAGTAGGCATCAACCTGCAAGTACATATGGGATTAGCACTCGGCAGCCAAATTAAAACTCAGATCGGGGAATGGAATCAGGCAATGGCAGCCACATCACATCACAAAATCCAATCAAAAAGTATCTCAAATTTCGTTTATTTCGGATTTCATTCGCCGTTCTGCAAGCTAATCTCTCACAATGATGGGATTACTTACATTTCGAACTCACCTTTCGATTCAAGTAGGCGCTGGAGAGCACATCGGCAGCGCCACCTACGCCGCTGCTGCTGCTGGATGCACTACGGCCGGCTGCACTGCCGCTGCCATTTGTGCTGCGCCCACGCATTTCCCCCGAATTGCTGGACGATGAGGAACGCTTCTGGACACGGCCCAAAACGATGGGCGGGGCGGACACATCTTCGGCATGCTGCAACGGTGGCGGTGGAATTATGGCCGAGACATTCACACCGCCACTGGACCCACCCGAACTGCCGCCGACATGTGGATGATGATGCGTCTGCGTCTCATCGCCCACCTGCTTTGAGATGGTGGCAATCTTTGGCTCATGCCCGCATGCTGACCCGCCGCCGCGCTTAAGGGTGCCACCGCCTGCAGCCGTTATGAGATCCTGTGCATGTTGCTGCAGATTAGTCGAGGACTTGGCACGCTGGCCGTATGCCAGAGTGGCAGCATGCCGGGCACTGCCGCCGCCGCCACCCACAGCAGCTCCGGGCGAAAGAGAGCATGTGGGGCTGGAATTGCTGCTCGAGTTGCTGAACAGCTTGCCGGCGCCACTGAGAAAGGCATTGGCATTGGCCGTGCTGCCCATGTAGGACATTGGCACATGCTGGATGGGGCACTGGCACATCGGCTTCTTGCTTGCCTTGGTGGCTCCCACCTCACTACTGTTGCTGTTGCTGCTGCTGCTGCTCTTGGGCTTGCTGCTGACATTCACCTGCAGCGGATCGGCCACGGCAAAGTATCGGGGAATAGTGCGATGATAGCGACGAGAGCTCGAGGGTGTCTTATTGCTTGATGCGGACACCAGACTGAGCTGCTGCGGTTGTTGTTGTTGCTGCTGGGCCTTGAGCGTTGCATGCAACGGCAGCTGTGTGGCCTGATCCGCTGTGCTGCAGGCAGGCGCCGCTGAGATGGTTGCTATTTCTAAAGGCTGCAATATTTCCATTGCCGGGGCGGACATGGCAGCTGCCAGCATCTGTTGATGGTGCTGCTGCTGCTGCTGTTGTTGCTGATGCTGCAGCACTTGGGCATGCGTGGGCGTGGCCAAGAGTTCGCTGCTGGCTGGCAGGGAGTGATAGCTGGCAGCACTGGCACTGGCATTGATCTCTACATCGGCCACCGTAAGATACTGCTGCTGTTGCATTTGTTGCTGTTGCGGCAACTGATGGAGCAGCTCCTGGGATCCGCGTGGCGTTGTCCGGCGGGACGCCGTGTAGGAGGCAGAGCTACTGGTGGCAGCCGCTGTTGTCACGCTGGCGCTAATGTTCAAATGACAGTTTTTGTAGCTGCACTCGCTGCTCCCACCCCCACTGGGCTTGGGCATTGTCTGTAGGCAAATGGAACCATTGCTGACCTGTGCCTGGGCCAATTGTTGTTGCTGCTGCTGCTGCTGCTGTTGGTGTTGCTGCTGTTGCAGTTGCATTTGCTGCTGCTGTTGCTGATGTTGCAACTGTAACTGCTGCTGGTGGTGCTGCTGTTGTTGCTGCTGTTCGAGACTGTGCTGCTGCTCGCTCTGAAGGCTGTACGGCGGCTGGTGATTCTCGCCCGTGGCTATGGTGGTCACGCCCCCACTATTGATATTGATGTTGATCAGATTCGTGGTGCTCTGCGTGTACTGGTTCGACTGCGGCAGAACTGAGCCACCACCGGCTGCTGCAGCAGCAGCTGCGGCGGCAGCCATCTGATGTGCATGCTGCGGATGTGGCACCAACTGTTGGGTATACTGCGGCGCATGATGCTGCTGCGGCTGAGTGTGTAGTTGTAGGGTATGCTGCTGGAGATGGGCCTGGTGCGCTTGGAGCGCCTGCTGCTGCTGTTGTTGTAGCTGTTGCTGCTGGCTGACGCTCGCGACGGCACGCTGAGAGCTCGCGGGCAGACTGACCACACACTGGGCACTCAGTGCCTCTGCCTGGGAAATGGCCACTGCCTCCTCATACGGTGGCGGTGCCTCGCCGCGAGGAAAGTGCGGCTTCCACAGGGGATAGTGGGTGGCTGCTCCACCGTATGAGTAATCGATGGCACTCAGATTCCCCTCCATGTAGCCCATATTGCCAGCAATGTATCTGAAGGGAACACAATGGAAATGCTTTGACTGTCTATTAGGGACAGATTGGGGGCTGTTTAAGGACTTACCCAATGCTACCCACAATACTGCGTTGATCCTCGGCATTCTGGCGATTCTCTCGGGCCCGCATCTTGCGCTGCCTCAGTCGATTGACCAGGAAGAAGAGCAAGGACAGGGAGAGCGTGGCCGTGATGCCACTGGCCACCAGTCAAATGCCAAAGTCCGTGCTTCCATCGCTGAACTGATCATCCAGGCAGATCACCTCGCAGCAGTTGTTGCCGCTGCCCACCGTCTGGAAGGACTTGCACTTGCTGAACGCCTCGCACAGCACCATCTTGCAGGCCTTGGGCAGTCCGCTGTCGCAGATGCACAGCCGGCAGGAGTCCGGCCCGGGCATATAGTGCATGCCCGTCTCGTATAGCTTGCCATTGTAGTCACGGCAGTGTCCGCCGGGTATGAGACTAGAGCTCACCGCGTTACCATCTGTGGAAACGATACCTTGAATTTTCTGTTTGGCGTGGCAATTTATTTGATGTATTTTAAAGCATATTTATGTGGGACTCTGCAGTGGTTGAGAATTGTGATTTTGTGGCCATTCTTATTTTACTTCTTATTCCGGAAACTTCTTTCAGAACGTCCGAACAAGAGCAACCCTGATTATTCCAGAAGCTCGTTTATGTCCCTTGTAATTTACAGTTCCCACAAACACCAGTACGTGTGTACTTGTTCACACACACATAGCTGCATATAATGGCACACTCGATGATTCTGGAGCCTGAATTCCTTATTTTGACACACTTGACCAACTTTTCGCTGATTTAACATTGTGCCAAAAAAAAACACACGTACACAAACGCATAGACAAAGTGCAGCAGGTGCTGGAAGAGTGAGAGAGAGGGTGGACTTGCACAGCTGCATAAACCAACAGTGAAAGTGAGGGCGAGAGAGGACATGATATTTATCACTTGAATGAAATCAAATGCAAACGCACAACATTTTCGACATCATTTAAATGCTAAACAGCAAAAGGAAATTCAAATTAAAAACAAATACATACAAATGTGTGCATACAGGACATGCACACCCCCACATATGCGTGTGGTGTGCTGCATGACAACGGCGGGGAAGGAGCTCTCAGGTCCCGAGGCGACCATACCGAAAGCGAATTTCTGGCCAGGAAACGCACGAGCGAAAATGGCAAACAGGCGTGCGTTACGCCCCCGCCCCCGCATCGAAAAAAAAAGAAGAGAAAAAAAATTTTGCCTTTTATGCGAGAGTTTCCAAGTGAAATTTCTGTGTGCATGTGTGTTAATGATAAATACATACACAAGCAACATACACACCCAGTCCAGCCTCCCACCCGACCCCAAACACCAACACAATAGTACACACCCATACAGGAACAGGACCCAGGGTGTACATGCAAAAAATAAACACCATACACACAAACAACCCACCCACCCACACGGACACACATATATTAATATATGTATATGTACAGAAGCAAAGCAAAATTTTGCAGGCCACTTCCTTCGTATTGCCGTTTCCATTTCTCCACCCCCCCCCAAGAACCGTTATGTCCCCCTTTTCGCAGGAGTTTCTGCTGCTGCTGCTCTGCTCTACTGAGAAAAAGAGCGAACCGAAGCGCAGCATGTGCCGTGGTATTGGTATTCATACGTGTATATGTATGTGTGTGCCCCGTGTCCCATAAATTGTGAACTCTGTGGCCATGGACCATATTTCCAATTATTGTAGAAGGAGCCAACCCAATCGAAATTGATTTTACATGAAAAACCTTGTGTTTGCTTCTAAGGAGTTTTATACATTTTGCACTATTCAAATATTATACATTTTCGCCATTTTCACTCTCTTTGCTGCTCGGCAAGGATATGGGGCTGATTTTTGCATGTGTATGGTGTGTGTGTGTACCAAATTTTTCACACCAGTGTTCCAATAGCTTTTTACCTTTGGCATTTCCAATGAACGCAAGCAATGCCAAAAAATACATATTGCACACGGTTAATTCGCACTAATAGCCGCACAATCAAGTATAGCTTGTTAATTGCCACAGAACTTTTTATTAAATATTTTCAACAGTTTTTTTACGAAAGTTCGAGCCAACCAGTGTGACCGCCGATTTATGAATAAAATATACCTTCTCATATTCAAAATATACCGTGAATATACCGAGGAAAAAACCGATTAACCCTGGAGTTACCGTTCGTTTTTGTTGACCGGTAATTATATTCCTCGATTTCGGTTTTCGGTTTTATATTACTAGCCAGCTAGGACGTTCAGCACTGAATTTATAGTTTTATCTGATTAAGACATCCATTTTCTTCAAGACTGACTAATGTTAATGACTCCTTGCTATGGGATTGTCTCTAAAATAGTGTTTAAGCATAAAAGGTCAACAAAAATGCCAATTTGCTTACGTGTTAACTACGCGGTAACTACACATTTACTACATATAAGCGACTTCAGCAAGGAGAGTGTTGACAATTGTATACCATTTTTTCCTCTAAATAATGATTTTGAATCACCGTTGCCTATTTTAAGAATTGAAATTTAATAGAATATAGAAAGCGGCATCGAGTGATCGAGTGTTCGAGTGTTTTAGGAAAAATATCATTTGATTTTTCTTTCTACGAATATATTCGCAATATGTTGATTTTGACACATACATATAATAATAGCCCTAAAAACAGGGTGTAAAAATGGTCGACAAACAAAAATATATCGGTGTTTTTGTTCGATAAGCGCCTATCGGAGTTCCATTCGTATTGGTTCAATTGAACCAGTTCCAGGGCTACAGCGGAACTTGTAGGATTTGAAAAAGTTCTTTGAATTTGTAACGTCAACGGAAAATGTTCGAAGGGAAACAAAATATAAATCTGCTTTAGAAAATGATGTAAAAAGTTCATTATATTACAATTCGATAATGGCATTGAAGGCAATCAAAACGTTAGCTATAAAGAAGGTAAAACATTGGTCAGTAATTATAAGTAAATTTCTCAATCTATTGGAACATGATGATTGTAATTGAATTCTCACGTGCTTTACCCTTATGTTCTCAAATGCACATTATAACAAACAATTACTTAGTGAAATACTTCTCCCCTCTCCCACTTCACTCACGAATTCAGCTGGTATGTAGTTTAATTCAATTAAATGCAAAATGTCCTCATTAATTTTTTACAAATGGTTCAGTCATGCAAAGGCCCTGCGAAAAATCAGCAACAAGAATTTATCCGCCGTAAACAACACGCACACAAAATAATTGACGAATTGCTGAAAGGCGGCGATTAAATTGCAGTTAAAATGAAATGCAGGTAATTTGCCAACTTTCATTTATTCAGTGGGAGAATTTGACTGACTCGAATTGGGCGTTTTGCATGACTTTCCATGTGGCCCGGCCCACTGTGTCGCGCACTCGTTGAGCATCACGCGAGGCTTTCGGACGTCCTGAACGGTGGAAGTGGCTTCGAAAATGGACAACAACGCCACAGCGACGGCTTTGAAGGGGATCGGACGAAATCATAGCAACTATGTGATACCCGGACTATACGATCTCTCCACGGAGGACACCAACTGGGTGCTGACCTCCTCCTTTATCATATTCACAATGCAAACGGGCTTTGGCATGCTGGAGTCTGGCTGTGTGTCCATCAAGAACGAGGTCAACATCATGATGAAGAACGTGATCGATATTGTGCTTGGCGGCTTCACCTATTGGCTCTTTGGCTATGGCATGAGCTTCGGCCGTGGACCGCTCTCCAATCCGTTCATAGCCATAGGAGACTTTCTGCTTGATCCACCCGTAGGCGATGCCCTAATGGGTCAAATATTTGCTGCCTTCCTGTTCCAGCTCTCATTTGCCACCACGGCCACGACCATTGTGAGTGGCGCCATGGCAGAGCGGTAAGCTATGCGTTTCTCGATGGATCAGATCAGAGATCAAGGATCATAGACGCTTCATTTCAGTTGCAACTTTAAGGCCTACTGCCTGTTCTCGTTTCTCAACACGGCCGTCTATTGCATACCCGCTGGCTGGGTGTGGGGCGAGCATGGATTCCTCAATAAACTTGGCGCCGTGGATATTGCTGGCAGCGGACCCGTACACTTGATTGGTGGCGCCTCGGCCTTTGCTTCGGCCGCCATGCTGGGACCGCGTCTGGGCCGCTACTCCGAGGGCTTTGATCCCCTGCCGCTGGGCAATCCAGTCAACGCCTGCATGGGCCTGTTTGTGCTCTGGTGGGGCTGGCTGGCCTTCAATTCGGGCAGCACTTATGGCGTCAGCGGCGCCAAGTGGCAGTATGCAGCGCGAGCGGCCGTAATGACAATGATGGGCTCCTTTGGCGGCGGCTTCATTAGCTCCATGTAAGCAAACCGAAAAATCTTGGGCAATAACTCTCAAGACACTTTGACCCTTTGCCCCTCCACAGATACTCCTTTTGGCGGCACGACGGTGGCATGGACATCATGGATCTCATCAATGGCGTGCTCGGTTCACTGGTGTCCATCACGGCCGGTTGCTTCTTGTATCGCGCGTGGGAGGCCTTGGTAATTGGAGCCATCGGCTCGTTGCTCTGTGTGCTGGCCATGCCCCTGTTCGATCGCATGGGCGTGGACGATCCGGTGGGGGCCAGTGCAGTGCATGGAGTATGTGGCATTTGGGGTGTCATCGCCGTGGGACTGTTTGCCGACAATCCTATACCACTGGACACGACCAATGGACGCATGGGTCTGTTCAAGGGCGGTGGCTGGTACTTGCTGGGCATTCAGACCCTTTCGGTTCTCTGTCTGACCACCTGGGGCATTTGTTCAACCTGCCTGCTCCTCTATGTGATCAACAAGATCATACCCATACGCATGGACCCGCACGAGGAGCTGCTGGGCGCCGATCTCACCGAGCATCGCATACGCCACAGTCAAATTGGTCTGTCGCGTGCCATCTCCGCCCTGGCGCCCATTAAAATCGATCTGAAGAACATAGCTGGAGTCCAGCCAATTGGCATTAATCCGGGCCACGAGCGCAGCATCGATCAACTGCGTGCGGCCGAGGATAAGCTCCATCAGTGGCAATCCTACTTGGAGCAGGTGAGCAATCCGCGTATAACCCGACACAAATTGGTCGCCGATTCGGACATCATCTTCAAGCCCAAGTCGCCGGTCAAACTCCCGGGAAGTATTTTTAGCCGCAGGCCACTCACCCGAGAGGGCATCAGCGAGGGCTTCTATCGTCCCAACAATAGCGAGCTGCCCGTAATTGGGGCTACTATATCCCATAAGCTGGACAAGGATCCAAACTTTGCTTGGGTTGATTAGTGTTACGAGATGTTGTAATAATTATACGCCCAAATAAAGACATGTAGTGTAAACTTTAGAATGAGACAAAAATTAGATTGTAGCTCTGAATCGAGTACATATGTACTTGTCCATACTTATAATACGCATTATACCCCCAACATGTAAGCCCTTTCTAACCGACATCTAAAGCGCCAATATCTAAAAGAAGCTTAATGTACGGCATTTCATTTGATTTTTATATCGTTGCCATAAAATTACTATATCTGAATGGATATATCCAGCTAAGGTTAAAGTTTTTTTAAATACATTTTTACGGCTTTCTGCAGCGGGTTTTGGATCCCACTTTGGTGTTAAACCGAAGACTGGAACCACGGATTACTAAATCACAATACAGCATCAAGACTCTGAAGGACTTGGCACGTCAGTTGATGCTCGGGTGGAACCAGATTTTCAAGTTTCTTTGGTTTTTTTAATCTAGATTCTAGAACAAAAAGATTTTTGAACCCGTGCAAAGTACAATACTCCTGTCGCACCACACAATGTTTTTTATCCAAATAATGTCCCAGCCCTTATCCGGGGGGACACATGTTTACTCCGCCCAAAAACCACAGATAACAGATAGCAAGTAATGCTTTCCTCTGCTTAGCCAACTGGTCCCCCGTCTGTTTTAATATGCACAAAGCAAGCACGGCATCCACCCGATAAGATAGTGTGGGCAAGAGCACAACAAATATTGATCCAACGTACAGTGGGACAAAATCACTAAAACTGAAGGAATAATACAATTGCTATATAGATATATGTTTTTGCAATTCTCAAATTAATTTATTGAATTCAAGTATAAGCAAATATTGTTTGGTTGGGTGTGATCGATCGATGATAATAATAATATAATATATATTATTTATGCAGCTCTGTGTGTGGTTGGTTTGGTTCCATTATAATGCGTGTTTGTTGTATTTATATAATGTGATCCTCGAAGAAGCAGTTGTCGTCGTTTTATGTTTATCGAATTTCTAATTTAGAATCCAAAACTATATAACTCCTCCAGTGTTATTGTTGAGAATGGATAGAGAACTGATGTATTTTTGTATGGTTGAGAGAGTGTGGGTTTGGGTGTTGGATTGTTTGAGAATGGTTTAGTCGACCTCCTCGATGGTGGGGCCAGCACCGCCGGTACCGGCACCGGGAGCACCAGCTCCAGCTGCACCGGGAGCACCGGGCATACCGCCGGGCATGCCACCAGGAGCACCGCCAGCGCTCTGGTACAGCTTGGTGATGATTGGGTTGCAGACACCCTCGAGCTCCTTCTGACGGTGCTCGTACTCCTCCTTATCGGCCAGCTGGTTGGCATCGAGCCACTTGATGGTCTCGTTGCACTTGTCCAGGATGACGGTGCGGTCAGAGTCGGCAATCTTGGTCTTCAGATTGTCCTCGTCGAGGGTAGCCTTCATGTTGAAGCAGTACGACTCGAGGGCGTTCTTGGCGGAAATGGTCTCCTTCTGCTTCTCATCCTCGTTGCGGTACTTCTCGGCCTCGTTGACCATGCGCTCGATATCCTCCTTGGAGAGACGACCCTTATCGTTGGTGATGGTGATCTTGTTCTCCTTGTTGGTGGAACGCTCCAGGGCAGTGACGTTCAAGATACCGTTGGCATCGATATCGAAGGTGACCTCGATCTGGGGCACGCCGCGTGGTGCTGGGGGAATGCCCGACAGCTCGAACTTGCCCAAGAGATTGTTGTCCTTGGTCATGGCACGTTCGCCCTCGTACACCTGGATGAGCACACCGGGCTGGTTGTCCGAGTAGGTGGTGAAGGTCTGGGTCTGCTTGGTTGGGATGGTGGTGTTGCGCTTGATCAGCACGCTCATCACACCGCCGGCGGTCTCGATACCCAGAGACAGCGGGGTGACATCGAGCAGCAGGAGATCCTGCACCTCCTGCGACTTGTCGCCGTGCAAGATGGCGGCCTGGACGGCGGCACCATAGGCAACAGCCTCATCGGGATTGATCGACTTGTTCAGCTCCTTGCCGTTGAACAGATCCTGGAGCAGACGCTGCACCTTGGGGATACGGGTGGAGCCACCGACCAGCACAATGTCGTGGATGGCCGACTTGTCCAGCTTGGCGTCACGCAGAGCCTTCTCCACGGGGTCCATGGTGCTGCGGAACAGATCAGCGTTCAGCTCCTCGAAACGGGCACGAGTGATCGAGGTGTAGAAATCGGTACCCTCGAACAGAGAATCAATCTCAATGCTGGCCTGGGTGGACGAGGAGAGGGTACGCTTTGCGCGCTCGCAGGCGGTGCGCAGACGACGCAGAGCACGCTTGTTGGTGGTCAGATCCTTCTTGTGCTTGCGCTTGAACTCCTGCACAAAGTGGGTCACTAGACGGTTGTCGAAATCCTCACCACCAAGATGGGTATCACCGGCCGTAGATTTGACCTCGAAGATGCCGTCATCGATCGACAGAATGGACACATCGAAGGTACCGCCACCCAGATCGAAAATGAGCACATTACGCTCACCAACAGCCTTCTTGTCCAGGCCATAGGCGATAGCAGCGGCCGTCGGCTCGTTGATGATACGCAGCACATTCAATCCGGCAATGGTACCGGCATCCTTGGTCGCCTGACGCTGCGAGTCGTTGAAGTAGGCTGGCACAGTGATGACGGCATTGGTCACCGTCTTGCCCAGGTACGCCTCGGCGGTCTCCTTCATTTTGGTCAACACCATGGAGGAGATCTCCTCGGGGAAGAAGGTCTTCTTCTCATCCTTGTACGTAACCTCAATCTTGGGCTTGCCATCTACACTGACCACGTCGAAGGGCCAGTGCTTCATGTCAGACTGCACAGCAGAATCCTCAAACTTGCGACCGATCAGACGCTTGGCATCGAAGATCGTTTGAGTTGGGTTCATCGCCACCTGGTTCTTGGCGGCATCACCAATCAAACGCTCCGTGTCCGTGAAGGCAACATAGGATGGTGTGGTACGATTACCCTGGTCGTTGGCAATGATCTCGACCTTGCCATGCTGGAACACACCCACGCAAGAGTAGGTTGTGCCCAAATCAATACCAACAGCAGGTGCTTTAGACATCTGCAATAAATGATGTAAACGAAATTATTTATTAGTTTCAATTTTCCTTTTACAATTTCGTAAAAATTATTTTAATGAAAACTGACATTGAACAGTTATTCCCAGATCAGCTGATCAGCTCTTTCGTCACAGAAATAATGAACCCCTGGCGCTGAAGAGCAATGACCTCAGACTTTCACCCCTTGTAAAATTGTGTAGAAAACGTGGAAACGGACAGATGCCTCATAGAGGGCATATCAATTTCATGCTCACTGCAGCACTAAGTGCAGTGAATGTATAAGAAGCAAGCAACTCTGTTCCAAAGTGCCAAACGGAAAGGGTTCATAAAACGTGGCCAGCGTTAGAACAAAATTTTCGTATGCGTCGTAGTAAAAGCGTAATCGCATTTCGCCATTTACAGCGGCCATTTCATTTTTTGCGTTGCCTTTTGTGTTTGTATTTCTCATGAGGCTGAAACTGGTTACCAGCCCAATGTCGGAGTCATAGCCGAGTTTGGCGAAACACAATAGCAATGACTAATGCCGGGTTTGATGAAAACGGGGAAGATCAATGTTGAAGCGATAAACATGGCGGCCGATCAGCAGCAGCTGCCATTATTTTTCTTTGAAATGCGCAAGCAAACAAAAAAAAAACCGCATGGACAAAGACGAAAATTCTGGAATGCGAAACAAGCAAACACACACGTGCAGGCACACAAACACATACGAGTGTGTACATGTGACCACGCTGAGGCCGAGATGTTCTGAAGCGGCGAGCGTGTGATGCGTTGGAACGGGACAACTATAGTATCGAGGGCGCGCAAAGAGCATTTTTTTGTATATTTGTATTAGTGTTACCCTCTCTCAGACACACACGAATGTATGTACTTTGGATGCCGGTTAGCAACGTGTGTTTAATTTTAGCTAAATTATATCAAAAACCCGCATAAAGTATAAATTTATGGTGTTAAACACTATTTTTATCCCATCCATGTTTATCAAATGGATCTGACTCATGCGTCTGGGAGGAAAAAAGCATGTTTCCGACTGTTACGTGGGGTATGCATGTGTGTGTGCGCGTGCGAGAAGCCGCACACATTTTTCATTGGAATATTCCAGCAAAGAGCAATAGCACTTTGAAACTAATGGGCAATTACGATGAGTAATTTTGGCATTGATTTATTTGATACAACCGCAGTAAATGCAATGTAGGCGCTGTATGACGCAAGTATATTTATCTACGCTTGGCATGTTGTATGTGTGTGTAGGTACGAGTGCATGTGATGAAGCGGCACATTTTTCCAATGGAATATTCCAGAAGAGCACAAGTCACATTTTGTGTTAATAAGCTAATTGCTATGTTTTTGTACATTCTGATTAATTACTCATCAAAATGCACATGTGCAAGTATGCGTAAAGCGTAAAATAATTCATTTTAGGTCAAAAGTTGACTATGCAAGTATTGATTGAATATGAAAAGGGGTGCATGTAAGCGGATCAATAAACTACGTTATTATAGTATATATTATGTACTGGCTACGAGAAACACGTGGTTACATTTTTTTTGTCCAGCAACCATATGAAAATTAAATAGAAAACACTTTATATCATATATTTGCTACTTGGTACTTACCTTTGTGTGTTTTGTTTAGTTAAAACGTACTAAAATATGTATAATCGTCTAATTGCTACTTCACTTTTGTCCCACTTAATCTTTCTGTCGAGTAGACACTCAGACGTTCGATCAAACTGGCGGTTTTTTTAGGAATAAAAAAAATTCAGAGTTTATTCATAAAAGAAATATTTGACGTGCAGTGTGACCGCGGACGTTTAGAAAAAATATACCAAACGACCCTCGGAAATATACCAAAATATACCCTGTCACTATCAAAATATGCCAAAAATATACTGACTGATATTTGATAATCCTCGATTTTGATATTCCGTTTAATATTACTAGCTAGTTAGCCCTCTCAACTGTAAACAATTAATTTTGTCCAATTTTTCAATAAATTTTGTTCAGGATTGGTTAGTTTTCAGAACTCTTTTTCATTGCATTGTTTACATAAAAAGGTTCAAACAAAAGCGGCCAAAGCATAGAACGAAAGTGTGAACTCCGGTCACACTCCGTCATTGTTGCCGGTAAACCAAGTTTCTTCTATGCGTATGGACTTTTTTATACCGTATTTCCTTTAATTGATGTTAAATTTGTTGCTCCAAGCTGCTTTGAAACATTAATATTGCATTTTTCTTAGATTGAGATATTTTTAACCTATTAATGGATAAATAAATACATATAAATAAATTTATCCCGGTTCGTTAATATCTTTGAAACAGAGACTGAGTAGTTTCTGCATTAATTGGAGCCTCAAATTACAAACAATATTTCAAGTCCATAATATCCATTTTCCCAAGGTATTCAGATTGTTGCTCATTTCGTGCCAAAGTTGCACAGCAATGCTGCCTCTTCATTTCCACATGTTGCTGAATTTTTTCCCATACAAATCAAATGTATCTTACGGGAACGCGTATGGAATGACGCAACAATGAATCTTCATTCTAGCGTTCCCGTTAAGAACATGCGGCTCACACCATGAAAAGGAGGGGAAAGTCACCACGAAAGCGCTCTCTTCACCTCGGAAAAGAGAGCAAATTTTGAAAAACCACGATTTTAGAGCGAAAAATGTCAGTATTTTTTGTGCGCTAAATGGAGGTTGGTGGTCATTTTGAAAAGTATCTTAATATATTAAAAAATAAATTGGAACTTGATTAAATAATATAGCGTAAGTATACTGAAGGATACGACAAGATGCGTTGATATTCCTCGATTTTGATATTCTATTTAATATAACTAGCTAACTAGGAATCTTAGAACTGATCATATTTTTTTATCTGATAAATACATCAATTCTCTACATTGTGGCCAATTTTAAGCATTCCATTTTATGGGATTGCTAAGAAAATAAGGTTCGAACAGAAATGGTAAAATCATAAAACCTAAATGTTTATGGAATGATAGTTCTGGGTGATAGTTTTTTGCGATAAGTGGGACGCTATTCGATATGCACCGGCTGCAATTGCGGCCTTCACCGATTACATTCCAATTCATAAACATTGCTTCCAAAACTTGTTCAAAACTGCCTTGACGCCGCGGGAAATGGAACCATGAGTGGACTTTTGAATGAAGTTCAGCGCATCCTTGGTGATGTACGCTCGGAGAAACCAGCCACACGGAATAAGGGCATTGAGCAGCTGGACGAAAAGTTGGCCCACTGCAGAGATGACTTAAATACGCTGATCCTGGACAAAAGAAACGATTTGTCGTGGCCCAGTGTTTTTGATGCATCCAAAGAGGCTCTTTTCAAGGTTTGTGTCCCGCCAGGTGCATGTCAACACCATCTGACCACCTTTTTGCACTCCACAGCACGCCTCAAACTTGCAAGATGCCAACGAGAAATCCTTCAAGACATTGGCGGCAAAAAACTACTTGTATGGCAACGTTCTGGAAAAGATAACCAAGTTCAATGTGGAAGGTATGAATGCAATGTTTATATAGCAATTGTATGTGGTTAAACTCCTACGCTTAGCTGGCAGCGACACAACAGGAAAGGGTCACTTTCTGGCAAAGATAAGCATATTTAATGCATTCGAAGAGGGCATCAAAATGCGCACTGTGGTGAAGCACTTTGGCGATAGATTCATGAATTTGCTGGAACGGGGCATCTACTCCTCGCCCACCTATGTGCGCGAGCTGAAAATCAACGAGTACAGCCGTAAGTAATGCCTCCAAAGTGGTCCCAATATTGTAATTTCAACCACCTGTTGATTGTTACAGTCATCCTCTCGTACCTGTTTGAGCTGAATGTGGACGAAGACCAGTTTCTGCGCACTAGAATATTGAAATGCATTACCAAGACGGTCAGTTTGGCCAACGAGCGGGTTCAGCTGCACGTCGACCTGGTGGCATATTTGCCAGAACTGAGCAGCTTTGCCCAAACGGCAAATGCTGCCAGAAAAACGGATATTGTTCGTCTCTATTACCTATTTGCCACAGAGGTGGGACACGAAAACAGGACAACCTGTATGGTTTAATCTCACACATTTGTCCTTACAGCTCTCTGTGAACTACCATCATCAATTGTGCCTCCATATGCAAGAGATTCTGCCCAAATTGTGCGAATTCCACAACGAGGATGCGTTTCGCGACGACACCAGAAATATATTCTTTCAGTGTGTCATTCAATCGTTGCATTCGCTTTATCCCAAGCTCAGCGTTTGCGATTTCAATACCTTTGGTGTGCCGCTGAACGAGAAATGGCCACAGACCATGCTTAGGTTGAAGACGATCGTGGACGTGGAGATACGCAAGAATTCTTTGGTGCGCTATAAGACGGCCCAACTGAGCAATGACAAATTCTCAGAGCCCTTCATCAAGATGTCTGCACTGGTCATGTTTATAGTAAGAGAACAAATTATACTCCACAAAAGTACCCTAAAGATGATGTGTTGCAGGTACTGTGGGACTTGGAGACACGCAAAAACGACTCAAATGGTGAGGGTGATGCACCCAAGAAGGTGCCCAGACCCTCGGACAAAATGGAAGTCTTGTTCGGGCTGATTGACAAGAAGGAAACGACATTCAATGACGTCTGGTTTGCCATATACGCAGAGCTACTACAGTTGAGCAGTGTAATCCTAAATGTGGCCAACTACCAGCAGGCATTGAGCACTGTTGTGGGTGTCCTGCAAATGTATGGCAATGCCAGGAACCTGAAAAATGTGCGCCTATGCATGAGATGCCTGCTCGCCAAGGAGCGGCAGCTCTTGGAGTCGAAATCGATTCAGGAGAACTTTCTGGCTGATTTGTGGAGTCAAATGGGCAACCATTTGATATCCGTGACCACCACAATCAGTGAGGAGATCAAGGAGAAGCAACTAATGCTGCAAATGCTAATCAGACATGACAAACTGAATCAGAAAATGGCCTCCAGCCTGCTGCACAACATCACCTCGAATGAGCTGCTGAAGCGCAATGAATGCATTGCCACCATACGCGAGATTTACATACGGGCAGGACAATGCGGCCAGGATAAGGCTTCCGCCATGCTAGAGCCCATCATTAGCTGGGCCTATGGCAGCGGTGAAAGGAGCAGCGTCACCCAGGTGATACACAATATAGCCAGCATTGATGCCAATCTCCTGGCAGATACGTTTACGATCAGCATCATCAACTTTCTGGACGAGCAGCAACTGCAGCAGTTGTGCAACCCAGAACCAGGCCCTGGCACACTCCCTGCCGATCTGAATCTCTTAGCCTATAGATACAACAAGCAACTGGTTTGCCTGGACAAGGAATATCTGGCGCCTGTTAAGACTGCCAACCAGCAGCTGCACAGCGAAACCAAGTCGCCAGCCAAGAATTGCCTTTACCAAAGCAATTACGAGTTCCTGATGCGTAGCCTCAATTTTCAGAATTCCGGCGATAGCCAAGCGTCTGCCATACTGAAGAATCTGAACAGTCTGCAGAGGCTGGTCTGCACCGTGGAAAGACTGTTGTACTACAAGGTCTTTGATGCCGATAATTTCACTGGCTGTCCGCTGATCAAGCGAATTGGCCTATTTCTTAGCCACATAGAGGTGGGTGTATTAATAGACTTTTTTAGCTTCATAAATAAACTGATTGATGTTCCTCTGCTGCGTGTTCAGTTCCAGTACAAAGCTAACTGCTCGGAGTTGATGGATGAGAGTGACCTGCGTGAGATTCTGCGGCAACAGATCGCTGTGCTTGAGGTTTTTCGATCTAATTCCATTCTTTTGAACTACCTGGAAAGGCAACCCATAGAAATGTTTGTGGAATTCATAGGATCTACACTCAAAGGGCATTGTAAAGGCGTTCTACTGCATTTTAGTTTGAATTATTCTAATATGAAATATCATATTTTTAGGCATGCGCAGGGAACGCTCTGATAATGCAGTTCATGCCACAATTACCTCTCATTGTTTGCACCTTTTGGGCGCTCTGTGTGCACTCAGTTCGCATCGTGATGAATCCTTTGAACACATCTCAAAAATCACTATGCGTTGGAAGCCTCAAGATGTGCTCCTTGTGACCAAGGTGGGTCACAGTCCCACAACGAAATCTTAAGCAGAACTATATCTTTTCCGCCTCTTTAGATGCTGTGCAGCTGCGACAGCATGTCGGAGGGAGCCATCATATGGCTGGTGGAAAAACTGAAGTACGTTTTCCAGCATCATCATCTCGATTTGGATGTCATTGACGAGGTAGTGGAGCATCTACCCAGTAAGTAGGTCAATGACATACCTTAGGCCAATCTAAGCTAAAGTTTTCCTCCTGCCTTGCAGCGATTTTTCACTTTGTGCACCATACGGAGCAGCAGCTGGATGACATGTGGATGGCTTTAAGTTCGCTGCTAAAGATTGCCCTGAAGAAATCCTATACCTCACGCCTGACAGCCAAAATTGTGCGTTGCGTTGGCTCGATTGCCCTGCATTGTCCGGACATCTATCTGATGGAGAACTTTTTGGTGCTGTGCAAATCTACGGCCAAATTTATTACCATGCCCACGCTAGATGTGCGCTTGGCGACGATCTCTTCCCTGGGCACTATACTCAACACAAACTGTGTGGCCAGCGATCCAATCAGTCAGGCGCTGCTTCACTGGGAATTCAGCAGGGAGCTCTATGAGAGCATTGAATTCAAAAAGCTGACGGCAAGTTAAACGTAACTAAAACCGCGTGCATGGTGATCGAATGACAGTTCCTTACAGTTCGACGATGAAGATACCACACGGAATAGCAACTCGATGATGGTGCAAATGCTTCTGGCAATCTTTGTGCACAGCTCGTTTCATCAGGAGATTGCTCTCAAGCAGCTGCTTTATCACTGTGCCCTACGCAGGCTGGGAGAGGGTATGTCCTCGCAACACGCATCAAAGCCTCTTTCCAACTTATCTCCCATCTTTGTAGCTGAGTTTGTGGCACTGCAGAGTCAAGTTCCTGGCGCTAATCAAACCATGCGAGAACGCATTCGACCCTATGCGGATATACTGCTGCACATGTGGAGCTCTCAACACTGGCCCATTTCCAAGTAAATAGCTGCAGAAAACAGAAATTCTGTATTCCTAAAACGCTCTACTTCAGGTTCCCCTATTTTCTGTGCTATGAATCAAAGCAGGCTTTCCGAAAAGCCCATAGCAGCAGAATCATGGCCTATACATTCCTCTATGGCCAGCCCGAGGACATAGAACGCCAGAGAAAGTCCATCAGCATAGAGGTATGTCCACACAATGAAAGTTTTATTCTATATAAACACGTACATATGTTTCTTCAGGATGTCCTGCCCATGGTGGCTGCATTTTTGCTGCCACAGAGCAGCCTTTGTGCCGAAAGCGAAAGCAAGGACTTTCGGGAGCATCACCTGCTGCTGACAAAGAACGTCCAGCACTACAAACTGCAACCCAAGGAAGTGTCTCTCAATGTGGAGACGCTGTACATTGTGATTAGTTGGCTGCACGATCCGCAGGAAATGGAGAGATTATTTGGTCCCTCAGTGCCCTGCAGCCAAATACGTTGCTGGTATAATCTGACGGGACAATCGCTCTTCAAATGCCTCAACTGGTTTATTGTGAGCTTCCCCCTAGAGAGTCCCTCTGCCTCGTCTTCAATTGTTTGTTGCCCTTTCAGTGTTCATCCACGAAGGATGATCGCCTCCAAGCCATGTCCATGCTGCAGATCAAGCATCCACGCATCTTAATTGAACTTTTTGGACGCCTAAAGACCGATTGCTTCAATGCCATCTTTCCCAGCCAGGCCACTCATTGCTTCTTTGTGTACTGTGCCATAGCCGATGCGCTATACGATGCCGCACTGGCCCTCGAGGGACCAAAAACAATCATTCCCTGCTCCTACTTTGTGCGCGACATTTGGTTCTTTGTCGTTAGGCTACTGCTGCACAGTGAGTGTCAGGCCAGAGCCAAGGCCAAGCCAAGCTACGAAATCTATTAATCTCTAATCCTTTTCCAGGCAAGTGCAGTCAGGTGCATCTGTGTGCTCTCTCCTTTCTGCAACTACTGCTGAAGAAGCCCGGCTTTGGCTTGCCCGACTTCTCGAGTCACATGAGTGAGATAGCCAAGCTATTGATCGGATTTCAGATGCAATGCAATGTGAAAGCCGTCAACGAGAAGGTCGTAGAGGTTGTGAATCATATTGTTAGCGCACACAGCACGCAGATCAATATACAATCCTTGCTGGAGGAGACCACAGAGTGTCAGTTTCTTCAGAAACCCAATGCTGCGGTCCAACAAATCGACAGGACTGATGTGGCTAGCTTTTTGGGCTCATTTCTAAAGAATCCTACCGCAGAGCGCTTGCTCGACCTCCGGGCTTATGTGAGTATGTAGAAGGCGTTTGCTAATCCTATCTAATGTACACTCCCCATGCCACATTAGATTGCCGAGCACAAGGACCAGCTGCAGTCGCATGAAACTCTGCTCTTTGAGTTGATCAATCGTCTCATTCAAATGTCTCGCTGTGCGCAAGGCAAAGAGAGCAGCAATCTGAATGCCCTGAAGTGCCTGGCCCAAATAGGACCATTAAAGCTGAGAAACATTTCATACTATTTCCAAACCGACTTCGATTCCTTTGAAGAGGTAAAACCAAAGCTCTGTTTCGTCCATTTACTTACTTCTTCTTTTGCAGTCGGAGCAAGAGCCCATGGATAAGTTCCTGGTCGTAATATGTGAAGTGCTGGAGAAGTATCTCTTCCAGTTTGACCCCAAGACGCATGAGGCGCTTGTGGCCGTTGCCATTCAGGTTGTGAACAGCAAGCCCGCCGCCACGATCTTGCGTAAGTAAAAGATCTTTACTCTTGATGGGCTTTAATATTTGATTTGTGCTTAAATCTATTTCATAGATCGCTTCAAAAACTTGCAAATCTTTTTTGAAAAATCAAACGCATCGAGTTGCCTGGATGCCTATCAACACATACCCTCCCTAGCCTGGCTGAATGCTCTCAAGTCCAGCCAGGGCTTGGACTATGAGCAATGGATGTGCGCCTTTGTGTCGCAGGTTTTTAGAGCTTGCGGCTGGAAGGCATTCGAGGCTTTGGCTGCCACCTCCTTTCCGTTTGCCGAGACCTGCCTGCAGCCGTTTATAAAACTGTTGCTGGCCACCGAACAGCAGCCGCACTTGGAGAGTCTCTGCCAAATGTTGGATCACTTTTTTGAGGGATTCGCCAGCTCTAAGGCAGCGCCCAACAACCACGACATCTTCCACAACAAGCGGGCCATCAAGAAGTGTTTGCACATCTGCGAGTGCATACGGATTGTCAACAATTGGTAGGTGGTAGCCAGCTCTATTCTGTAATAATAATCTTTAATTATCTTTAATCCATGCAGGAGCATTCCCATCAATCTGGGCAATGTGGTCAGGGCCAGTAATCACTGTCAGGCGTATTTCCTGAGCATTATGTACCTGGAGCTGTGGGCTTGCGGCTCGGCTAAGCACAGATGCCTGCACGATGAGTCCTTTCAGACCTCGGCCAAAAAGGTGCGCATAATTCTGCACAATGTTCGATATGCTAAACGTCTAATTTAATAGGCCTACGAGTCGATTGGTTGTCTGGATGCCATTCCTGGCTTTGTCAATCCCATGCGCTCTCGGGTCGACTTCCTCGGACGCAACAACAACTTGTCTGCCATTCTGCTGGAATCGGATCAACTGGACAGCGCCAGTAGCCAGATGGCTGTGGATCTCATGAAGGGCAACGGCCTGTGGTCATTTGCCAAACTGCAGCAGCAGGAACAGGAGCCGGACTACGAAATCTTCTGGCGACTGGGCCAGTGGGATACGCCAACCGATCAGCAGCCACAACCATTGAAACCCAGCGCTGGGGCTACCATTAATCTGGAGCAACAGTTCAAGCGGCATCATTTTGTGGCGCTCAAGAGCATTGGCCAGCGCGAGGAGGAGAACACCCTGTCGGCCATTGAGAGTGGCTATCAGTGTGTGCGCAGGATACTACAGGACAACAGCATGGAGTGCCTGCAGAGTGTGTACAAGTACCTCACATGGCTGTGCACCCTGCAGCAGGCCGAGGACTTTTGTCAGGTCTCTTGCATGCAGTCACTTAACCTATCTTGGAGCATTCATTAACCGAGTTTTTCCGCCCCGTAACAGATCCAGTTTGGGGCACAGCTGGACCCGGGACAGATGGCACAAGTCTTTCGCAAATGGCAGACGGAACTGGAGCTCAATTACGGCAACTTTTCATGCAAGGAGTACGTAATTGCGCATCAGATAGCACTCTTCAAAATGTCCGGTACACGAGCCAGCCGTCGCATGCAGGACTTTTACAAGGACAACCCCATGGACACGTATCTGCTGAAGGGGATTAGCGAGTGCAAGGCGGCGGGCAAGCTGTACATGGCCTCCAAATACATTGGCATGCTGCGAGAGCTGCCCAATATCAACGCATCCACGAAGGCAAGAGTCGGGGGAAAGGGTTCGCGTTCATTGCTAATTGGATTTGCCATTGCAGATCAGCGTTCTGCTGGAAGATGCCGATGTGAATGTGAAAATGGGTAATCATCAGATAGCCAAGGCCATCCTGGAGTATGTGGTACCGAACGAGGAGTTCGTCTATTGTCCGCTGCGTGTGCCTGCCCTGCGCATGCAGGGAGAGTTCCTCATGGATTGCAATGCCGACAGCCTGAGCTCAGTGCTGAAGAACAAGTTCGCCCACTCGATTCAGCTGATCGATGACTTTGTGCTGCACAAGGACAAACTGAGCGCAGCGAATCCGCAGTTCTTCAAGTGGCAGGAGCTGGAAGCGTTTGCCAGGCAGAATCGCACAGCGGCCTATGAGGCCATGGCCAAGTATGCCGATCGGGAGTACCAACAGCTGCACGAGTATCGCCACTCGCAGGACTATCAGACGCTGAAGGACATCATTGAGCAGAATCGTCTGGTGGCGCATACGGTATCGAATCGCGAGAGCCAAGACAAGCGCATCATCTCCAATCAAATGAAGCGATACGCCCTGCTGGACGAGATGGAGCTGCAGCGCATCGAACAGAATCTAACGGAGCATTTGTGCACCGCTGTGAGGAATCACATTGCCTACTGCAAGCTGGACAGTGGCTTCTCCAGCGCAGCCATCTATCGCATCATCTCGCTGTGGTTCACCAATGCCCAGAACGTGCAGCTGCAGACGTGCATCAAGGAGGAGATCCTCACGGTGCCCAGCTACAAGTTCATTTGTGCCACCAACCAACTGACGGGACGTCTCAATTCCAAAAATGCCAGTCTGCTGAATATCCTGTGTGAGCTGTTGGTACGCTGCGGCCGGGATCATCCACATCACACCCTTTACAAGCTGTATCCGCTGGTATTTGCACGCCTGGACGGCGATGGCAGCAACACGGAACGAGCGGCCATTGCACGTAAAATTATAACCAAAATCTGTGAGAAGAATCCCAACGCAGACAAGTGCAGCAAGCAGCTGGAGGCAGTGCTGCCAGGTAGAAAGATTGATGGGCCTTCTGTTGTGCTGTGTGCTTAGCTTTGCTCTCTTCCAGCTATCGTTACGTTTGCGAACGAGGGAAAATCGGAGAGCAGCAGTCAGCCGGTGAACATTAACTTGCGGCTGACACAGTTCGAGAAGGTGAGGCGTCATCGGAATCTCGATGCCGTGCAATGTCCCACCCTGGAACTGCCCATCCGGCCCGACAAGGAATATAACATTACCAGTAGGTTAATGCTCTTAGCCAGACGAACAATCAACAACCTGATCACCACTTTTTAGGCATCTGCAAGTGGACGAATGAAGTTGCCAATTGCGGTGGCATTAATGCGCCCATCAGGGTGAAGTGTGTCTGCTCCGATGGCCAGACGCGTACACAGCTCATCAAGGGCAAGGATGATCTGCGTCAGGATGCCGTCATGCAGCAGGTCTTTGGCATTGTCAATCAGCTGCTCAAACAGGACTCAGAGTTCATCGATCGCAAGCTTCAGCTGCGCACCTACACCATCACGCCTCTGTCTATGCGCAGCGGCATCTTGGAGTGGTGCCCCAACTCCATGCCAGTAGCCATGTACCTGGTCGGACGGGACAGCAAGAGCGGCGCCCACATAAAGTATCATCCAAAGGACTGGAAGAACAATAAGTGCCGCGCCTTGTTAGGGGTAAGAGCGGGCAGAGGATTGGTTTTGCTTTGGTAAAACCTCAAAACGATTGTACATGTTGCAGAGCCATGCGAAGGCGTCCAAGGAGAAGCGATTAGAAGTCTTTCAGGATATATGCGCACACGTTACGCCCGTGTTTCACTACTTTCTGCTGGAGAAGTTCCCCATACCGGGCGTGTGGTTTGAGCGGCGTTTGGCCTACACAAACAGCGTGGCCACCACCTCAATGGTGGGCTACGTTCTGGGACTGGGCGATCGGCATGTGCAGAATATACTGATTGACCAGCAGACAGCCGAAGTGATACACATTGATTTTGGTATGTTTTGGACTATAACCCAACAAATGGATAGATTTATAGTATTATCCCATTGCAGGCATCGCGTTCGGTCAGGGCAAGATAAGTGCTACACCAGAGACGGTACCCTTTCGGCTTACACGTGACTTTGTTGCCCCCATGGGCATCTGTGGCACGAAGGGCGTGTTCACCAAGTCCTGCGAGGCCACCATACATATACTGAGGCGTTACAAGTCCGTCTTCACCACCATACTCGAGGTTCTGCTCTATGATCCACTCTTTATTTGGGGTGTACTCAAAAACAAGCAACCCAGCTCCCAGGAGTCCAGTAAATATATGCCCATCAATCGGTCTACCTGTCAGATATCTATCCATATAGAATTGTCATTTTGCAGCCGAGGAATCGATTAATCTGGTGGCCCAGCGTGCACTGCTTCAGGTGCAAAATAAACTGGAGGGTCGGGAGGCCGGTACCCTCGGTGACTCGAATGTGGAGGCTCAAGTGGAACGTCTGATCAATGAAGCCACTCTGGCGGACAATCTATGCCAGCTCTTTTGCGGCTGGGATCCATATCTATAAGGAAACGCACATCACAGTGAAGGATCACAAAAACCACATCACATTTACCAGTTATCAACGCGATTAGAATTGTCACTCCTTTTTTTAATATTATATTTTGTATATGCGTTTAATCTATGAACAAAAATTAGTTTGTCGGGCATTCGGGTATGCTAAGTGCCTGCCATTATCTTTTGGCTGCCAAATAATGTCCAACTTCCATTCAAGTGGCACAAATACAATGTATGTAGCTTTTATATGATTATACACAAACCTCAAAGAACGCTTGAAAGTAATGCATAAAAGTGGGGAATTTCTATAAAAGGGTCGTTCGCACATAAGCACATTGATTCAGGTACCTACCTGGTAGCCATGTAAAGAGTACAGGAGTTCGAATTTACCACTAAATTATTTATATTATATAAATGATAAATAAATATAAATAAACTATACGCTAGATAGTTGAACCTTAAGCATCAAACATAATTGATGAAGCTATAGAAACTGTCGCTCTATTTTTACATTGGTTTCTTTATTAATGATAATAATTTTAGTAGCCGTATAAACGGTTTGTTAAAAAGTTTTTTTTTAATTTTGTGAATGATCTGGAATTATAGCTATTGAAAGCTAATTTGGCACATTTAATCTGTGTGATTTTCTGTACAAGCAGATCCATGGAAGTTGCTAAATAATGAGCATATTTATGTGGCAAGGGAGAGAGGCAAGTAGATATTAGCTATTTTTTAGATAGCTAAAGACGCATGTTTGCTAGAGCTTTCTCCATTTAGCAGGTATTGGGCAGCTGCCCAATTTATTTATGATAACTTTTTGACTACTATTTAGGTTGGATTATTGGAGAGAAAATTTATCAAGCTACGAGTATTTTTATAGATCTTTGCATAGATCGCATCGTATTGAGTGTGCGTGTGAGTACCTTGAGCTAGAATATTGTGGGAGCTATGCTTAACACAATTGGAAATGTGGTAAAATCTTGCAAATAAACAAGTTTTATCTGCTAATCTAATACTTTGCATACGCAACCTTTCATTAATTGCTGCTTAAAGTTTTCTCTGTTGAACCTCATGACTAGGTATCTCAAAGTCGAAAGTCAAAGACACTTAAACCTGGTTTTATTTTGGAACCCCGCAAGGCCATTTCAAATTTGATAATCTGCTACTTGATCTTGTTTTGCACGCAAGCTGGCAGTAAATCAATAAACGGCAATAAAAATAACACTTATCAGGGACCCCCACAGAGATTAAACGAGGTATTTCCAATGGTAGCTGCCTTTGTGACCAGCGCCTATCGCTGGAGTGCGAAATATTTGACCCGATAAGAGACGCATTTAAATGCAAATGGGATATTGATAGATGTAGGAGTAGCAGCACATTATTATCAGTTTGATAAGTAAATATGTATAGCTAAAATGTCAAACGGTTCATAAATTCAAACACTCAAGTGCTGCTTTTTCCAGTATCAGTTATCAATTCTTTTCAAAGGATATATGTTATATATGTTATATATGCATATTTTATTTGCTTAAACTATTTTAATTACAATTACATTTCAGTCTTGGTTGCTTGATGCTGAATCAGGCTTACAGTCGGGCTCGACGCCCTCAAAGATGGGCTTGCTCTCGCCGCCCTCTTCTCCTCCGCCACCAACTATGATCTGGATTATGTCCTGTAGACTGTATTGGCCCAAAAAGTTGTTGACAAGCTGCAAAGAGAAGAGATCTGATGAGTGCACTCTCTTTTTGAAGGCTACCAAGATGTACACCCACCGTTTGAACCTTGGTAACCACCGTTCCCTGTTCATAGCTCCAGATATCATCGAGCAGTTCCACGCCCATTTCATTGACAAGGGCATGCACAAACTCATTGATGCGCTCCTCCTCCAGGAGGTTGTCAAAGTTGATCTTCAAATCACCCAAATAAAGTTCAATTTGCAGAGAAGTGATGCCCAGGGGCGACAGAGTTCTCAGCCTGAAGGAGATCAGGAATGAAAAGTCCTTGATGGACGCTCTACGGAAGAGAGAGCATAGGGCTCATGAGTATAGAGTTTGATGTACAAAAAAGATAGATGCTTACTCTGCATTGCCATCGCCAGCCAGATTCATGATATAGGCCAGCGATCCCTTGGCCGTATACAGAGACTGGAAGTAGGTGTGTGGGAAGTTGACCTGGATGGTGCTCTTCAGACCCGGCACAGGATTAAGCGTAAGCGTCGGCACCTCAAAGTCAGATACTCCGTGCAACTGGAAGTTCTCAATGGACCCCGTAAAGCTGAATTTTCAAGGGTTAAATACTTTGTCAAAGGTCTAATCAGTTGTTTTCTTACTCTATGAGGTATTTATTATTCATAGACGTCGTGCCAGGACCCAGAATGAAAGGATCCAGCGCGGGCAAGCCCATATTTGGTATGGGATGACACATGCGCATGCGAAACTGATCGAGGAAGGCAAGGATTTGACTCTCGTATAGGCACTCGGCAGGTGCCAGGCAACCGTAGAGTGTGGCCATGGCCAGAACGGCCTGCAAGAAGTATCCCCGTTGCATGTTGGCTGATCCGCTTCCGTTCGGCTTAGCCTCGCTACTGTGGAGTTAACGTGCAGCCGTCCGGATTTTGTTTGCGCTCACTTCAAGTGGGGGCCCGTACCCAGGTGCCAGTGTGTGTGTGTGAGTGTCAAGATACCACAACGACGTCGAGAGCTACCAATTTTATTTCAGTATTTGGCCCAAACACTTATCGTTAATCGCGGACGGGGTCCCGAGTGCGAGTTCGGTTTATGGGTACGATTGTTGCTATTTGCTTCTATTTTCAATTTATTTTTATTATTTATTTGCCTAATCTCAGCGCGGATGCCGCTGTTGAAATACGTGCGCATAAACGCCCCGAACCGAGGCTCCAAGTAAAAACTATCTATAACATTGGCGTCCTACTGGCTAAGAGTTCCTTCAGGCTGCGGCTACACTTGCTCGGGGGGCTGGCGCAAGTGCTCGGGCACCTGCTGGAGTTCTGTTTTGGACACCTGCAGCGCGACGCCTTCCGGCAGGTTGCGTTCAATGTACTCCAGAAATGTGTCCAAAGTGGAGCCAGTCAGCTTGTGGAAATTCATGTACCGGAAGTGCGTACGCACCTCGTACTGCACACGATGCTTCTTGTAGATGTGCACCGACTTCAGCAGTGTCATGCGCTCATGGTGTGCCTTGCGAGGTGACCAGCTGTGGGTGGATATTGCCATTAACTTAAGATTTCCTTCGGCTGTAACTGATTTGTCTGCCAACTTACCACTTGCCCTTCTCAATGCCCAAATGGTCCGCGGCGGTGGTTGCAAACCAGGTGTAGCTTTTCAGCACGGCCGGATCGACGCCTCGCAGCTCAATTTCCAATTTGCTGAAAAGTTTATCCGGCTCGGGAGCCGGAGCGGCTGCTGTAGTTGTAACATTTGTTGCTGCGCTGCTGGTGGTGACTGATGATAGTGCACGCACGGGCTGTGCCCATCGTAAAGTCTTCAGCGCCTAGAAAGCGGATTTATTGTCATTTATTAAGGTTTTCTTTTATAAATTTAATTAAATACCTGCAACATATTTTGTAAACGGGAAACGGGAATTATGCAAGTGCTGGAACACAGCTGTTCGACTGTGAGCGGGTCACACTTCTCGGCTGTCGAAATGTACATAAATAAGTAGTTAATATGTTGCAAATGTGTAGGTACCATGTAAAAGATAAACTTTGCCATCAAAAGACCATTAATTAAACCCTATTTTATGAATAATCATATGAGTATGAGTACCTAAAATAAGCGAATCTTTTAGGAAATTAATCAATTTATCGTAGAAAATTATATGATCAGTGCTGAGGGCTCCCAGTAATTAGAATTTTCCAATTCGAAAATCAAAATCGGTAAATTTACAGTACATTTTGAAAATAAGAAGGTATATTTTGCTATATTTCTGAGAGATATTCGGTATATTTTGTCGATAAATCCACGGTCACACTGTTTGCACGTGTTGGCGGAATTTATACACCGTTTTATTTATTCAACGTTTTATTCGATTGCCGGCAACTTTTATATTAAACCATATTCAGAATCAACATGAAAGGGACCGATGTCACCGGTAAGTCAGCGCTGGTCACAAGAGGCAATGACAAAATCAAACGAAAATGTCTTTAAACAGCAGTTAAGTCCCAGGAGGAGGAAGCACCAGCAAAGAAACCCGCAGATGCCAGCTCCGATGAGGATGACTATGATGACATGGATGACGACGACGACGAAAAGGACCAAGGCGAGGAGCCAACCACTTGTCTGTTCTGCCCAGAGGCCTTCCCCAGCATAGGGAGTGCCATTGAGCATCTGGACAGCAGCCACAAGGTTAATCTGTCTCAGCTTCAAAAGAAATTCCAAATGGATCAGTATTCCTTCATCAAGCTAATCAACTACATAAGGGTCTGCAAGATAAGCGCCGAGCTGCTGCTCTCCACAGAGCAGATCCTGTGGGACGATGAGAAATATCTGAAGCCCGTGGCGTACGAGCCGTGGCTGTGCTATGACTATGAAGTGCTCAAGACTGATACAGAGGCTGTGACGGTGCCCGAGTTGCTGCAGCGCATTGCAGAGCAATCCAAGCTGCTGCAGCAGGCCAACGAGGATATGGAACGAATGCGCAAGGACTATAAGGAACTGCTGCAGAGGGTCCATGAGGGCGACGATGGCAAGGCCGCCGCCAAGGATCTGCCGCGCAACAATCTCTCACTTGATAAGGAATACTTTAACAGCTATTCGCACTTTGGCATCCATCACGAAATGCTCAGCGATTGGGTGCGCACCAACAGCTATCGTTCCGCTTTGCTGCTGAATTCGGAGGATGTGCGTGGCAAGACGGTGCTCGATGTGGGCTGCGGCACAGGAATTCTCTCCATATTTGCATCACAGGCGGGCGCCTCTCGCATCGTGGGCATAGACAACTCGGAGATTGTCTACACTGCCATGGATATTGTCAGGTATGCTGCCAGTCACTTTCTCTCACTGCAATTATGGTTAATAAATTTCCCTCTGTTGTGTAGGAAAAACAAAGTGAAGAACATTGAGCTGGTAAAGGGACGGCTGGAGGACACCGAGCTGCCCGAGGCCAAGTACGACATCATCATATCCGAATGGATGGGCTACTTTCTGCTGTACGAGTCCATGCTGGACAGCATCATCTATGCCCGCGAGCATCATCTCAATCCCAATGGCATCATTCTACCCAATCGTTGCTCGCTTAGCCTGATGGGCTATGGCAATGACAAGCTGTATGCCGAGCAAGTGGAGTTCTGGTCCGATGTGTATGGCGTCAATATGGGCGACCTGGCCAAACGCTCCATCGAGGAGCCGCTAATGCAAACGGTGGATGCTCGCTACGTGCTGACAGCGGCCGAGCAAATAGCCAATTTCGATATGATGACCGTCGATCTGAATTATTCCAACTTTACGTACGAGTTCAGCTTGAAATGCACACAGGCGGGCAGACTGTCGGCCTTTGTGGGTTTCTTTGATACGTTCTTTGAGCTGCCACGTGAGGTCATGTTCAGCACATCGCCCTACCACACATCCACACACTGGAAACAGACGGTGTTCTTCATCGATCAACCACAGGAAGTGAGCTGGGGCGATATTATCAAGGGGAAAATCATCTCTAGACGAAACACCACCGATGTCCGGGCCTTGAATGTAGAGATTCAGGTGTTTGGCAAGACCTACAAGTACACTGTGGATTAATTTGAATACCAGCAATATATACACCCCAATATATATTGCCTTTTATAATTTTGCTGTTGTTTTTAGGCCGGTTTTAATTAAAGATTCGTACAACATACGTTTGCTTTTTGACAGAGAGTGTGTGTGGTGGACCTTAATGCGATTTAAAAATATGTAATATATATAAATTAAGATTTATAGCGCACTGCCGCCAGACCTCAGGGAGCAGGCGCAGACAAAAAACGTAAAATTGGTCGTGTGGGAAAATATTTGTATGCTTTAAGCGGTGTTTGTTTCCAACTCGGAGGCGGGTATCTCCGGCTCCTCGTCGTTGTACACGTTCTCCGCCATTTGCCACACCTGCATGATATTGTCCTCAGACACGGAGCAAATGATCCAGGGCTCGTTGGGGTTCCATGAGAAGTCGCTGATCTTGGCCGTGTGGCCGCCGTGGATGAAGAGCAGCTCGGGCGGTCCATCTTCGGCGTCCTCAGAGCTCTGCTCTTCGCCAATTTTCGACAAATCCCAAACGTGCAAGCGGCGATCGGTGCCGGAGGAGGCGAGAATGGTCTCGTTATGGGGCGACCACTGCACCTGGAAGATCTCGTCCTTGTGCGACTCGAAGGAATGTAGTTTCAGCTTCAGGTTACGCAAATCCCAGAGTGCCACAGTCTTGTCAGCGGAGCCCGTTGCCAAGATGAACTCCGAATAGGGATTGAAGCTCAAACAATTGACTTCGGCCGTATGGGCATCGACGGTATGCGATGGCTTTGAGGTGTTGTTGTTGCGCGTGTCCCAGATCATGAGCTTCTGATCATCGGCCACGGAACCGAAGAGCGACTCGTGCAGCAAATGCCAGGCCACATCCTCAACGACAGCGGTGTGACCAGTAAAAATGTTCTTGGCATCGATCACGCGATGCTCCTTGGGTGTTGCATTGATGTCCCACAAGCAGATGGTATGATCATCGGAGGCGGACAGCAAGTAACCTAAAAATGGAACCAATATTTAAAGATTTTACCTAGAGGGTAGCATAGCATTGACTTACCATTCAGGTTGGGATTCCAGGAGAGGCCATAGCCCTCCTTCTGGTGGCCGCGAAGCCTCAGATCTGGCTGACATTCACCGGATGGCTCCGGTTTGCTGGGATGCTTTGTGTAGTCAAACACCAGGACATCGCTCGAAGGGGTTTTGGTGGCAATAACGCAAGCATTCTGTGGCATATAACGAGCACGGTTCACCTCGCCTTCGTGATTGATTTTAATCTCAATCTCGATTTTGCCACACACAGAACCAAAGCCACCAAACTCGCCCTTCTCGTTGTCGTAGTGCGAGCCATCAAACTGGGCATCCTCGCTGGGCAGCTGCACGCTGGCGATCAGCAAGTGATTCTGTTCGTCCGATGTGTGTGTCCCCAAAATGAGGCGATGCACCGAGTAATCCTTGCCGTCCTGCTTGGTCACATCGGGCAGCCACTGCGCGGTCAGCGAGGGCCATTCCAGAGCGTGTGTCATGACCAAATCGTACAGAAACGGTGTATTCTTCTTCCATATCTTGTACTCTTCATTGATCACACGCTCCTCGACGGCATCGTCGAAAGATTCGGCCGCTTGGGGAAAAAAGCCACAAGATAAGCCTAAGTTTTATCAATTTTAATATTCAACTTACCATTATCACTGCGATCCACCATTTCGAATGTGTGTAATTACACGAAAAAATTTGGTACGCGTCGAAAAATCGGGCGCCAAAACAATGAAAGCCAAAGCGGCAAAACGCGTGCACAAGCCGGGATAAAAAATGTAGCTCGCTTGCTATTGCCCAAAGTATGCGCTCTTCACTCCTGATCTTAAGTTTAACACAACGCAATGTGCTTTAACTAGCACTTTACAATGCACTTATAGTAGAAGCAAGCCAATTGCCAGCGTTAAAGTGAAAAGAAAATAATTTTTTCGACTTTTTTTTTTTGCAAGCGCGTCGGCTGGTGCTAGAGATGGAAACAGTCTGACAGCGGACTTATCGATAATACATACGAGCAAAACCTTCTTAACCCCCTCTATTTAAACAGGTGAAACTCTTGAGTTAGGCCGCACGAAACAATACAGTTTGTAAGTGTTTCTTGCAGCTCTCTTTAATTACAAAAATCTGAACTTCGTTAAAATTTGTCTAGTTTCATCATTTTACTGTTTGTATTGATATACCCACTGGTCGACAGTGGGTTAATAATTCTCTGTCCATTATCGGATTTCATATTCTTTGAATTTGATATTCCGTTTAATATTACAAGCTAGTTAGGACTCTCAACACTTAACATACATTTTTTTCTAAAAGATGCATAAATTTTCCACAAGATTGGTCAACTTTGAGGACTCCTTGTTATTGGATTGCTTAGAAAACAAGGTTTTACACAAAAAAGGACAACGTAAAATAAATGCATACATTCAAATCAACCGTGTATCGATGACGATAGGTATAGGCCTGGCAGCACTGTGTAAAATTGCATAAACAAACCACAAAACTTTTACAAGATGATTCAAAACCAGTTACGCGCCACGCTGTGGATCTCTGGAAACGGTTGCTTGAGCACGTCTAAAGCAGACTAAACATCGGCTGCCGGTGGCCGTTGCAATTCAGTTCGTATCACGCTACGGCGCGAGGCAGCCGCCGCAGTAAATTGAGCAATCAATCGACACCCGTCGAGAGCCCGGGAAATATAAAGCCAAACTTGCCCATTTTCAAGCAATTGTAGATTTGCCAAATAGATTAACAACTCTACTGCAAATTCACTTGACACTATGACGAATTGCGGTTCATCCACGGACATCGGCGAGCATGCATCGTGTAAGTAATGGGCCCCCGCGCCGCCGAAGAAACTTTCTCTCTTGGCACTTGACGGTTTTGTTTGTTTTCGGCTTCGCTTGTGTAATCTTCGACTGGGTTTAAGCTTGTTTTTCGGTCTGCCGTTGTCTTTCCAGCGGCCAGTGGGAAAATGCATTCAGTGCAGACCTCCAAAAATGGGCATAACGATGTCGATGCGGAGCAATATCTGGAACACCTAATGAAGGACGGTAGCCAGGAGGGCGATAGCGAGTCCGAGTTGGAGCTGCCGCCATGGTACGATGAGCAGCTGTTCAAGCGGTACGTTAATTAGTTAGTCACACGCCAATGTTCTGTTCATGTAATTGTTTTTCATATAACTTTGTAATTTCTGACAACTGCAGCGCTCAAGGCTACTTTAGCACATATCGCTTTGTGATGAATGCGGGGATGCTGGCCGGACTCATTTCTGTTCTAGCCGTGCCATCCATACTCCGAGTACTTGCCTGCACGCGACAATCGTCGACTGCATTTACAGCTTATCGACGCTATGTGCGCACAATCTTTCACACCCAGGCCTGGTACAATAATTGCGTAGCGAACAGAAAGAGCAAATTCTGGACGAGTATCGCGGCTGTTAGGCAGGCCCATGCCCGCTCTAGTCATGCGTGTGCGAGGCGTGGAGCCGGGCAGATCACGCAGAAGGATCTGGCCCTGACACAGTTTGGATTCATTGGCTTCATAACCCTGGGAGCGCATCGCATACAGCTGTACGATAATGATTTCCTAGAGGCCACCACCCATATGTGGCGAGTCCTGGGCTATTTGCTGGGCATCAAGGATGAGTACAACATTTGCGGCCGGAATTGGGCAGAGTCAAAGGCCCGCCTGGATATTGTGATGCGAAAAGTATACGAGCCGGCGCTGGAGCAGACCAGTGACGAGTTTTACCGCATGACGGAAGCCCTTATCCATGGTCTGTGGCACGTCAACGCAATGCTCTCTGTGGACGCCAATATCTTCTTCGCCAAGCGACTGGCCTGCGTGAAGGGCTACGAGTACTACAGCTTCGACCATCGTGCCGGGGATCAGAGGGATGCACAGCAGAGATTGTACTACCGCGATTTGAAGCTATGGGATCGTCTGATCGTCGGCTATGGGCTGTTTATTGTCACCTTTTTGCACAAGTATGCCATTGTGCGGTGGTATCTGAACTTTCGCGTATGGCTGGTGGATCTGCTCACGTACTACTTGCCCTACATTGCCATTTGGAAGTTTGGCATCAAGTCCGCCTACGTGCGAATCTTTCGCAAAGGCAGCGAGGGCCAGGAGTTTAGTTTGGGCTTCAAAGATAATTAGTCATTTGTTGAAAAAACAAAACTCCAAATAATGAATAAAAAATAGAATAGCCACTGAGAAAAATACAAAATAGTCAAACAAACATTAAATTTATAAGTTTTTATTTCAAATGAAAAAAGAAGGGTGCTGGAGGGCCCCCAGATTGATGGTTGCCCAGTGCCTTGGTTAAGGGGGGGATTTGGCCCTGAATAGGTCGAGTTTGGTTTTAAAGTTGTTATTTGTTTGTATGCTTTTACAGTGGGACTCAGCCGAAAAGAGGTGGCAAAATTAAAAAATTATTTATGAACGCTTTGAATAAAATAAATGTACACATCTAATAGAAAATGTTCCAGAGCTTTAGCGAATCTAATTTTCGAGATAATTTTAGCTTAGAGATATGAGCACTCAAAGTTGAAAATGTAATGTACAAATATGTATTGAACCCTTTTTCACTTTATAATTTATCAAGCTGGGCCCACTGTGCCCATCTGCTGAGCTGCTGAGGACTTTCAATTCAACTCGGATTTCTCCGAGCTGAGCTCGAAGGTCAATCTACCAGCCAATGGCATGGGACATATGCACACAGCGAATGCCCAGGGATTCACAAACGAACTAATGCCGGCGGCCAATGCCGCCTCAGAACTGCTGCACATCGACTCCAATCTGAATCTAGCCGGCATGGACAGCCCCAATTTCTCGTATACCATGCCCAGCCGGCGCCCATGCCCAATATGCAGCGCAGCTCCCGCAGCTATAAGGTGAACAACGAGGATGATGCTTCAGTGACGTGCCACACCAATGGAGGATCGGACATTCCACAGAACCTGCTGGAGGCGATGACCTTAATGTAATCGAAGCTATCTAATTTAATATTAATGATATATTTGCAACGCCCTTTCCGCTCAGTAAATATGCATCTTTAATGCGCTTTTATTATGCTGAAACAGGTCATCTGCCCATTTGCATTGTTTGAATCATTTCTGCTACCAATAGTTGATACCAATAGTTAATTAGTACAGGAGAAAGTACGAAATTGGTGGGAAGAGTATTCCCATTTGATTGCATAGTTGGTGAGGGACATCTTATTATTGCTCATATGCCAACTTCATATAGATTACGAATATTGTAGTGACGAAATATTTATTTCTTATCCCACGGAGAGAGTATGGGGACTATCTACATTCGTAAAACATAGCATGAGCGGGCTTACAGGATCCGATATCTACTTGGCTAGGTGATTACATAGACAGTAAGTGGTAGATTTGAGCAACATTGGGTTCGTTGAGTAAATTCATTGAGGTTTATCCCGCGCAGACGTTACACCCGACCCGAAATTAGTGAGATTCATCGTGGCGACAGTGCTGGTGTTTGCTTCATCTCCGCTGGGCACGGCAGGCACCAATTCGTCCAGATTGTTTTTATTTAGCTGCATGTTCAGCTGCATCACCGCTTTGTTATGAAAAATGATTTTTTGCAGCAAGGTGCTGTACAAATCAAAAATCAAATCAGGCCCGAGTAACGCCCTTCGAATAGCCGAAAAGAGAATTGAAAACCCGCGTGCTCCCGCTTTTTGGTCGCTCATGCAGCATCTTGGTATTGTATAGTCTTTGCTAATAGGTAAATTATTAATAAATGCAGTCATAGTATAATTTTAGTCACAGGGGAATATAAAAATTGTGTGATATCTATTTTAGAGATTAATATTTACAGCTCATTAGCTTTGTTTTCAATGGATGTAGAACATCAATGAACAGTCTGTTTATTTCATCTCGTTTTTAGATTCTAAAAGTTTAATTCACGTTAATTTGAACTTCTCGCCCTACTGTTTTGCAGCCCTGATTAATTTTTCATCGGTATGTTTCTGGGGTATTTGTGGGCGCATACATTAAACGCAAAAATGAGTCGGGAGAGCACTCTTTCGACTCTCCAAAAATAATTCGTTGATATGTAGCAAATGTGTAGTTGCCGTGTAGTTACCATGTACAAAAATAAACATTTTTGTTGAGCATTTTTGATGAAATCTTATTTTATAAGCAATCGAATAAATGGGAGTCCTTAAAATAAGCTAGATTATAGAAAATTGATTCATCTATCTGATAAAACTATATGTTCAGTTGTTAAAGTCTTAGCTAGCCAGTAATATTAAACCGAATATCAAAATCGGAGAATATCAACGCATATTGTAGTGTCCTTCAGTATATTTATGGCATATTTTTAAAATGTTAAGGTATATTTTGGTATATTTCCGAGGGTCGTTTGATATATTTAGTCTATAATTCTGCGGTCACACTGGTCGAAGAAATGACTAATTTTTTATTTAGTTTTTTATTTAGTCTCCATGCCTAGCTAATTACACATTAAAACACTGCACAACAACAGTTAAATTACGTTGGCGACGCGAGCGGGATAAAAGAAATCGGCAAGATGAAGAGGCAATTCGCGAAGATAAAAATTGCAGCAGAAAATTTATCAAGGTAAGTTCAAAGGCCAGACACGATAGACAGAAGGGGGAAGGCAGAGGAGCGTCGCCGACGGCTACTTATGTAGATATGTGTGTGACACCTCTCCAGCCAAACAGCCTGCTAGCCAGCAGGTGTTGCCTCATCACAACAAACACCAATGTAACAACAAAAACCCGACTCCAATGCCAAAATAAAGCGTATACGCTGCACTTACGTCGTCGGCGATGTGGATGTTGTTGCCTTGCCTTGCCTCCAAGTGGGCGCGCTCATGTCAGCTGCTACTGATGACCTAACGGCATATTTCCATTCTTTTTTTCTTCTGTGCCCCCCCCAACAGATCAACAAAAGCAGACTGCAAAGATACAGAGCTAGAGACCATCGAGAAGCAGGTGGACCGCTATCGTGATACCATTGAGAAAATTGTGCGTAAATTGCCAGCTTTGAGCAGTGGGGGGAGCAGCAGCAGCAGCAATGGCCAGGTATCAACCGAGGAGCAGGACAAGCGGACCAAGAAGAACAGTCACTACAAGATTGCCCAGGCCCTGGATGAGTCCGCCAAGGAGTTGCCCAAGGATATGCCCCTGCAGAAGGTCTTGGCCAATTGTGGTTAGTTTCTGTTCCTACCCCACCCCCCCAAAGTGTGTGTTGTTGTTCTGTGATTGTGTGATAAGGGCGCCGCCGCCGGCGGGTGCACCGTGGTACGCATACAATTGTGATAATCGTCTGGCAAGCTCTGACAAGCGCATATGCAAAAGCAGAGAAATACTTATGGATGGATGATGACTGTGTCACAGGCTTGCGTGCTCCCCAGTTCCGATGGTGTTTGTGTCGCTCTTATTGTGTGTGTGTGTGTGTTTGCGGCCTCGCCTTGTCTGCGCTTGGCCTTGTGGCATTTACATTTCTTAATATTCAGCGTCGCTTTTTTGATATACACTCAAACTGCTCTGCTGTGCTGTGGCCTGCGCGTTTTTTAATCATTATAATAATTTGTATTATGACTGTTTTTGTTTTGCGCTGCTTTCGCTGTTGTTGTTTGCGGTTTAGCTATATCTATTTATATACAATTTTTTGTATTGCCTTTCGATTGGCTATAGAGTTATTTATCGTATATTGTATTTCGCCCCCGCTCCAGACGGCCGGCCGGCAGCCCCTCTTCCCAACCGATTTATCGTGCATTTCATTTAAATTTGTTACACAGCGCGCCCCGGTAAAAGTAAATGGCAATAATTATGTGGCTGGCCTGGCCAGAAAAAAGTAAAAGTTACGCCAGAGATTCATTCATACATCATCGTCATAATCGGACACAATCTGCTCTGCTCTTCATTTATTATATGCGGGTCGAACCTCTGCCCCCACCCCCTTCATTAGCTATTACTCATTTCGTTTGCTTATTTTTATTATGTGTGTATTTTGCATTCCACATATTTGCAGATGCGTGTGTGGGTGCGTCAATTGCAATTTAGTTGCAGTTGCAGCTGAAAAAGGAGCCAGCAACGAGACTCAGTTGCAGCTGCAACCCCTTATAGTGGTTCAAGTGCAATTTCTGGTTGTATAATGCACTGAAAGGGATACAGATGCACCTCAGCACACATCACACACATCACACACACCACACAGCCTTTGTTTTCCACATAAAGTTCATGATTAGACACGCACGTTCACATTCATACGTGTTTGGGTTGATGTGTGGTGTGGTGTGGTGTGGAGTAGAGTCCGTGCTTGGAACGCGATGGGAATTATTAGTGGTTTAATCAAGGGAAATCGATTCCACAGCGGTTCAAAGTGAATCAAGTTAATTTCCCATCGTAACATGACTGGTAACAGAGGTTTAGTGCCTGCCCTGCATGGCATTTATAAGCATTATCAGTTGGTAATCCATTTCAAGGTGATTTCACATTGAACAAATGTAATACTCTGACGTGAAATTAGCTAATTATAGAGGAGTAGATTTTTCCTTTAAATATCTTCAAGCTGAACAAAATCTTCAAGATTTACATTTCATGGATTTTTCTACACATTTTTCATGAATAACTAATGGGATAATCCATTTAATAACAATAATAATATATCAGAAAAATAAATTTTTAAACTAATATTCTTTCGATAAAGAGTTGCCTATAAGCAGTCCTGTGCTATGCCTTTATCAAATTCCTTATCAAAGCTCTTGCGAATAAAGGTTGATTGGCCCTCTACTCACACACTTTGACCCACTGTGCCGAGAGGCACCCTTTTGCAACTTTATTGTTAGCCACGATGCGCTTCAATTCAACTCAACTGCCGCTCATAGTCGCCGTCGCCATCGCCGTTGCCGTCTCGCTGCCTTACACACATAGGGGAACAGCACAAAGCGAATCCATCCTAAATGTTATACTCCAGTGCCGCTGTCGTCTTCGGTCTTCGGTCTACGGTCTCTGTGTCGACCCCTTTCCCTCTATAATGGGTTCGGTTCAGCTCCGGGTTGCTTGCCGCCGGGCCACTCAACACAATTATCACAATTTTGCTTACTCAGCTCGCTCGTCAACCTACGAGTATTCGCTGCCTGTCACCTCCCCCAAAATAGGTGGGGGCGGGGCGGTACCACAACTCCCCCACTGGCACTGGAACTGGGAAACCGGCATCGAGCACAGCACAGCACGCCAACGTCTTGGTCTTGGTCGGTGCTACCGCTCTGCGATAAGGTCTTAAATAAGCATTGACTTCCTCACTTGCGAACAAGCGACAGAGATGATGGCGGCGAGGCTCCCCATTTCCACTTACAGCACTCCACACCACACCACAACACACCGCACCACACCATTCCACTCCATTCGAACTTCGAAGTGGGAGCAGCTTTGCATCATCTAGCTAGCAGATTGTATTGTTGTAGTACTTACTTATATTTTCGTGGGTATTTCGCAATTGCAGGGGAGCTGGAGAAGACAATCGCCGAGTGCATCATCGAGAGCGAACTGGAGACGGAGACCAAGGTGGTGAGGCGTTTAAAAAACATCTTGGATAAGGAAATACAAGAGATCTCAACGTTAAAGCGTAATGTCTCGCGCACATTACAGGAATACACCTCACTGAAGCGCAGCCATGAGGTAAGTTTTATTTGTTTTCTTTCCGATCATAAATCTAACTCTCCATTAAATACGATTAACAACAAACACTCTTGGGTGCTGCTGCTGCTGCTGCGAGTGACAGAGAGAGAGAGAGAGAGATGAATAATGTTTTTTTTTGCCTCACTTTCCCAAGAGAGATGGCAATGAGAGATTGTTAAATTAATTAAGAAATTGACTATGGAAATAATAAGCAAGCAAAAGTTACCACTAAAGAGACTACTGGCTCGGTCGGTCGGTTTGTCGTTCGGTCAAGTGTTCGTTTGCCGACCGATCCACACTTTTCCATTCAAGAAATTGTCTCTGATTAACGAGGAACAAACCGCCGACCGGCACAAGAACATCAATATTATTTAAACAACTGCCGCCGGTAGTTGCCGCCATGCCGTCATGTGTATCTCAATCTCCACAAGGAGATCCGATTCGATCCGTCAGTGGTTGCACAGTGGGTTGATGGTTTATTGTTTGTAGAATTTGTAGAACATTTTAAGTGTACGGAAAATCATAAAAAAAAAAAAGTAAATTTCCACTTGATAATAGCTATTACCTATGAGAGTTCTCAGAATGAAGGAAGTGGTTGATAAGCGAACGACTAGAAAAAAACCTACCCGAAAGTACTTCGAAGAATAATCAAGGAAAGCAGCTACCACAGTGAAAGCTATGCAAGCAGATAGTTTTCTACCACTTCCCTCTAGGGTTCACTTGTCAATAAGTCATTTGAGCCTTATATTACTTTTCCTAAACCGTTTCTTGGTACCCATCCTTATAGACCCACCCTCGATCTCTTCTTTGTTTAAAAATTAAAAAAAAACCATTTATTTTTCATGACTACCTCTAATATATGTAGATCCACCCACAGCTAGGGGTGGTGTCTTCTCTTGCATAAATTTTGCATTTCCGATCCGTATCAGCATGGAACCACTGTACATGCATCAGCGGATGCCAAGACACAAGTCTGCGGCGCCCAAGAAGCAATCAATTTTTAATTTCAGTTTATTGTTGCTTTTGTTTAGAGCTCTCTTTCTCTCGTTCGTTCGTTTCGTTCTTTCTTTATCTCACGTCAGGTTCTATTGTTATTTGTTGTGCCATGCGTTTCATTCGACAAAAGTCGTCGTCCGCTTACGTACCTACATACATATATGTAGATGTTATGTATGTATAATGTTTATATGAATATTTGTCGCTTACGTTTTAATACTCTATCGAAGGGTATTATAATTAAGGCATAGATATTTTATTTATATATCTGTTGTCATTCGAATCAGAGAGTGTGTTTTCTTTTGCTTAAGGCAAATTTAAACAGTGACATTTTAGTGTATCTAAAAGTTCGTTTCCAAATTTTTCTGGCTGTTCAGCATTTTTATGATATGATTTTGATTGTTGTCGGGATCGTTTTCTTTTTCGTTATTGCCTTTATCGCGGACCATTGTGCCTCCGAATGGAAATGGGGTATAGGGGCAGTGGCTGGGGCAATAGAATGAGCTGAACGGCTTTTTGGTGTTCTGTTCCCATTTCTTGACATACGATTGGTTCTGCCTCTGCCTCTGCCCATTGGGTGGGAGGGAGCCTAATCGTACAAGACAAGTGTGGGTCCCCAAACGGTATAAATATTTTGCAGGCAACAGAAACAGCAACAGCAAAAAAAGAAAGAACTTACTTGACAAGTTCTACGTTTTTATTGTCATTGTTTTTGCTTGTTTTTTGTTTTTTGCTTTTTGCTTTCCGTTTAACTTTTCGAACAATCACGACGGACATATGCCATATATAGACGTAGCGTCGGGGATGACTAGTCCGGCTGTGTGTCCGTTGATGTATGTTGTCTGTTGTAGTCCGTTTAAGGTGTCGGAAGACGTTCATTGACATGCCTTGGCTGCCCCCAAGCAGTAGTGACATCATAATTGAAATTGAGGCGACACACACAATGGATGACCATTCGGATCAAAATGGACTTTCGTATCAGAATTATTTGATACGTTCCAAAGTTATTTACACAGCCACCCCGATAATCTTATCGGCTGTGGAAACAGCCCCATATATGTACTTATAAGAGGTGTACTATTGTTGCTAATCATCAACGTTGCTGCTTACACCCTACCCCACCCCCCCTACACTGCCTCTCTCTCTCTCTATCGTCTTCTGGGTTCTAATTGCATTCTCTGACATGGATCCACACAATACTCGACGCGTTGTTGGCTTTGCAAGTGTTAACTTTGGTGTCTGGAATGTGTGTTTTTGCTACTCGAACTACTTACTATAATCGTATGTGTATGTATGTATGCCATGCCCCAATGGAAATCCAACTCTCATGTAGGTCATCGAGAGGTTGAACATGGGGGCATGATGATGTGACTCACGGAGTCTCACGTTAGCTGTCACTGTAGCCGATGCTCTGAAGACAAGAGCAAAAATATTCATTATTAGATGAGTTCCATTGTTTATTTGTAGAGTTGGCTTTCAGTAGGGGGGGGGGCATAGCTATTTGTCACGTTTTCTGTTTTTTGTTTATTTATAGAATGATTATCACTGCAAAAAGTGTGATGAATGCATAAATTGCATACAGACACAGAAATCTAAAAATACCAAGGGAAAAGGAAATAAGTAATAGAGTATGCATAGATGCCAGCGGTTCACTCTCTTGCCTTTTAATTTTCCGCTCCATTTCGCACAAATCAATTGCTTTTCTTATCGTAGCCGCAACTGTTCCCGCCGTAAGCTTCTTTATGAGTCAGGGGGAGTGGATGGGTCAAAGCCACCTTAGTCAGTAGTCAGTGTTCCCGTATATGACAACATATGTTGCAATATCTGCCCTGCCCGTTCCCCTTTTTGTGTGTGTGGAAACAAAGACCATGATACGCGAAGCACACAAAAAACAGCTGGCATATTCGCGGTTGAGGTCGGGATCTATTTATACACGCCTCTCTGCATCTCTCCTCTTAGTCATAATACAGCGGTGGGGTTGGGTTGCATGCGAAACTATTTCCAGTTTTGTGGGTGTATGTGTGTGGGTGTGTGGCCCCTATAGATAAGATAATTTCGCGTACTTGAACTTTGGAGGCGCATGTGAGAGGGAATGTTCTGACGATTGCTCCGACGAGGGGCTTTGCTTATCAGAAAATAAGGAAAAAGAGCGTCACACCAAACAGTTAAACATTTCTTGAACTATTTCCCTTTCAGGCGGCCATACGTCTGGACGAGCCGGCGTCAAAGGTGAACCACATCAAGAGCCAGCAGGAGGAGAGCGAACTGAAGCTGGAGAAGGAGCGCGATGCATGGGCCGCACAGATGCTGGAGCTGATTGCCAAAGAGGATGAGATTGTCAACTGCATACGGGACTATGTGCTCAACCAAAGAAACTATCACGAGCGGGCGTTGCAGCATGTGAATGCCTCGCTGGCCCGCATCCAGGACACCATTCAGGCGACGGAGAAGTCACGCTTTGGCACCTCCCTCAAGGAGCATCTGACATCGACGCATCGTGAGATTTCCTACATTGTGGAGCTCTGCTGTTGCTGTCTGCTCGAGAATGGACTGGAGGAGGAGGGTCTGCTGCGTGTGGGCTGTGCCAGCACCAAGCTGCGACGCATGAAGCACGCTCTGGAGGCGCAGCATGTGAAGACACCGCTGCCGCTGGACTACCAGGATCCCCATGTCATTGGCTCCATACTCAAGCTCTATTTGCGCGAACTGCCCGAGCCGCTGCTCACGTACAACCTGTACAAGGACTTTATACGGATCGCAGAGCGTCACACCGAGAACGAGCGGAAGACAGAGATCAAGGCTATACTGGGGAAGCTGCCCAAGGAGAACTATGCCAATCTGCGCTACCTCACCCGCTTCCTGTCGCTCGTGCAGCAGCGTTCGGTGCACAATAAGATGAGCTCCCAGAACCTGGCGATTGTCATGTCGCCCAACATGCTGTGGCCCCGCATCGACAAGAGCAGCAATGCCCAGGCCGATTACATTGGGCAGGTGAACAGCTCCTCGGCAGCCAACATAATTGTGGAGCTGCTGATCAGCCAGTGGGATTACTTCTTCACCGGCGACGTGGAGTTCTATGTGACGCTGCAGCGGCAGAAGCTCTTCGTTGAGGGCAAGAGCAAATCGAATTCCTCCAACGAGAACCTGGACAAGCATGACAATGGTAAGTGGCATGCGCTAAGAGTAAGCAAAGCCTTTAACATATTGAACTATTCCCCTCACAGAGGTCATGGAGAGTCCCCGCTATGGCACGTTACGCCGCCAGAAACCGAATGCTCCTTCGCCGCCCAGCACAAATGGCAGCAGCACGATCATGACAACATCACAAACGCCCCAACGGCCGCATGCCAAGGAGCTGTTTCCGCAACAACAAACACCGCAAACGCAGCAGGAGAAGCCCGCCAAGCCGCCGCTGCCCAATTTGCCGCAGTTTCAGGTACCACCAGCCGTCGCCGTGAGCCTGCCAACGAACACACAGCTGGAGGCAATGCCGCCACCACCTGTGACGCCCGCCAAGCCAGTACCCATGACACGAACCCAGTTCTTTGGCCTGGACAATTTGCCATCGCCCACGTCGGATCGCAAGAGCACGGACAGCATTGGCAGCTTCAAGCTGAAGCCAGACTTACCACAGAAGCCGCTGCTGCCCAAGCGGCCGGCCGTGCTGGGCGTGGGACCAGCAGCAGCCCGGAACGATGGCAAGAGCGACGATGAGGGAGTCACCACGCCCACGCAGGCAACAATTGATAATGGCAATGGCAGTGTACGCTTTAAAACGGAGCATTTTCTTGAGAAACTGAAGCAGGAGAATTGTGATACAAATGGAACGAGGGAGGAGGCACCACCAACGGCCAAGGAGAACCATAACCATAACCATAACCATGAACAGAACTCGACTGCAGTCGAGCCTCAGCAGCAGCAGCAGCAGCAACAGCAGCCGGAAAACAAGCAGCCGCAGGACAAGGCAACGACTCCCGTTTCGCCCAACTCATTTCAAACGCCGAAAAGGCCAACGGTGCCAGCGCCGCCGCCTCCCACAAATCGCAAGCCATCCGAGTAGATAGGGCAGGCAGGCAGAGATGTGATGCTGCAGTGTGGGAGAGTGGGAGTCAGAGTCATTAGGTGTTACTGTTTACTCGTTAAGACTTGAACGCACAGTAATATATAATATACCATAATATACCATAATCTAAACTATACGATATAATTTATATACAATCAATCCTTGCGGCAACGTAAGCGAAAGAAGACCCTTGTGCATTATTAAGGAGAGATATCTGAGAAGCTCTTGTGTATTCTGCATTTGTATTTTTGCCTTGTCCATAAGCAATCTAATTTGTACGTGTTTAGCCATATAACTATATATATATATATATAATATCAAGCGATATCCATTTATATATATATATACATATACTGTATGTATGTATGTATAGTGTGTAGAGTGTAGGCCTCCCCATAACTCAATTGTCGAAATTTAATTTGAAATGTTAGCCCCCCAATCGTTGCTTTGGCTCTCGCGATTGTTAATCCTTGTTTGAAAGGTTGTGATACATCATCTGAATGGTTTGTGTTTCCTTAATTTTTGCATTTTTAATTTCATTTTGTTTCCATTTTGTTTTCTATTTTATTTTTTTTGCTCCAACGAAAGACAATTTCCATTGTGATTTTTTTTTTGGCTTAAATTTAAATTAAATTCAATGAAAAATGAAAAATGTAATTGCTTCCGATGTATTCATTTAAAAGTTATTCCAAAATTACATTTAAAACATTACTTAAAAGTTATGAAAACATTTCCTGAAAGTTATGAAAACTTTTGATCTATGAATGTACTATATAATTTGTATTCCTTTTTGCTTTATTAATTTGTAATGCAATTATTATTATTTTAATTTTATAATAAAATTATGTATGATGAATTGTTGTGTATATAAAATATACATTAAAAAGATAATGAATATGATTTTTAACTGAAAATTTTGTACAATTTTCGTCTCTGTTTTGTTATGGTTTCCTGTTATGTTGAATTCCCCGTGCCCCCCTCCCCCCATTGGCTTTAAAGTCCGGGTGAAATTGTAGCTCTAGTGTAGTAGGTATTTGGAATGTGAATTTGTGAAAACTTTTATGGATATGAAAAACTTTTTGATAAGTCACATACTTACCTCGGTGAAATTAAAAACAAATGATTGTAAATTCTTGAGAAAATTACATATATTTCTACTGCTTTACTGGACAGGTTTCTTTTTACATGGAGAGACCCCACTAATTGTGCCATATTGTGAAAATACCTGAAATACAAGAGTTATAAACAGCACCTATCAAATAAGGCTTGCTCCATCTATACCTTTGCTATATCCATCATATCTCTCAAGTCTTGCTATATTTTCACACGCTGCTGCAAAGGAACAACCAAATGAAGTGAGAGCTTACTAAAGAGAGAGTGCAATCAGACAACAGACCAAAATATACTCATATTCCATGATATTTGTAGAGTTTAGCAAGTTTGTACGATTTTGTGGATAGGTTAGTAAGTGGGAAAACAAAAAAATTAAATGTTGAAAACTACAAAATATATTCTGCTACCAATTAAAAATAAAAACATCCCAAAACTCCCATTTGGAGCACACAACTGTTGTGGTTTTATTTTATTTTATTTTATTTTAATCTACCAAAGTCATATAAAATACATAAATATTAGGTAATATTTTGTTAGCTAACTTAAGGAGCTATTGAGACAAATATCGTAGGCTGGAAGAGTTCCGGTGATCTCAAGGAAACGCAGCAGTACTTGCGAGTATTCTTTGCTCAGTGCTGTACCTACACCAGTGTCTACCAGCTGATCCGTTCTCGTCTCACTGGGCGTCTCCAGTTCCCGCACATAGTCCATAAAATTGTCCACATTGATGGGCATTTCTGCCTTGGGTTTGGGTGCGGCATTCGCTTGCAGCTTGCGATTGAATTCGCTGCGATAGTAGTCGTTGATCATGGACATCATGCCCTTGGAGTACCAATAGATGATGCCTATCAATAGCATACCCTGCACGAAGGGTCCGACCATTTTTTACGCTTTGTTTTAAACTTTTTTACTGAATATTTCCGACGATCTACATGCGATGGTCTTCGCGTAAGGTCTCCAGCCAATGGTTAATCATGTAGAACTGCTCCTTGATGTGGGGCCAGGCCAAAGTGACAATCAGCATAATTGTGTTGGCAAAAACAAATAGTTTCATCATCTCAAATGCTAAGTGGGGCAGAAAGGGCACTCATAGAATACTAATTATGATTATGAGTATAGGGTTAATTATGTACAGACCCTCCGGTGTGCGTAGATAGTCGCCGAACCCGGAATTCAAGTCCTTGTCCTCTTCCTCCTTCACTTCATGCTTATCCAGGACCTCTCGGAACTTGCCTTTGCCACCGCCCTCAGCCTTGTCCTTGCCGGGCTGTCCCTGGCCGTGTCCTTGCGCGTGTCCGTGACCCTTGCCGTGTCCGCTGTGCTTGTGCCTGCCGTAGCCCGTCGAAGTGTTGGCAAAGGCAGATTTCTTCGATTTCATTGCATCCACCTCAGAGCAGTTTGGGTCAGCCGCGAAGAGCTGCGATTCGGGTCGGTGCTATCGCGACAAATGCTGCTCCAGCAGTGACCATTTTTCTGCGGCTCATTCTGCGGCACGTTGGCTCTGTTGGCTGGCCATTCTATGGTTTCTATTTTATTGATTTGCGATTTCTGCTTGTCGCTGTGCCACGCAGGAGGATTGGGCACAGGGATGAGGCATGTGGCAGGTGGCAAATAGAAATATGCTGTCAGTGGAGCAATGCGCTTGGATGATATTCGGTGAGGCATGTGTGCCTATTATACATACATATGTGTGCCAGCTTAGTGGATGAATGTGTTTGGCGACAGTCTGTGGTGGTTGGTAGTGGGGTCGAACATTGGTTTGAAAATTATTTAGTTTTAGCGGAAAAAGAGATTAAGAAATAGAAATAGAATGAGGTCACTTTTAGGATATATTTAAGGTTTTATAAACGTTCCTCTAAAAAAATAATCTTAATAGATTTAACTTAATTTAATAGTCCTTGAATTTTAATTTATAAATTATGAATATTATACTATAAATATTCTAATAATGATTTAATTTTAGATTAAATTCTAAAAACGAGAAATGAAAACGCAAATAGAATGAGGTTTAGTTTTATAATATATTTAAGGTTTTATTAACGTTCCTTTGACAAAAGAAATCTATTGAGTTTCCTTGAATTTTATTTTCTTAATTATAGATATTATAATACATTTAAACTTAAATTAAACTCTTAAATTCGGTATTTTTGGATTCCTTACTTAAATTTTCTACGAAATATCTTTAAGGAGAGATCATAATTCAATGTTTTACCACATGAAATGTTTTTAATTTTTAATAGTTAATTTTTGCTTAGTTTTCTTTTCCATTGATATATGGTATATATATTTATATGCACAAAGCTCGTTTCAGTAGAACTTTTATCGAGTTAAATTCGCACGCTGCTGTTCATTATGTTGGCTATATGTAAATACTTGGCTAAAACACTTAACAAAACTAAACTAAAGTAACAATAAGCCCAAGGCTCATAAAATAATATTATGGCAACCGTTTCCAGCACGTTGCCGGCCCTTCTCTTGCATCGAAACCCCCTCCAGTGCTTGTGCCTGTTGGGGCGTAACCAGGCAACAGGTGCAAAGGCCACCCAGTATGACCAGCATGCAAAAGGCGGTCAAGGAGAGGGCTGTGCTGACCTCACGCAGCAGGATGAGCAGGCAGGCGGAGAGCTGCCATACCCTGGCCCAGGTGTGAGCGGAGAAGGCGAACTGGGTGCGGTGCTCTGACGCCACGAGTTCACCCATGCAGGCCAGGAGCATGGCTTGTCCACAGGAGACAGCTGCCTTGGGCAGCGTGCTAAGGAACAACCACACAGAGATCTCGTAGGCTTCAGGCATAGCCACATCATTGAAGAGCCAGCAGAGGCAGCCAACGCAACCGCCGAAGATGCAGATGCCTCCAGCCCATTGCCACTTGCGAGGGCCGTGGCGGAACGTCAGGTACATGGCCAAGAAGCAGCCCAAAATCTCAGCCAAGCCCATGGCCATGGTGTTCGGCAGCAGATGCTCCCTGCCGAAGGATCGAATGTTGAGCAGCAGACCCACGTGAACCACCAGAAATGCTGCAAGAGCCATGTGCACAGCCACCATGTGGATTGTGCTTCGGCTGTGCCCTCGCCAGAGGTCCAGCCAGCGGACAGGCGAAGACTGCGCCAGCATCCGCTCCCTGAGCAGCGCCAGCTGATGGGGCAAGTCCTTGGGGACGCTGAACCAGTGACCATTGATGCGGGTTGCCTCTAGCAGCATCTCCACAGCGGCATTGACGCCTGCCTGAGAATCCTTTGTGTGCTGGAGTATCCAGCGCGGCGAGTCTGGAGTCCATGGCAGCAGGAAAATAATCACCAGCAGGGGCAGCGAAATCTCCAAGTAAATATGCCGCCAGCTGTGGGCAAAGGAGGCCATTCCAGGCAGCAGGATCAAACCCAAGGCCCAGAAGGTATCGTAAAGAAGCAGCGCAGCCAGACGATGCTTGCCCGCTGTGATGTCGCTGACTGTGGAAGCAGAGGAATAATCATTAACCAGATCTCCTCCGATCTTCAAAGCACACTCACATATAGCCTCTCCCGAGGTAACCAGAAAGGAGCAGGCGATGGCCGCCAGACAGCGCAGGGCACAGTGCAGACTGAAATGATTCACCAGAACCGTCAGCAGGCCACATCCGAGGAGCGACCAGATGCCCGTCACATAGATCTGCCTCGGACTCAGGACAGGCAGCAGCTTGGTGGCCACCACGCCGCCCATGAAGAAGCCAAAGAGATGCCAATACTGCGACCAGGCCACAAAGATGTCGCTCAGGCAGGCCAAGTCGAACTCCATGACGAGGGAGTGGAAGCCAAGGGTGCTGTAGTGGAACTGGTGGCAGCGGTGCATGGCATAGCCCGAGTCTCCATAGCTGACCATCACATAGCAATGGTCCAGGGAGACGGAGCTGTTGTCAGCGCCCTCAATGGAGCTCGTGTTGCAGCTGTACTCCTCCTCCGGATAGATGTCGGGGGCTGTGAACAGGATGCTGGCCATGAACCAGGCGGCAGGTATCTGGCACAGGAACAGGATGAGCAGCGTGCGCAGTTGCCAGAGCCCAAAGTCGCCCAGCAGGTGGCCAATGACATCTGTAGCTGGAGGAGGCCCAGTCAGTATTGGCGTGGGCTGCTCATTCGCCTCCGGATCGGTGCAGGTGAAGATGTGTGCGTAGTGGCCCAGCACTTGGGGCGTGGGCGAGCAGCGGCGCACCTTTGGCGTGCAGCCATTATGGCTACATGGGTATAGCCCCGGCATCCTTAGTTAGCTTTGGGAATTTAGTTACCACGTCTTGAGAGCACCAACCCTCCAGCATGACTGCGACTTCGCTTAGCACCTCACTCGGACAGGTAAGCTCGAGGGCTCCGAATCTGTGCCGGCCTCCGATGTCGTCGCTAATCAAATCAAAGCGCAAATAAGTGCCAAAAATGTTCCTAAATAATGGTGCAAACATTTGAACTGGCCGGCGGCAGGGAACGATCTGTTTTGGCTGCACACAGCACCAGCACTGGGCAGCAGACTTTCCACACAGACTGTGTGTGGTGACAGCAGGTGATGTGATTGATGTGATTATGGCTAATCAATTGGTTAAGTCAATCAATGCATAAATTTAACCGGATTATAGTTAATGGAAAGATTTTTAAAGGATGGTTTATTGATAAATGAGGCTGGAGAAAATAATTGTACATACAATATATTAAATATATTAGTAAATCTAGAAAATATATCCTTGATAATCCATTTCTCTTTGGAATATGCACCACAGTGTCTGGCATGAGAGAACATCTCTGCTTATCCATTTACTCAAGTATTTGTCATACATATGTACATATATCATTCCCCTTTGGAAAAATTCGAAATGCCAGAGTGTCTGGTATAAGAGAGAATAACTCATAATTTAATCAAGAATTCGCCATGGCAGTATGTATATACTTATGGGATATCATGCACACATTTAAATACATACATATATCTGCTACGAGTATCTCAGTCTCCATTTCTTCAATGAGTTCGTTGATTAATTAATTTCTGAATGAACTCAAATATTGGTCATTCCCAGCAGAGAGGCTACAATATACATATATCACACACGAGTATCTTATCTGAGCCTCTTGTACAAACCATTGCCATTTCTTGAATGAACTCTGCTGTTGATCCGGAATAAATGGCGCTTTCTATATGCGAAAAACCTCCCAATTCTACATACTACAGAAGAAGATTGCAAGGCCAGAAGACTGGCCAATTTGTTGAATGAAATTGAAAATTTCAACTGCAACTGGAATGATCTCTGCCCCGTCCACAAATCGATATGTGATGTAATATTATATATTTTTGTGGGCAAGTGTTACGAGTATGTCTGCAATGGTTTACGTTTACTTTCGTTGGAAAATCGCATATATTCGCGCATTTTCCCGCACTTGCCATTTCATGGAAAACTTGTTTCTGGAGGACCAAAAGCAAAGCAAAGCGAAGCATTTCATTTAATTTTCTTTGCCAAAGCCAGTTGGTTGCAACGGCTGGTGGAAAGTGTGTGTCGCCCGAGTCAGTTGCAGTTGTGTCTTCCAAGTGCCCGCACCACAATGGAAAACGCTAAGGCGAAAAACCAAATGGATATCTACCACGATTCAGTGATCTTTATAACAGGTAAAAATGGCACACACAGATAACTCTCTCTCTCCTGCGATCACTCAAGCAAATTAATCGAATGATGCAGGAGCCACGGGCTTCGTCGGCAAGACACTGCTGGAAAAGCTGCTCTGGAGTTTTCCGCAAATCAAGCGAATCTACATGCTGATCCGCCCCAAGGGCGGTGTCTGCGTCAAGCAAAGATTCCAGGACTTTCTGCAGAATCGAATCTTCGAGCGACTGCGAACCGAACATCCGGAGAGACTAAGGAAAATCTTTCATTTCGCTGGCAATATTGAGGACGACAATTTTGGTATGTCTTTGGAGTGAAATTCACCTTAAACCACTTTGGCTTTACTGGGCTGCGGGCTGTGGGTTGGGGCGGGGCGTGGCTTCCATCAACAGGTTTAGCAGAGCCGGACAGAGTCAGGTTGTGCGGCGAGGTGAACATTATTTTCCACAGTGCGGCAACGGTAAGTCTCCATTTGGCAGAGCTGCCTCCAGAGCTGCCTCCAGAGCTGCCTCCAGAGCTGCTGCCCCAACTGACTTGAGTGTTTCGGCTTACAGGTGCGCTTCAATGAGTGCCTCAAGGTGGCGGCGCGTGTCAACTCCCAGGCGACCTACAATCTGCTGGAACTCTGCAGAGAAATGACACAGTTGAGGGTAAGCCAAGCCAAGGCTACAAATTGATTGATTGATTGATTAATTGATTGATCCCCACAGAGCTTTTTGTATGTTTCAACGGCCTACTGCAATCCGGGTCGCAAATATGTGGACGAGGAAGTGTATCCGACGCTGCCGCCCGTGGATTGGCGTCAGTTTCTCACTTGCACCAGGAAAATACCCGACGACTATCTCAATCAGCTGGCGGACTACATCAAGGGGCCGCATGTCAATACCTACACATTCACCAAGTCCATAGCCGAGCAGATTGTCAACGCGTACAAGGATGTGATTCCCATTGTGATTGTGCGACCCTCGATTGTGACGGCCGCCTATCGAGAGCCGTATCCCGGCTGGATAGATAACATTCAGGCCATCAGCGGCATCATGATGGAGATTGGCAAGGGCGGCATTAGCAGCATATTGGGCGACAAGGATATGATATGCGACATCATACCCGTGGACTTTGTGGTCAATGCGATGATTATGATGATCAACAAGGCAAAGTTGGGCAGGTATGTGGCTGGAAGAGGTTGGAAGAGGGTTTTCCATGGAACGATTAATGATTTTTTTGCGCATTAGTTTGAGCATCTGCAATGCCACATCGGGTGTGACAAATCCCATCACCTGGCAGCATTTGGGAGAGCTGACCATGAAGTGGTCCAGAATCTATCCCACCAAGCGTATGATTATGTTCCCCAACTTCAAGTATCGTCGCAGCGCCTCCAAGCATGAGCTGGCCGTCTGGATGCTGCACTTTGTTCCCGCCCTGCTGATGGATCTGCGCACACTGCTGCTGTCCCAAAAGCGGCGAATGGTCACGCCCATAGCCAAGAAGTTTCGCCAGGCCTGTCTGGCAGGTAAATCTTATTCAAAAACAAAATATATACCCAAGAAATTCCATACTGAAATTGGATTTCCATTCAGGCAGTTTCTTTTCGCTGAATGAATGGATCTTCAAGAACAAAAGTCGCTATTACTTCAAGGAACAAATTGAGAATGGCACTTTTCCGATGCTCTACTGGAACCTGGAAGATCTCGACTACGATGACTATGTGCGACGCCACATGATTGGCATTAACAAATATTTGCATCGGGAAAACTTCACAGTGGACTCCAATAAACTTATGGTAACAAAGTGAGTGCCCCAGACAAATATTTATACGCTCTGACTGTATGAGTAATGCTCTGCTTCCTGCTCTGCGTTTACAGGGTCTACTGGGTCTGGATATTTCTTCATTTGTGTTTTTACATGTTGCTTATCTACGTCATATTTTAGTCAAATTAATAAGGAAATGAGTACGAGTTTATGTTTGTAATAACTGAATAACAATTCACTTAACCTAATCACAGAAGAATGTTGTTTCATTTGCTGAATAATACAGCCAGCTATATGCCAAACAGAAGCTGGCAATCAAAAAAGCATATCCAAATCCACAATCTAGAATTTACAGTCTACAATCGTGTATTATTGACATCCGACTCAATGGTCCACACTGGTGCATTCAGCGGCGATTGCTCCTTCTTGTCGCACTGCTCCACTGCCTGTGGCGGCACAACAGGAGCCACACTAGTCCTGGGCGTTAAGAGCAGACTGGTGCAGATGCCACCCAGAATGCTGAACACACAGTACGAGGTCAGCGACATGGCCGTATCGATTTTCCTGAGCACATTGAAGAACGGAGCCGACAGCAGCCACACGCGCGCCCAGGTGACGACAGAGAAGACATAGAGCTGTTTTTTATTGGCCGGCATCAGCTCGTTCATGCAGGCAAGTATCATGGACTGGGCACAGGAGACAGCCGCCTTGGGTATGGTGGCAATGATCATCCACAAGCTGACCTTGAGATCAGCATCCACTAAGGCAGGAAATACGGTTTAAAAATTGGATTCGAGTGGAGAGTTCCGTGTATATTTACTCTGATCGGCATTGGTAAAGATCCAGCCAAGGCAGCCCAGGATTCCGGCAAGTATATTGAACAGTCCGGCACATTGCCACTTCCATTTGTTGTGTTTGAGTGTGAAATGTAAGGCCAGGAAGCAGCCAATGATCTCAGAGAATCCTGTGGCGAGAAGGAGCATTAATATCAGATTACAGTCATAGCCGGAGCTGCCTTACCCATTGCAATGGTATTCGGAACGAGATAGTCCCTGCCAAAGGATCGTATATTCAGCAGCATACCCATAAAGTTGATCACAAAGAAAGCCAGCGCCAGATGAGCGGCAATCATGTGGGTCCTGGCCCGCCTTCCCACCCACAGCTCCTTCCAGGGAGCCGGCGGCGGTTGGGCCTTGAGTCGCTCGCTGAGATGCTCCAACTGCTGCCGAAAGTCGGGTGGTATTTTGAAGGTGCGATCGTTGATCGCGGCACCCTCACGCACGATCTGTTCCACATTGTCGATGGAGAAACGATCGACGGCATGTCGGAGCAGCCAGCGGGGAGAATCGGGAGTCCAGTAGAGCAGGACGATTAGCATGATGGTGGGAAAGGTGATGCCCACATAGATCAGGGACCAACTATTGAAGAACGAGGAAAGGCCGGGCAACAGAATCACACCCACAGACCAGAAGGTGTCGTACAGGATGATGGCACCAATGCGATGCATTCCCGCAGTGATATCCGCAACTGGGGGAAGAGCAATTGTACATAGATCGTTCCAGGGCATTGGATAGATACAACTTACATATAGCCTGGCCAGCGGTGAACATGACGGCACAGCAGACAGCCGAGAGACACCGAAAGGCGCAGTGCAGACTGAAATCCCTGGCATATCCAGTGACGACGCCGCACACAATCTGTGCCACAGCGCCCACGCAGTAGGTGCTCCTCGGACTTATGCCCAGCATCATCTTTGTGCCCAGGACACCGCCCACGAGCACACCAAACAGATGCCAGTACTGTGTCCATGCCACGAAGATGTCTCTCAGGCAAACCAGATTGAACTGCATGATCAGGGAGTCGAAGCTGGACACGTACGAGAACCGCTCGCATTCACTTCTACTGCCTGTGGCCTCATCCAGCACATAGCACTGATTATCCGAGATGGTGTAGTTGGAGCTGCTGCTGCTGCTGCCCTCCAGGTAGCTGGTGTCGCAGGTGAACTCCGAGCCGGGATACAGCTCGGGGCCGGTGAATATGATGCAGGCCATGAACCAGGCGGCAGGAATCTTGCACAGAAATATGATGAGGATCGTTCTCAGCTGCCAGATGCCAAAGTCCCCCACCACATCGCCAATGACATCGCTGCCTGGTGGTGGTGGTGCTGCTGCTGCTGGTGCAGCAGGAGGTGTGACTGCTCTCATCCTCTTGGCAGAATCACTTTCAATCTCATTCGAATGGGAGTGGGACATCTGCGGACTGGGCGCAGTGGGACGTCCGGCTCGTATGGCCGGTAGGTTAACCATTGCTGCAGTGGCTCCTCGCTAGTGGAACATTCTGTGAATAGGGAGAGAGTTGCAAAACATTTGTTAGCTGCTTTGCTGAGCATATTTCTCCAGCTGTTTATTTATTCTTTTTCTTCGAATATTGCAACACCCCTCGCTTCGCAGTACTCCCCCTTCTGGCTCACTCAATTGATATAAATTGAAAGCGGCTTACAGCTGAAATCACTTGACTTGAGCAAAAGCATTGAATGTCACGCGGAATTGTTGAAATGCCGGGCTGCGGTTACTGTTTATTTGATTGATTTTCATTATTACAAGGATGGCTGTAAGTTATTTATTCATCTATATATGTATATCGATTTTTGTTATATTAAGGTGCACCATATTCACGATCCACTGAAGTTACTTTGCGAATTTTTATTAAAATATAATTGAAAGCCTGCCGAGGTTTAAATACCCTTCTAACTTTTATCACTGCAGCCAGAATAAAGCGTCACCCCCCATAAAGAATGGGACGTGTGCATTGAATATAATGTTCCCTACAATGTGATGAGCAGACTGGGATCAAACTTAAGTGAATTATTTAAAATTCTATTATTTAGCTAGATTTATTTCTAACACTATTACCTGACCATTATTTTTACATTAAGCAGTGAAGTTTTTCCAATTAAAATGGAGGAATATATGTATTTATGTGTAATCACGTTACAAACATTTTACCTAGATTGGTATACTCTCTGAGAGGGTACACAAAAGAACAGTTATGCTGTGGATATGCACTCTCACGACTTTGCTTGCATTTCAGCTGACCAGAGAACCAGTTATGCTGTGGGCGCGCTCTCACGGACTTGGTACTCATAGGAGATAAGAGAGCAGCATGAACAGACATGTCGTGGGCTTTTGTAATGTCCTCTCTCTTCTGTTGGACTTTTGCCCTTGACGCGCTTCTCCCTTTTAATTTCTTCTACATACATTCACACATATGTACATATGTACATACATGTACGTATGTATGGATGCTCTTGTTTTTGCCTTGCACTGATTTGATATCGTATCCATAAATCACGCACCTCATCAAACACTATAGTTCGTATCGGTATCGGTTGATTAAAGGCAGATAATGAGTGTTGTTCCACTGCATTATCTGTATGTTTGTAATGCACAAACATTGCCAAGATTTCGCAGTCATACGATTGATCTGTTAATTGGCTAGATCTTCGCTTGTCAACTCTCTGTTTGATCAGCTTTATTGACCGCACTCTTTATGCTTCCATTCCGCAGGTGCTAATTTGTTATTGTCTGGCATAGAAGTTGCCCCACCTCCAGGCCAGAGCCAACCAGCCCAGACCAAGCGGCACATTTGTTTGTCCAGGTCCTATTGGTTGTGCAAATATTTTAGCTTCACATTTTCCCGGCAATGCTAATTATTGGAAACTGGTCTGGTCTCTCGCTGGATTTGAATATATGAATTTCCTATTTGATACGATCCATGGAATGGATACGAAGGCGAAGGCAGGTCGTGCCATTAGTTGAATGACTTGTTATGGAATCCAAATGCAAATTAATTGTTGGCCACAGAGCGAACACAACTGAACTGCATGTACCAGGAAGGCGTAATAGATGATAGATTATGGTCAAGATTTTGACAAGATAATGAATAACCAAACTATTTATTCATTTTAATCGAATGTACTCTAATTAATTATGGAACTATGGTGAGTTTTCTTTTAGATATTTTCCATACACATACAAATGTTCCTGTCCTATTACTGACCTTTATCAACTGGAACTTTGGCAAACTCTTGATATCAGCGATCATAAAATAATTTGCAGGCCACAAAACATTCAAACAAACATTCCTGCTATGAGTTTGAATATTCTTTCGTTCGCGATACACTTTGTGGAAATATTTCTTGTCTGTTTGATTATTTGATTGCATACAAATTAATATAAATAAATTAAGCGACAATAAATATTGTGTGCGTGCGGTTAGAATTCGGGTATATAAGGCAGCTTTCCAATTTGCACGTCGCGCCGCCGATTTCCTCTTGGGGAGCGAACGCGTCTCAATCGGTTGAGAATCAAATGGCAACTGACGCCAGTATCGCCGCCATGGGGGCCTCAGAGACAGTCCCGATTGTGGGGCCACACTTACAGACAGAGAGACCCAGGGCGTTAATTTTCTAAATGAATTTACTTTAATAATAAAAACCTATTAACAGAGTTCAATAATTTTTGTTTTTAGGAAATTTTTATTCGGTTTTTGTGGTCTTGTTTAGTGTGTACAGCTTTTGTACAAATTTAATATATTGTGTTCCTCTTTTAAAGTCTAAACAATTGTGGTCATGGGTTACATGTCACTTCCGCCACTTGTTTGCACATTTAATATTTAATTTTATTGAATGGCAGTCTAATCGATAAAGTGTCGTCTCTCAGTGCTCTTTACGATATTGGTTTGGTTTCTGTTTGGGTTTAGCAATCAAGTGTGCATTATCTTGGCGCGACAACGTAAGAGCGGGGGACTCGTCTCTCTCTAGTGCTCCATTAAAGGGGTTATGGCTTAGGGGCCGTAATAATAAGTTTTTTACTTTATGTTATCAGCTTGTTTGCCGGTGGGTACAAGTACTTGCTATCCAATACAACTTGTTCTGGCCCTCTCTCTGCGGATTTCTATTTTAATCTTTATTGTCTGTTTTGCTGTTTTAATTTATTTTTTCTGCAATGACACATCGATTGTTTGGTTCTTTCTTTAGTTGCGATTGACCTACATTAATTTGTGTGCTCTTAAATGCAGCCATACACCTGATTATTGCGTTTTGAATACTCTTAGTGAAGCTTTTCTCTGCTACAGGATGTGCTATGTGCCAGCGATCATCATTTGATTATCATAATTTTGTTGCTTAAATTAGTTTAATTTGTTATAAATCGTCTCACATCGATTGCTAATTGAGTTCATACCTTTTGTAGCGAGCCAAGCGAAAGATTCATAATTTAATTAGCAGCTGGTGACGCCAAATGCTTGGGCTTTTATTGATATTAATACCGATTACGCTTACCTTTAGGCAAGCCTCGATTTTTGTGGCGAAATTTGAAGATTTCATTTGCCAAACCTTGTACATAGATACATATAGAAGAGGGCGTGTTTTAGATGGGATTAAATTCCTATTAATGTTTTTATTGGAACAAAATAATTTAAAGCAAAGTCCTCCATTTTTGCATTCGACTTTTAAGGTAATTTCTAGTATAGTATCAAGGTTGGCATAATTTATTGTGGATCACATCCAACCTAATTCTAAAATGTTTCTTTTCCAAAGCCTACTTATAGGCTCCAGCGAAAATCTTCTCAAATGGTTTCCAAACTGCGCGATTTTACAGCATCTTCGGATCTCTTCTGCAATTCTATCTCCGCGGAGCTATCACGCTCATGGTTGGGATAGAAATTGATATGCCAGATATCGGCTATGCTCACAGCCATATCTCGTTCAAAGTTGCTCAACAGTTCGTTGCTAAAGCCACTGACTTCCGTACTGGCGGAGCTACAGCGGCGCAGTATCATCTGCGAGTGACGGCGATAGGTGTTGGGCGTGGGCACCTGACTGATGTGCGGCTGTTCCGTGTTCCAGTAGTAACGGTTGAGGCGTCTGAGGGCCAGGCCATAGACCCAGCCAACGGTGGCAATGATGGTGATGGGCACCAATGGATGTATCACAGTCAAGGTGCTCAGGAAGGGGCAAAATACCAGGCACAAGCGACTAAACGTCACCACCGAAAGCATCAGCAGGACTCGGTTCTCATTGGCAACCATTTCCCCCGTGCAGGTGGTCAGTACGGCTATCGAGGCGGAGTTGGCCAGCTTCAATATCAGCCAGAAGATGAGCTCCAGTCCCACGCGTCGGGAGTTTCGTTCTAGTTACAGAGAAGGAATAATTTTGGGGGTGAATATCTAAATTAATTTGAGATTTCTTACCAGTTTCAGGCAGCAGCCAGACGAGGTAGGTGCTCAGGCCTGCAGCAATCATTAGATTGCCCGCCCAGCGCCAATGGCGACGCGTATAGAGAATCATGTAGAGACCCACAAAGACGCCCACCATTTCGGCGAATCCCAGGGCCGCTGTATTCACATGAACCTGAGCTGCTCCCAGGTTACGTATCATCAGGAGTGTGATGTTGTACAGGACCATGGCACAGCCCCAGATCCAATGAATGTAGATCAGTTGGCTGTGCTTCGTCTCTCCATCCCAGATGCGACAGTAGCTGCGCTTCTGTTCGGCCAACAGTTGCAGATCCTTGGCATATGCCGTCAGCTGAACATCCAGGGTGAGCGGCACCTTTCGATTGTTGTAGGTGGCCGACTCCAGGAGCTGTCGCAGTGCCGCCTCAACGCGCTGGTGTCGCAACAGCCAGCGGGGAGCATCGGCAATCCAGCGATGCAGCCAGACAAGTACGATGAGGGACGAGGATATGGCCACGTACAGGTAGCTCCAGTCATCGAAATAAATGGATATGCCGGGCAGTAGAACAAGTCCAATGGACCAGAATAGCTCCGACAATGTGATGACTATGATGCGCGCCTGTCCCGTGGTAATGTCGTTTACTGTTGTTCAGAGATGAAAATGGAGTTCGTGTCTTGGGTCTTTTGATTTGAGCTGCACTCCACTTACATATGAACTGCCCGGATGTGTACATGAGGGCGCAGAATACGGACGTAAGACAGCGAAAGTAAATGTGCAACTGGTAGGTGTCCACCAGGCCCGTAAGATTCCCACAGAAGATCTGTCCGAGCATGCCCAACAGCATGAGGCGACGCGGGCTGATTCTAGAGGAGGAATTTCAATCATTAATTTGGATTTATTGCAGTAATATTCAGAGTAAAAATACCGTTTGAGAGCCGTGTGGGCCATTAGACCACCGATGAGCGCACCCAAAGCATGAAAGGATTGCGTCACAGCCACCAGAACGCGACGCGAGCAAATCAAATCAAATTCCGTGATTAGCGACTTGTATGCCGTTGTGTGCTCCACTTGCTCACAGGGCAGAGATGACGGGGCACTGGCATTCCACTCCTGCCCGTGGCGACTCACAAACCCACGGGCTAGCGTCTGGGCATAGGCATTGCACACATCCACATTGAACAGTCGATCTGTGCTGCGTTCCTCCTGCCACAGATTGTTGATGCGACTTTCGTCTGCGGGCAGCGGTTCGCTGGCATTCCAGTCGGACGGACGACACACAAGCTCGCCTTTCCAGGGGTACGGCGCCGTGTAGATAATGCAGGCCATGAACCAGGCACTCGGAATCTTGCACAGAAATATCAGGAGTATGGTGCGCAACTGCCAGCGTCCGAAGCTGCCATGGATCTGCTCCACGATGTCCACGGCAACGGATGACTTGCGTCGACTTGAACTGCCACCCGATTCCGATTCCCATTCCGGCATGACCAGGCTGACACCTGACACCTCGGCGAACGTGCTCACACTGAGCTTGCTAATTTTCCATCGATCGGATATTTTGATACGCGTATGGCCTGGAGGGAAAACGATGTTTGTTCTACTGTTTAGTTGTCTCCACAAATTGGTGCAAATTAGTCGGAGATTTTGTGCCCAGTCTGAGTGACTGAGTAGCATTATTATTAGCATTGTTTTCTTTTGATCTATACTACTCGTATCAATGACGTGTGCTGCATGCAAAATGGTCAAGAGCTGTCTATATTATTTAATCTCTTTCAAATTGGGCAAGAAGAAACATTTCCATTGATCATTGGAACCCATTGAAATATATTTTTTATTAAGAAGCTATAATTAATATGACGAGATTCACACGTCACGGCCAAGTAAGTCCGGAAGGTTCCCAAACTTGTGAATTTTATTTGAAGATTTAACTATACCATAAAAAGTGAACAATTATACCTTCGCTGCAGATAACTGGCTATAAAACTATAACTTTTTGGTGTCAATAGATTGTCTGGACTCTTCCCATAAGGGAGAGATATGCCTCGCGGCGATCGTGCGATATTTGACCGAGATAGAGCGTATTATACTTGATCCTTGAGCACCATCAAAGATTTCAGCAACAATTTCGATCACAGGAAGTACATAATGGCACGCCCAGATTGGTCCTCAAATAGCCAAGCTCTGGTCTGGGTTTAAACGATCGAGGATATTTTCCGTATGGCGGATTTTGAGCGATCTAAAACTAAACTGGCTAAAACCAATTACACACATTGCGCCTACTTCCCCCTGTAAAAGCTCGCCACTATGTAACTAGCGCAGTTTCATGGCAGCAAGCCTTTGACACAATGAAAAGATGCTGCGAAATTTAGTTCCAGCATTGGCCGTCGATCAAAGCGGCGCCACTGTGCAACAACAACAGCTTTTGTTTTGTTGTTACAACAATTTTACTTGAGAAACAGAAAAAAAATACTGCAAAAAAAACGTACACCATAAAAACAAAAAAAAAAAACGTTTAGCATTTTTTTGGTTGTTTTGGGTTAAAAACTTGGCTAAGTTAGTTCACAAACCCCTCTCACTTACCATTGACAACAACCAACCAGACGCCATCGCAGATGCCCCAAACGGCTTCCTTGTGATCGGAAAACCTTGATTTGACAAAGTCCTTTTCGAGGATCAAGGATATTGTCTCAGTCATTTACACATATCGGTCGATCTGGCCGTGCGATCTGGCTTCCTGTAATCGGAACAATATTTTTGATCCTTGGATAAAGACTCCGATGGCCAGATCTATGCATATTTTAATTTCTTTGATTTTTTTCGTTTGAGCTTATGTATATATACATATGAATTCCCTATCGCTTGCCTTATAATTAATTGCGGCATTTGTAAATAAATAGATACGACTGTTGTATATTTTATTGATTCATTTGTTTTATTCAATTTGACCTGCATGTATGTATGTATGAGTGATGTTACTATGCTGATTGTGTGGTTCTCTCTCACTGCAAATGTCACTGTTCGTCGTGACACAATCGTGAAAATGCAAGAAGAAAATGTGTATGAAACATGCTTGACTTATTCAATGTCACGTATTTTGCTCTTCTGGTTTTTTTGCTATATAAAACGACAACAGGTTGTGTTGTGTTGTGTCATAATTAACCAATACATAGTTTGAATATATTTTACATTTGGATTTCCCGGGTTATGTTGTTTGTTTTTCTTTTTTTTTGTTTTGATTCAGGCAATTTGCTTTGTTGTATATGTTTTTCGTTGGCATTGTTTATTCAAATGTTGCATTCATTTAATCGCTTTCTCTTTCCTTTTTTTTTGGTGTCGATCTCCAATCAATTATTGTCTGAAACAATTATGTCAGCTAACAACTTCACTTTGCTTTCCAATTGTCTGGCAAAACAATACAAAGTTGTTACGAAAATAAGCAGTTACGTGCGCATTTCTCTACTCGTGTTAAAAAATTTAATTTGGTTTTTATTTTGAATCCTTTTTTTTTCTAAATGGTATTCTGCGGTATTTACAGGTGGGGGGGGTGTGTTGTCTAAGCGTTTAAATAAAATAAATGCGTTGTTGGATCGAAAAACATTTCCCAAGCACTACGTACTTAGACTAAAAGTGGATTTGGCTTTGCAGAGACTTGGCATAACAATACAACAAAAGAACTATGCTAAAACTAATTAATTAATCTAGTTTATGGCGTGTAATCGATGCGCTGTGACAGTGTACATTTTATTCGAGCTTGCCCCTCCCACTGGCTCACACAGCAGTGGGTTTCAGCACTCGATTTATATTTATAAAATATATATATATTATTCTATTATTATATGTATATATGCATTATGCAAAAGTATTTACAATTCGTCAGATGGTTGGTGCGACTTATCAGCAAGGAGTATGTACGGTTAGGGCATCCATAGATGTCTGAGTGTAGCTTAGGTTTAACTTTATGTTTAATACGCGCACAGCGATTAAGCTTTAACTATTTGTAGGGCTCTTAGTTACATAACTCTATGTGTATGCTTTTAGATGAGATAAGCCGAAACGATTAGCGTGTTGTTTTTGTTTGTTTTTTTGTCTGCTCAATTAACATTATGGCTTAGACGCTAGTGTAAAGTCCTTCGGTTGTGGTTTATGCTCCAGCTCAGCTATTTCTATATATATATACTATATATTCTGTTGAGTTGGTGTCTGATTAAAACTAAAACTAAAACATTAATATTTGGTTTCGAGTTCAATGATCCGTGCTGAGCGCATCATCCACGTTGCTGTCCCAATTGAATTCCGTGACGCCCTGCTTGAAGTAGATGTTCCCGAGATTAGCATACCGCTGCTCGAAGTTGGTGTCCTTTGCCTTCAGATGTTCAAAACTGTAAGGAGAAACGAAAAACCCATAATTAATATTCACTCAGGTAGCTGATGGCAGAGTACAGTACAGTTTTACAATTCTTAATCTACTTCTTTCCGGAATCTACGCATTTCCCAACTTGTCTTTGTCGTAGGGTTTTTTTTGGATTTCCCCCCTTCCACGACCCGATCCTTCCCTCCTCTAAGCATTGTTACACGGTCTTTCTGCCAAAAGCTGCTCAATTTACTTATGCGCAATAGAAGGTTTTCTTATATATGTATATACGATGTGTGTATGCACCCTGCCCTGCCCTGCCCTGCCCTTGCCCTGTCCGTAAAAATCCCGTCAATTGTGGATGCAGCTGCCTTAAGTACAGCTGTATGTACAATAAATAAATCCAAGACTTGGGCAAGACTTACACACACACTCAGACGCGTAGCGTTTGCCTTGCCCCGAGCGCATTGTGAGTGCAGAAAAATGTCAAAGGTCATAAGCGGCAGCAGCGGCATTGTTCCGGCCAAGACAAAAGGTTCCTTCTGGCAGGCACCAAAAAGATTTTGAGGGAAGGAACACACAAAGCAAAAAACGAGGAAAAACCCCGCGTCAGTCAACAGGCCTAAGTCACAGTTAATGAAACACTTTTTCAACCCAAATCCAACCCGAGCTTGCAGCCTACAGATGGATGGGATGGGATGGGATGGTTGGATGGATGGGATGGTCGGTGGTGGTGCATTGGTATTTTTCTCGCTTCCTTGCCCAAGACGTCGTTCCACCCCTGAGGATGGGGCGCAGGCGCAGCTGCACATTTTGTTGCGTCGTTTCCTCGCTACGCCTGAGAAGGTAAGAAGGCCTTTCGCAGGGCGGAGGGTGGTGGTGGGGGGTTCCCATCGAGTGCACAGGAGAGAGAAGGCAGCACCGCGCGCAAGTCTCACGTGTGCGCAATCAGCGTCGCAAGATGGTTATCCAACTGGTCGATCCGGGTGGGTTCATCCTTCAGGCCTACTTCCTGCCATGGGAAAATGCCGGCACACACAGCAAAATCAAAAGCAAAGAAAATAAAACGGAACGGAGCAGAACTCGTTCTTGTTTTGTTTTGTGTAGAATTTATGTATTTTGAATTCGGATCTTAGCTAAAAGTATAATTTATAATAGAAATAGTACGCATACATTCATATGGGATAAAAGGATGGGGCAGGGGTGGGTGGGGGGATAGCCTAAATGTTTCGTGCCTTGAGCACCTGCTTCTGTGGCGGACTGGGCACGTTCTCCTTGCCGGGGAACAGCACTGTCTTCTTGGGTGTGCCCGCCGCCGAACGGGTCGTGCGCGGTGTGCGTGGGGTGCGTGGGCTGTGCGGCGTGGCCACCTTGGGGGTGCGCTGTGGACGGGGCGAGGACTTGCAGGCGAGCAGCTCGCTGATCTCGTTGCTGCTGTCCTGGCGCACACACTTCTCCGAGGAGTTGAGCAGCCACGAGGTGATCTTGTCGCATTCGGCTCGCAGCTCCGAGTCGATGAGCAGATCCTCGATCTTCTCCAGATCGGTGGTGTTCGGCTTGTTGGCCTTGCTGGGCGTTGTGTGCATGGACACGGAGGCCGGCTGCTTCGACTTGAGGGCAATATTCTCGAGCTTCAGCTGCTCGCATTCCTCGCGCACCTTCACGAGCATCTGCTCCTTGTTGTCCAGCTCCAGTTGGGCGAACTGCAGCACGGTGGCGAACTCGTCCAGGGCCTTCTTCATGTCCGCCATGTACGCCTCGCGGGTCTCGTCCTTGCGCTGCAGCTCGTAGTAGTGGGCCATCTGAGCGTCGCCGTCGATACGCTCCTGGAACGAGTTAGCAATCTTATTGAATTTGGCCAGGGTCTCCGCTTCGCCGGCAAGCAGCTCATGGAGCATCGACTCCTTCAACGATACCTCGCTCTGCAGCGTCTCCGACGAGGAGCGCAGCGCATTCAGCGCCTCCTGCGATTCGGTCAGTTGCTGGCGCAGCTGCTCCGCATCGGCCTGCAGGCCCAGGTAGCTCTGCTCGAGGGCGCCCTTGGCCAGCTGCACGGACTCCAGCTCCGCCTTGAACTGCTCCACATCGGCATCGGATTTCTTCAGGCGCTCCATCAGGATGTTCACCGTGGACCGGGTGTTGGTGAGCGTCAGCTGGTAGTTGTACTTCTCGGTGATGGTCTTGGCCATGTCCTGCTTCAGCTGCACCAGCTGCTGCTGCAGTGCATCGCTCAGCTGGATGTAGTAGTCGATGCCGTTGCGCAGCTGCTCCTCGCACTTTTGCAGCTTCTCGTCGCGCTGTCGCAGCATGTCGTTGGTGGTCTCCAGCAGCACCATCACATCCTGCTTCTCCAGCTCGATCTTGATGAGCTCGTTCTCGGCCAGCTTCTGGCGCTTGTCCAGCTCCGCGCGCCAGTAGCTCTTCTCACGCTCCACGGCGCTCTCCATGTCGTTCTCCACCTGCTGCTGCACCTTGGCCACCGCCTGCTGTTGCTCCGTTTGGCGCGCCTGCTCGCGGCACAGCTGTCGAATCGTGTCGCAGTGGGCATCGATCTCGCAGTTCTTGTCCAGCAGCTCGTCCTGCAGCGACCGGATCAGGGTGCACTTGTTGGCCAGATCGTTCTTCAGCGTGTTGCGCTCCACGCGCAGGCACTCCTGCTCCGCGTGGCTGCTCTTCGCCTCCTGGGCATAGGACAGGGCATCCTGTTCGATCTGCTCCTTCAGCTGAGTCACATCGGCCAGCAGGGCGGCATTGTTCCGCTGCAGATTCTCAATCAACTCGATGTTCTGGGCCGTCTTCTGCTGCTCCTCGCCGCACCGCTCCTTGGCCAGGGCCACATCCGCCTGCAGGGCACTCAGCTGGACAGTCAGTTGATTCTGCTCGACCATCTGCTGCTCGCTGGACAGCAGCAGCTGCTCGTTGGCCAGCCGTAGGGCCTCGCTTTCGGCGATCAGTGTGTCCACCTGGCGCTCGTGCTCCTCCCGCTGCTGGTGCAGGGCCAGCTCCATGCCGGCCAGGCGATCCATCTGCTGCGCGTGTTCCAAAGTCAGCTGCTCGTTGCGCTCCTTGTGCGCGTGGTTCTCGCTGGACAAGGCCTCGATCAGCTGCTCCGACTTGGCCACCGCCTGCTCGTGCTCCTCGCGCAGCTTCAGCTCCGCCTCCTTCAGCTGCTCCACATGACGCCGCAGCACATCCAGCTGACTGAGCTGGCTCTCGATCAGCTCGTTCTTGTGCCGAATCTCATGCTGCAGTGCCTCCTTGCCCTTCAGCCGATTGGCGGACTTGGCCTCCTTCACGGGCGTCGTGGCGGCCGAGTGCAGGGGCGTGGAGGCCGCTGTCGAACCGCCGCTGGCTGGCGCCTCCGTGTGGCTGGGCGCCGGACGGAAGCGCAGACGCTGCGGCAACGATGGAGTCCTGAACAGGCGCAGACCCTTGGACTTTTTGTCCTCCTTGGGTATGGCGAATTCCTTGGCCTCCTTCGAGCTGGACGCAAAGCGCACGGCATCCTTGAAGAACTTTTCGATTTGCTCCTTGCGCTCTGGCTGCACCGGTGCCGGGTTGGCCGCAACTGTGGCGGCAGCAGCAGCAGCGGCGGCTGCAGCAGCAGCTGTTGTGGGCGTGGCACTGCCCGTGGAACCGGCAGAGCTATTGGAGGCAGCTGGCGAGGCACACAGGGCCACATCCACATCATTGAAACGCTTCAACTTGGCCTTGGAGAAGGACATTCTGGCTGCTGCTGTTTGTTTGTTGTTTCGTTTGGAGCTTAACTTTGTTATGGCTTTTTGTTGTTGGATCTTTGGATTGGCGCGTTTCTTTCTTGTTTGGGTTTAACGTCTCATAAATAACTTTCGTTTAACTTTTAGCAATAACAAAAACTCAATAATCAAACATAAACAACACAACTTTAACTTTTAGTTTCTGGTTTAATTTTCTTTGTTTCTTATTTTTTTTTTGGGTAAACTGTTTAACAAATCTGTCCGTTTTAATTTTAACTATTTTCTGTATTCTGTTTTCTGTGTTCTGTTTTCTGTAATTCGTGGTCTGTTCTCTACACTACATAAATATCCCACTTTCCCGTTGCTACCCGTTGCTCTCGCTCTCTCGCTGTGTACCTACGCGTTCCGCTGTCAAAACCTAACTAAATTCCCTGTCGTTGCGCCGGCGCACAGGCAGACCCCGAAACGAGCCGCAGCCACAGTCGGAGCACTGGAGAGGGAGAACGGCGTACGGCGGTATTGGTGTGTATATGGCAGCAGCTATACAAAGGCGAACAACCAACCCTCGGGATCGGAACGCGCAAAGGGTCGCGTGTGCGTGTGTGTGTGTGTGTGTGGAAGTGATCCTTCTTTGTTGTTGTTCCTGTTGTCGTTGTCTCTCACCTCTGTGGGTAGCTATATACCCTATGCCAGGTGGGGTATTTCTGTGTTTCTTAGGAAGTTCGGTGGGTTCAGCAAGCAGCAGTATGTGTACTCAATTTTACTGTGATTGTAAAGGAATGAGTGCTGATACTACTGCACATTTCTTACACTTAGAATATATAGCCAGTTCTTCTATTGTTAGATTACTGGTTTAGTTGTATAATTTCTTGTTGCTTCATGCTCGATTAAAGTTCAAATATTTGCAAGTGATAATAGGAGATCACATATCAGTTTTCTAGGAATTTTAATACGTATAAAATGAGTTATGTTACAGGAACATATGCAGAGTAACGGATTTGTTTTACAGATAGATCATTGTCTATATTTACCGACAGTTTAGGCGTTCTTCTTTGAGAGATAATATAATAGTTAAGATTAAATCTTTAAACTGCAAGAATATTGATCACAAACGTCTCAAATAGTTCCACTATTCGTTAACTCTATTTGAAACATAAAAGTCTAACAGCTTTCACTTCCACTTAACGCTCCAAGCGCACTTTCAAGAGCATTCCGTATTCGCTGTGACTCTGCCCAAGGATTTATTACGCTCTGTTTGGTTTGGTGGTGGTGGTTCGTGCCACAGTTCCTTATCCTTAGACGCCGCTGTCGCAGCGCTTATCTATGTGTGTTTGTCAAGACGTCGGCATCGCATTTGTGAACTATAGAATATGGTATATGGCACGGGACGAGTAATTTTTTTACTTTTAGCGCGCGCAAATGTTGCAATTGTAGTCCAAAGACAAGCAGGGTTCACAGGGGGTATGGGGTATGGGCATGGGTATGGGTATGGGTATGGGTGGGGGTAAATAAATACATATATAAGGCAGCGGGCATAGATAGCAGATAGAGAGTTCAGGGGTTCCGCATTCCCTTACTCTTGCTTGCAAGGAGTGTATATAGTATATAGGAAATGTCTGTCTGCCAAGAAGAGGCACTCACACTCACAGTCAACACTCGCATCTGTTTGTCCCTGTCCCTGTCTCAAATGCGACTGATCTTGTAGAAAATACTGGAGTACGAGGAGTGGTATATGGCTTGATGGGTGGAAAATGTCCGTTATGGCTCCAACTCCAACTCCAGCTGGCAGCCAGCATACAAATTGTTAATTTGATACGAAATACGATGCCCGCATAATTAGTAGGAAAATGTGTAAATGTGACGAGGGAAATGGGCGGGTCGTCCTTTTGCTCCTGCGCATTTAATTGAATTGAATTGCGTGGAAAATGCTTGAGGCAGCGAGCTGCAGCTTCAGCGGCAAATTGATTTGCCTTGATCAGGCGAGGGAGTTAAGCAATCGCGAGAATCTATCAAGCCATGCCCAACCCATATGACATCCTGCTGATCCTGTGGCAGACAGGCGGCGTGTCTCCTTCCCCTTTGCTGCTGTGCAACTAAAGGAGGCACAATGTCACAACTGCCAACTGCCAACTGCTCAGCTGGTTGTTACTCAACAATGGCATAGAATGGTTGGGCATATATTCTAGCAAAACGAAAGGTGATAATGCCAGGGTTCTAAATCCAGGAAGCATGGAATTCTGTGTGGGTCACAGACACACAGCTGTGCCGGAGACAGCAGAGAGATAAAAGACATAAGGAAGTAGGGCTGCCTTGAGGGATTTGGATAGACTTTGCTAATGGGTGTAACTCTGCGCAGTGAATCTTTGCTTAAACTTGTACAAAATAATGAAAGTTCTCGCTCTAGAATCCTCTTTACACAGGTGAAAACCCACAGCACTGCTACAATAAAATGTTCCTTAAACAAAAGCCTCATAAGTACTATAAATGATGTTCGGGGCTAATGATTATTTTCCCTTTATTGCAACACCTTCTTGCACATCAGTTTCCCATGCCTGCTCGTGCATAACCGATGTGCATTGACAGTGCCCCGCTAAAAAGTAACGCGATCTAATGATGGGCACCACCATGGGATCCTTCCACACAATAACCTTTCACTGAACACCCAATGTCAACACAAAGTGATCGAAACAAAGGCTTGAAACTTGGGCAGCGTTCTCAAAGGGTTCTTCTCCTGGCACCCTGGCACCCTGGCTCATGGGATACAAAAGGAACTGAGTCATCGACCTTCGGCCCCAGACGTTCCGACAGCCCCGATGCGCAGCAGAAAGAACCGGACGGATGTTCAGGTTTCGTGACCAGAAAAACGTGTTGTAACTACGACTAAAGAAAGACTAAAGATGGAGACTGCTGAAGGCAGAAGCCAGATGGACATAGTTCACAAAAGCCAATTACATTTGGTGTGAAAGATCCAAGACAATCTATGATCTGAACTCTGGTACTCACCGTTGAAACAGCAAATTCTTGGCAAAGACATACAGCTCAATGTCCAGGCCATTGAGCTTCTCGATGCGACGCTTCTGATCCGCTCGCAGATTGGATACGGCCGTCGCTGAAATGGTGGTATTATGCTGCTCAAAGGGTATGGCAAAGCGCAGGTTAAAGGTCTCCTCAAATATATATTGGGACATCTACAAAACAAAGAGAAACATTCCATGTTAGATTTTTCGTTCAGTTTTTTCTTGTTAATTGTGTAACCTTTTGATATTCAGTCAGTCCAAAGTAGGCCATGGCAGCCAAATTGCGCTTGGCGCTGGCCAACATCACCCGATCCCGCTCGTGGGCGGGCATCGACGATTTGTTGTAGCAGCCGACCAGAGCGAGATCGGCCAGCATGCGGGTCTGGCGATTGGCCGCCAGATTTGACTCGCAGCCGGCAAACTGATCGAGATCCACGTCCAGCCAGTCCTTGCCCTTGTAGCAGGCGGGCAGCTCATTGGCGGTGGCCTGCCGACCCAGGCACCAGTGCCGCGAACCCTTCCAGGTGGCGCCGCGCCTCACATGCCGATACTCGGACATGTAGCGGGAGATGGGCTCGCGCAGCAGCGATATGTAGAAGTACCGACGCTTGGCCGTCTCGCCCTCGTTCTTGTCCAGCTCCACGTCCACGCAGCTGGTGAGCTCGGTCCAGTCGGCATGGAGGCCGCACTTCCAGCCCGTCGAGTAGCGCGAGAAGAGCCAATTCTCGTTCCGATGCGGCCGGAAGCAATAGCAGCGTTTTCTTTGGCGCTGACACTCGCAGGGTCGCTACAAGACACGAGAGAACAACAAAAGAGGCTTAGGCTCTGGTAGGGGATGACTGGGTGAAGAGTTTTTAAACTCACCTTGAGGTCCAAATCCCTGACCAAATGGCGGCCAAAGGAGGTGCCGCCCGTCTTTTGGATGTGCAGAAAGACCATCACATCGTGACCATCCATATCGAATTGGAAATCATCGTTGAGCACATCCTCGTAGCTCAGTCCGGCATTGGCGATGATGTTCTGCGGTGCAGATGCCTTCGAGGCCATGGCCGTAATGCCGCCCATGGCCCCATTGTTGATGTTGTTGTTGTTGTTGGTAATGCTATTGGCCTGATGGAGTGGGAGCTCATTATAGCCAAGTATATCCGAGGACTGAAGTATCACGGCGCGTTTGGATAGGGCGCATACCTGCGGTTGCACAGAGACAGATAGAGAGAGAGAGAGAGCGAAAAGCAAACATTAAGGTAAAGTACAAGCAGTAGATAGTCGACTATTGCTATACCCTGTAATTAAACCTTCATTCAATGTCATATCTGCTTCAATCAATCAGATATACCCTCTCCCAGGTACTTATATATGGATCTAAAGGGCATTATAATGATCCCTGAGTGGCGTGAATGTAATTTCATTTATCATTTTCGCTGTCGCCGTTGAGCTTTAAATTAAATTTATTGGCTGAAAAATTACACAAAAAGGGCACAGGCAGGGGCGGGGGCAGTGGCAGGGGCAGGGCAGTATCCGTGTAAGTGCCTCTGCCGGGCATTTCTCACTCTGTGTAGGCGGAGTGGAAAGTATTTATTTTCAGCATTAATTAAATGCACATCGGGATTAAATGCATATTTTTGCATACGACACACAGGTGGGGAATGCCTCCCACTACTGGGGGGAAGCGTATACAATTTTTCCTCCTCATCATCTGTCGTCTGGCGGCTGCTGATGTTTTACCTTGTTTTTCTCACCGTGTCTCACTTTATTTGCCCAACGGAATGTGCACTTTTATTTATGGCACGTACTCAACGCATATTAATATCGAGAACAGGCTTTTATCCCATTTTCATTGCACTCACAACAATTAAGTTGAAGAATTTCAATATTTACTGGCCATAAATATGAGGGGCGGGCTGGAGAGATGGGGGAATGCCAAGCAGAGTGAATAATGAAGATGCCAGGAGTGTGATAGGTAGATCTATAAGAAAGTTAATTATCTTATAGCATACTTTTCGGCTGGCAACTCAATTTAAGGTAAAGGAAAGGAAAGTTAAAGGAAATTTGCTTGTGAAAAATCCAACTAGCTTACTTCCTATGCGTCTGATCAGAGTGTGTGCCTTGATATCACTAGTCAACACTAGAATTAGGCTGTTGCCCAAAATAACTTTTTCTGATAGGTTTCGGGGTTTCCAAGATTTGAAAAATTCTTAAAAAAAAAATGACACCATAAAAAAAATAATAAAGTACTACAAACATTTTTAAATCCGGAAATCTATCAGAAAAAGTAATTTTGGTTCACAGCCTAAATAAAAAGTTAAATTTTGTCGAGTGGTGTATTCAGAGTATGAGACTAATTAAAATAGTCAAATAGGGGCTCCTTATAGTGCTGCTAGTGCCATTATGTGCGGTCATTGATGCTCCTTTGAGTAGTTTTCTTCATTATCAGAGGACGTACGGCTTATGGAGGACCTTTTAAAACACTGGACATTGCTAAAGATCTTCTTATCAGCCTCAAGCGTATGATATATTGTTTGCTAAGTTCATAAGTATCTAAGCTCAGAGATCAGGTGCCTAAGAATTCATTTGGAGATTTGTAACTATACAAAAATGTTTGATCATGAGAGAATAAGTTATTGGGAAAACTATTTAGAGATAATTCTGTTTTCTACTGTCCATTGTAGGCAGTCCTAAGCCCCATTTAAACGGAATCTTTAGTAAAACAACTTTAAAAACAATCAATAATAAATTAGTAGACTTAAATAGTTATTCTTTTAAGAAAATCCACTAAAATTAATCTAAAATGACAGATGCCTGTCCTCAATGAATCCTTCATGGATGAAATGGTAGCTGCAGAGCCTCAAAACACCTGCTATCTACTGCCAATCCTTACGGACATCTGGACTTTGCTCAAAGAGAGCTCCAAGTTGCTGGCATCACCAGCAGCTGTCATCAAATTCAAAAATTGCCAATACACAAAACTTATGCTCCCCACCATTCATAACTTTCTAATTAGAATAAGTTTCGCCAGGCCACGGGCCATGGGGCATGGGGCCTGCTACCAACATTTTGTTCTTGTTGTTTGATAGGACATTTTCCTGACAACCGAGCGTCAATAAAAAGATAAAACAAGACCTCAGCTGTCCGCAAGTCAAGACGAACCCACACAGAGAAGCGAGTTGGCTTCCATACATATAGTTTTGTTCTGCGAGCAATCAAACTATACAAAAGTTTCTCGATTAAAATGAGCAACTTTGTGAGAATTTTCTCTTATCTGACAATTTCCGCTGCTTAACAGAAGACCAAATGAGCAAAACACGCAACAAGACGAGCGAACAGCAGCTGCAAGGAAGGAGCAGGAGCAGCAGGAACCGAAACAGAACAAAACTCGGGCAGAACTCAGCTCATTAAACAATTGGCAGGCGGGCAGAATGGTTGTTGGCCATAAGAAATTAAGGACACGAGGGGGTGTTGCCATGCCTCATGCCTCATGCCTCATGCGGCGATGCGCCCAACTCTACTGCTCTTATCTTTAAGTCTTTTCGGACTTAACTTGTGGGTGTGGGTGTGCGTGTGCGTGTGCCTGTCTGCCTGTGTGTGTGTGTGTGTGTGTGTGGGGTGTGCAGGAATGCGTGTAAGCTTGTTTCCATAAAAGTTGGCCATTTAAATGGCCAGAAAAACGAGCGATGAAAAAATTCTACACTGAGGCAAGGGAGAACGAAAGTTTTAAAGATGCTTTCGCAACCTTGAATGTTATTTAGATCATAAATTAAGTTGTGAAATTACTTTTAAGATAGCATGCTCCCAGGTTTTTTCATTCGCCTGCTTATACTTCATACTACTAGTTTTCTCTCCGTGTAAAACCCTAAAGTGGTATACAGGTCCAAAGGGACTGCGCTGCAAGCGCAAAAGTTTTGAATTTATTGTGGCCAAGCGGCCAAGAGGGAGAGAGAGAGAGAGAGAAGCCACAACAGCGAACCAATTCGATTATCAACAGAGAAAACTGCAAGAAAAATTGTTCACTGGCACTGCCGTATCGGCGGCTACTGTAGAGTCGAGTCCTTGTCCCGAAGCTCTTTACCTTAATCCCCTTAGTGGACCTCCGGGGCTGCTGAGGCTAAGGACAACTTCGATTTATTTGTTTTTGATATATATATATGGTTGTCAAGTTGTTTAGTGTACCAGATTTTAAGTCAGTTAGTGGCACTTTAAGTGCTGTAAATGTTGCTTTAAAATGTACAGTATTCTTCTTTTTTTTTGCACTTCTTTTCCAATTATTTCCCAACACAAAGAAACAGTGAGAGAGAGAGAGAGAGAGAGACACAGCGGCAGTGGGAATAATGAGCCAGACAATAAATTAAAACATAATAAATTTATATGGTGCACGTAAACACACGCATTAAATACAATTTGGTGTGTGGCAAAAAAAGAATATGAGACGAAAATCTACCACTAATGGGTAATTTAATTTTATTTTCGGTGCTTCAGCGTGGCACTGCAACTAAAGTGTATCCCCAAATGGCAAGCAGATGGGCAACAATACAAAAAAAAATAATAACAATTTGCTGTGTATGTGTGTGTGTGTGAAAGAGAGCACTTTGCCGGCGATTTAATTGCTTTTTATGCCGCTGTCCGCTGGAAAATCTCATGGTAAATGGTCAGCGTGTGGCCATTGTTGTGTAATAATATAATAATAATAATCATTATGTTGTGCTAAATTCGTTAGAAATTTATGCGCATGCAAACGCTGTGCACAGGAAGTATTAAAATTTGATTTTGCTAAAGGCGGAAATGCGAAAATGTGTTGCATACTTTTTCGGTGCAGACATTATTCCCCATTCAGCTGCGCAGGGAATGGAAATCGCATTTGATGGAAATTCATAAAATATGCAAATAATTGATGGACCTGCACAAATATTCACTGAATTAAATATAACAAAAAGGAGAGCGATAGAGAGAGAGAGAGAGAGAGAGAGCAATCATCGAATGGAATCTGTGAATATTAAATTTAATAGGGAAATTAACTAATTTAGTGGAATAAACGGATATGTCCATTGAGTATGTGAGTTTTATTGACTGCTGGATTAAGCTTAAAATAATTAATTGTCTTCTCTGGGGAAAGTGGAGTGAGTACTGCTGGAACTTTCCTGAGGGAACAATTGGTGCTCTTTAGGGCGGAAAGAGAGCTGTCTAGGAGCACACAAAAATATGTTAAGCAGAACAACCCACAAAATTCATAGGAGGACTTTGTACAAACTGTTTAGACTTGAACATTTTTTTATGCCTGTCAATTACAGTAAACAAAACAAAATAACCACAAAGAACTCACAAAACAAGGTACGGCAGAGTACCTGCCAATAAAAATCTTGAGAGCGAGTAGCATAAATAAAAACCAGAGAGCAATAATTTTCCATTCATAAACACAAAGTGCAAGCAAACAAAATGACAAATGCTACGAGAATAAACCAAAAGTGAAACACCCGCAAGTAACAGTGACTAAATTAATATTTATGTGGTTCATGGTGCGCACAGATTTAAGATTGTATGAACTTTATGGACTCCAGCCAGCAGCAGCCTGGCTGCAAGACACAAAAGCAGCGACAAAATACTCTAAAGATTGGGGTCAGGGCACAGACTCGCGAGACGGGGTCGTAAATTTCGAGTACAGCGAAAATCAGCAATAAAACTTTTGTTTGCCAAAAAAAAAAAAAAAAAAAACAGCAACAAAACAAACATAGAATTCCCCAGAGACAATTTCGTGGTGCGTCATAAAATGAAAAGGAAATGGAACCAAGTGAAAATGTAGAGGAGAGTGCACATAGTAGATTGGTTGTGAAATCGAAAGAGAAGAGAGAGAGAGCTCGCCAACCCAATTTCGTTTATTACTTATTTAGGACAGAGAAATTTGCAATTTGCAATTTATTTGTAAGCCTAGTAACACATCATATGGCCCATGTCATCGTCGATGCATACTACAGGAGAGAACCACATTAAATATATAATTAAAATTCAAGCTGCGAGATCTCGATATGCTCTTACTGGTTTTATTCTTCAACTCGCCATATTCCACGCCATTCTGCTGCACCTGCGCCCAAAGGCTTGGGACAAACGCGCACCAAATACAAATAAAAATCAAGAGAATCGAAGAGAATGGGCACTGAAAGACGGCTGACATGGTGAATGCTTCGTTGGCAACTGGTCTGGTTATGGCAATACGAAATCTAAAATAAATTATAAAATAAAACTAAAATTTCACACTAAAGGTGATGGTTCCGCCAACATGCGTTCGAGCCGAAAGTCGTGTTTGATCCACTGAAAGGCTTTACATTCGTAAATGGACACACAACGATTTGTGGAATCATTCCGCACATGTCCCGACTTGCAGCCGCATCCCAGGTGACAAAAATCAGCGTAGGCACAGTTCGGCTCATAGTAGATGGGCACTGTGCAGCTGGGTTCATTGCAGAGCATGCAGGCGATCTGTTCGTTCTCTCCGCAGGCTAAGGCACAAAGTCCTGGACATGAATTTGGCTTGAGATTTAATAATTGGCTTACGTACGTCCATGGTGGGGGGCAGCCAAGGTGCCACCCAGCAACAGGAACGGCAGCAGAAGCTGCCACAGCCTTAAAGTTATTTGCAGACCAAACATGGGGGAATGTGTGAATGTCAGCCAAGCAAAACTTTGGCCTAGGACTCGAAAGTTTTTAGGCAAATCGAATCGTTTCGTTGCGTCTGGGGCAATTAGTCAAGGTTCTTGCAGTGGATACACTCTGCTCGCAGATTAAAATTGTATATGTAAGAGCTGAGAGCCAAGTGTGGAAAGTTTAATGGCAATATTTACGTAACTATCTATCTTACGTATTTGTGCTTACTTTTAGTGCTAGAAAGTTATTGGAATTTGACTGGGAACAAAATTGTTAAGAAAATAAAAGTTACTAATAGCATACAGATGTCTGTTAAAGTTGTATATTATTTATCACTCGAAGTCCTGGCCTTTTCCATGCAATAGAAAACTTTTTCCAATAATTGCCACAATTATTGCTTTCACTTTGATTGATATTTGGTTAAAACAAAGATGCCTGTAGCTTAAATGGCTCTTGGGGTCTGCTGAGGTTTGTAGCCTGCAGAGAGAACACCTTTTACAAGTCTCTGCTAAAGTTAAACCTTAGCCCATTTAAATGTTCCTTTGTTTTAGTTTGATTTATATATAAATTCAATAATGAAGCTACATATTCCTAAATAACTCTATTTGATATACCCTCAATAATCTCTCAGTGTTTATGGCTCTATGTTTTTATGACTGAACTGAAACTTTTAACCATCAAAAGAGTTCTGAATTGATATTTGCATATAGTATTTTTATGATTTAAGGAAACTTCCATAAAGTTGTACAACTTCTTTAAACATTTGACTGTGAACTGACTTTATGTAAAGTTAAGAATAAAACCAGCAGTTGGCAAACCATAAATTCTGTACTTGTCTGTCAGCCACAATTTGCATCTTTCATCATTCATCAAAATCATAAAATTGTATTTATTATTACTCGTACAATATTTACTGTGCCACAGAAGTCATTTTTGAGTAGCTCTGTGTAAATATTGCCAACTATTTAAGGTAGTCAAAAAGTACAATCGAAAAACCAACATTCAGCTGCATTTAATGGCTTTGCAGGTCGCCTGTCATCGGCGGCAGTTATAAATGTTAAGGGGCATCCGCTTTTGATGATGGCGCACAGGACCTGCCTGTGGCCAGCAATTCTAATAGTCAACTGGTCACACACACAAACACAAAGACAGCCAGACAGGATACACAGATAGAGAACGGGAAAAAGGGCTGGCTATTCGAAATGCCATTTCGTTGGCCAGGAGGTACACAGACAAAGAACCTTCAAGCTTTTGCCGCTTGGAGTCCTGGCCCTGGTAAAAGCGGAAATATACAAAATTACCCAACACTGGCTACAACACACACACAAGCAAACACAGGTGATAAATGAGGCTAGAGTTCTGCATTTGATTATCGCTTTTAAACAAATATGTAGCTGAAAATGCCAGACCCATCTCGGAGTAAAATTTGCAATGGAAATTGTGTGGAATACATTGCCTATGATATTTTTGGCAGGCTAGAATGTCCGTGTGTGTGTGCATGATATTGGCAGACAGTGTAAATACATATTTCATTGGCTGCTCATTTTGCTTCGTTACCTGAAGGATTTTCCACTCGAAGAAGCTCCCCTGAATCATAGAAATACTCGTACATTTCAATTACTGGCTTCTATCTCGTAGTTTTGGCTGCCTCTTCCTGCCCTTTTTGCGTCTCATCTCATAAATAGGCTGTCAACTCCATGGCCAACTCCGTTTCACAGGCAATTCGCTTAAAAGCAAAAGAAAAGGCTCTCCGCCCCCATGGCTCGTCCATCTTTTTTGAAGAGCAAAAACCATTGAAAATTTGCATAAACAAACCATTTGCTGTTCCCACCAGTGACCCCTTTTTTTTTAAAGGCGTTTTGGAGGCTCTTCGCCTAGTTGAACGATTGAGAGGCAGCTAATATTTTTTCCCCTTTTTTTTGCTGTGTGTGTGTGTGGCGGAACAATAATAGGGGGAGACGTAACAGCAGCAACAGCAGGACACAGATTGTCCTGATGGGGCCACATGGAGTGAAAGAGCATATTTAGTTTGGCCATTTGTAGAGAGATGAGAGAGAGAGATGATGGAGGGGCAAACAGGAGGAGGAGGAGGAGCGGTTGTTCTCGAGTGGAGGTCCCCATCTAAAGAAGGCAGCCAGAAGACGAATGAAATGATATATATGTGTGGCAGGGCTGGGGCTTTGCGATTGGCTATCAACTAAATGAGATCCCAATTGAGAGGGTCTTCGGTTTCGAGCTCTTAATCGCTTTGGGGCTCACACGTCACCCCCCTCTTCCACCAAGGGTTCACCCAGTGAGAAGATTTTTCTCTGATTGAACTCTGAAAGAAGATGGATTTCTCCCTCCGCCTCTCTCTTTCTCTCTCTCTTTTATGATTGGCTGCCAGCAGTAATTTCCTTATACCATTGATATTCTCGCATTTCCTTTGGGACTGGTTTGGGCCCACTGATGAAATGTGTGGCTGGGCGTTGAAATGTTTTGTCATTTCATTTATCAAATTGTCAACTTGCGAGTTGAGGACTGGGGTCTTGTGGGTTTTTTTGAACTGTTGCCATTTTGGCGACCTGTCACGCCTAACTATTTGTGATTTCAAGCATTAAATCATTCGACAGTTGCTTATGTTTTTCAATGGATTTTCCATTAGAGACTGTAAGAGAGAGGGAGTTACATCGCCCCCAAAGGACCAACAAGAGTTATGGTCTTGTCATATATTATTTGCTTTTTTCCCAGTGTCTATTTGTATACACTAACAGAAGGTATTGATAGTTTTTAGAGATGTTTGAAAGGCAGAGAAGAATTTTCTCTTGATTAAAATATCGATTAAATATATAACTCTATCAGTATCTTTCTCTAAAAACTTTTTCCTAATTAAAAAAGATATTTAAGGGATACTTTTATGGATGCAGAATATAAGGATACAAACGTAGATTGTGTAGCAAAATTATTCCTTGCAAGAAATTCAAAGAAGAAGTCATAAATGGAAATCTCTGCTCTCTATCTTAAGGCATTGCCCTACAAAGTGTATCCAAAGATTCGCTAAACAAAACTAAAATTTTTCTTCGTTTTTGTTTCGCTTTTCCTTTTTTTTTCACTTCAAGTCAGTTTTTGCCAGAGTGCCCGAAACGTTGAAAGCTAATCTATTTTAAGTGGCTGTAAAGCATTCAAGGCGACGGCGTCGTGGCTCTCCTGTAATGAAATGTAGCATAATATTTTCATTTTGGCCAGAACTCGAGTGTGTGTCCTGCCTGCCTGCCTTCCTGCGTGAGTGTGTGTGTGTGATAAGCGTGTAAATCCCTAAAAATAGCCAAAGACAAGGCACAAATCCCACATGCATATACGCAAAAAAAAAAGAGCTCTAGCTGTAGCTGTAGTCCCTGGCTCTGTTGGTGTTGGCCAATGACCATAAATTCGAGTAAAATGTATTTTGACATTTTGCACGCAAAGCGTGTGGCAAAAACTAACTAAGCGTGTGGCGGCGGTGTTGGTCTTTTGCCACAGTTATACATACAGCTACAGATATACATATGTATGTATGTATGTATATGGTATATATACAAAGGTCATTCCAATGATGATGAGGAAGGACATCAGGACTGTGACTGGGCTGACTAGGATTTCACATGAAGTGTTAACATGCGATAACAGCGGCAGCAAATAAAACACAATGAAGCGCAACTGATGAGGATGCGGAGAATGGTTCTGGTTCTGGTTCTGCTTCTGGATAGAGGATGGGCGAATGTTTCTGCTTCTGGATAGAGAGGATGGGTGAATCCTGGTCCTGGGGTGTATGTGTAGGGTGCCGTTGCCCCTGCTCTGATGCTGCCTAATGCGAAAGAAAATACCCAAAATCCAGACCGAAACAGCAAACCACAAACACGAAATGAGTCTTGGACTCTCTGCGTTGGCTTCATCTTTTTGGTAACGAGTTTATGCCTTTTGGAAGTAAATGAACCGAAACGAATGATAAAAAAAAGTCAATGAATGCCTCATATTTTTGTGGCATTTTATTTCGATTTTTCCCCATGAATTTCATAAGCAAATCGTGCAAAAAGCATTGGGGAATATTGTCACTCCATTTCTGGCAAAAGTAGTTTAATCTGCAATAAGCAGAAACACTTGGAAAATGTTTGATTGTCGCTCATCGTTGCCGAATCCAACAAAAAGAAAATACATTTCCATAATTGAAAATCAAAAGTTTCGATGTGGCATCCACTTGAATTCTTTACTTCTGCCTTTGGCTTTAAGGATTTCACATATTTTCTCTTTACTCCCCTTTTTAATATTTCCCCGAATGAAAATGCTTGACTCTTGGTCTGCGGTAACAATTTTTAATTACAATTTTTTTTTTGCTGCATAAAAATGGCGACTTTATTTTGCAACAAAAAAGCTATGGAAATACGAGAAAAAAAAACACAAGAAATTCGTGCGCTTTTTCAAGCTCTAACCAGTAAACATTTTTTCACGCTCATAAACTCTTGGGAAAATTGTTTGGGTTTCCTCGTAGGGGTGTGACATAATGGGGGAAATGGGAAAACCAAGAGTCGGAAAGGGGATGTAGGACCCTGAACCAGTGAGCGGAGGAGAGTCCAGAGTCAGGGTTCTGTGGGTGCTCTGGTCGCACTGTCACAGTCATAAAAATGTGCAAAGTATTTTGTATGGACATACACACACACACACACACACAGCACTATAGCCTCACACACATATACATACACCAGCACACCCGCACTCCCACACTCCCACACTGTGAAAGCTAATAATAAGCGAGGGCCTGCCTGGAAATGGTTTTAATGCATAGGGCTCTGGCAGCTAGGCAGGCGGTAAAAAAAAGGAAGCTCATGGAAACAATTTTCTTGTTAAGTGGACTTTTGGACTTTACATTTTACTTGCTGTTCTTCTGGTGGGTGGTGGTTGCTGTTGCTTCTGCTGCTGTTGCTGTTGCTGTTCCTCCTGCTGAGGTTGCTAATGTTGTAGCGGGCGAGGTGTGGGGGGCGGGGCAACAGTTTCATATTTGCTTTTATTGTA